CACAACAATAAAGTGTTGAGTACGTTACCCATAACTACTACAGCAAAGTTACCCTTTTCCACCACAGTAAAGTATTTACTATGTTACCTTTTACATTAACACCATCGATCTATGCTGCTCGAACATAACAAGACGCTGCCATCTTCTATATGATTGAATCCAAGCCGGGAGATTAGCTAGCGTTGGTAGTTTGATTTTGTTTTCTTAATTAAATGTTAAATAATCAATCTGGGTATATATTTAGCGTATATTAAAGGGACAATAACACTCTTGCTGGCTTGAAAGCTCCAGAAAATAAATAATATCTCTATCTAAGTACTAATTGTTATAGTGCCCTACCTGTTGTGTAAATTATCCATTACATCGTTTTTAAATCGAAGTTTCATTTGAAAAGGTTTACGTTAGACGTTTCAGACCATTATGTTGAATTTTTCCAAAAATTTAAATAAGGTGTGTTAAGATGAAATTTGTATCATCAATTAATTGAAATATTCTAAAATAGTACAATTTGTTGACCAGAATAAAGATTGGGACATATTATTCAGTTACGACAAGGTATTGAGCCTTTAAGCTGTGAGAAATCTGATATTTTAGCGAAAATGCAAATGGCGCATCGAAACTGTAACATCAGCTTTTACCGGTAGATCTATTTTCGTCTATTTTAAAGCTTCAAAGAATAGAGCTATACCCCCTTTAAGTTGTCATTTTCTTTGCTGTCGTTTTGTAGAACATAGTTCTTTTTCAATTTGACCAAGAAATGCATATCCTTCCTGTTCTTGTTGCGGTTTGGTCGATATCCCTACTTTAAACTGCTGGGCCATTTGTGTTATGACCATAAAGTATGGGTTGAATAACAAGCTAGGGATTCTCGTCCGCTCTGATAATTTTACTTTGGACTGCTGTGATATCCTTATTATCATTACTATAAGGAAAGCCACAGTCCATTTTATATAAGATGAACCCCATCAGATTTGTATAATATTTATTTAGGACTACTAGAGCACCCATATTTGTTTTTATCATAACAAGAATAGTTTATCTGAATAATAGTGAACGTTTTTACTGTTTCCCGCAAAAAGTTTACGACGGAAAACAGTAAAAACGTTCACTATTATTAAAAGAATATAATATTCATACATCGCGAATAAAACGGCCTCCTCATATAATTAACTAGTTTTATTCACTGAGATATATCAGAGATTCTCCTTTAAAAATATTTCCAGCAGGACTTAGGATCCCTTTTATGGCAGGTCATAAAAATCACAGAAGGTCTGAAAATGTGTTTTCGTCTTCAAAATTATGACCTGCAAAGCGCTTACAAGTCATGTGAACTGACAGACAGTGTTTATGATAATATACCCCCCCCCCACACACACACCCACACACCACATGAAATTTGTAATAACCCCTAAAGGTGCGCTATTAATATTAGTAAGAAACGATAAGAAAACTGTTGACTAATATCAAGGATTATTTTAACATAACTTTTAGTGTTATAATGATACAGATAACCTGTTAACTTATTATTACAGACTATCAATATCATATTTGTACTGCCCAAGGATAATTGAACTCGGGTATCAAAGGCTGTAATACTGATAGTTATGCATCACTTATGGACTTAATTACTCATCTCTATTATGGTCAATTTATCGAGTAGGCAAATAAATAAATGGAACACTTTTAACTGACTACAAATTTAACAATTCACAATATACCTTATGATAATATTTTCATGAAACTTTCAAACATGTAAAACAAACAAGTACAAGCCTACTATAGATGGACAACGAACCGGGTATGGAAATTATGTGCAATTGACCTAGCTATATGTCGATTGTACGGAGCCCTAGGCTTTTTTCAGAAGGGATTCGCCCAAAAGAACAAGAACAAGAACAAAATCAAGATGACTAGCTCTTGGGAACCAGTTCCTAGTCCCCAAAAAAACCAACCCAAAACAACAACCTTTACCCAAATCCCATGTACAAATTTCAACACAGGATTCGCAAGCTATATTGTAGTTTACTCGAAAAGGTGGCCGCTGGGACTCCAATCTTTTTGTATAACGCTTATTTTCACCACAAATTGTTATTAGTGATGTGATATACCGTACCGAGACTCCTTTTTATTGTGTAGTGTCAGAAAGTGAATAATTTGCCATATATTCAGCTATAGTGAACCTTTAATTTAATGAATACGACATGACACGGATAAGAACATCTTATATTTTACGACCAGTTTTCTCGCATTATTTTACGAGTTGTTATATATAAACAAAATGTATAAGAAATGTCAGTAATTTGTTTAATGTTGAGTCGTAATAATATTACACACGTCATATAACAAAATGGAAAGTTTTGCCGAAAACCGTCATTGAAAAACTTAGTCATCAACCTGAACTTACCGGATTTATTTTTTAAAAAAATGTTTATGTTTCATGACCTATGAATGTTATTGAGTTAATTGACCTGCGACATGTCGCATGTTCATATATTACGTAACAGTTGCAACAATTATAGGTCATGCACATGGCAGTTAGTAAACTGCAAATTATCTAACATAAATCACAACTGATTTATTTCGTTGCTAGTTTTATATTTCGATGTCTGCCTGGGGACGCGGTCGTTGCGTGGTTGACATGTCCGTGAATTGATTCCCGTTTGGACGAAACGAAAACCCGGGGTCCTGTGTACAATTTGGTAGTTCATGGTCTTGTTAAAGATCCGTTGGTAATTGAAATTCGATAAGTTTCATATTCATCCACACGTGCTAAAAATCTGTTTAAAAAAGTCACATTATATCATTTCTCGCAGAAGGGACGAAGAAGTAAACCATGGTTTGGCTCGATATCTTATTTGTTTCGTCACAAAAAAGGTTATTTAAAGCTTGACAATTTTTTGCAATTAAATGGTAGGCATATACCTATTTATTATAAAATAAAATACGCAGCAGACACTTAGACTCAATAACAATAATGGAGTAAGCATTCAACTAAAAAATTTATGCTTGGGTTGTTAACAACACTCCAACAGTGTTACATAGAGACAATGAATAGAATGAAACAAACAGATAAATTAATTATCGGCTGGAAAAAGTTTCCATATAAAATCAGAGAACCATGCACATGGAACCGAGTCAAACCGGTCGTTCCACAAGTCTAAGACTCTCTCTAAACACTACTAATACCTGCAAATCATTGGCATGTTAGTAAAGTATGTGGCGTTAATTTACCTAAAACGTGTTATTATACTATTATCTTTGAGATAGTTTGAATATTAATGCTGCTTGAATCAAGTTTTGTGAAAACTTAACTAAATGTTTAACTTTCTCAATTATGCCCCCTATTACGACGGCTGGTTGATTAGAGTAGTTTGCAAACAATTTTTTTTTTTTTTTTTTTAAAATACGGACTTCATTTGAGTCAGATATAAACAAAATTAATTTTTTTTTAATCGTACTTCTCTTCTAATTAAAATAACGGGCATACGACATTTCCACGAATCAGTCCAAGTATACATGTTTATTGGGTTTTCACGGAAATGCAGTAGGCATTAAAAACAGGAGTGACTTAGAGAATATTAAAGGGACATTATCACCAAGAAAATAAATGCAATTAATGCAGGCGCGTATCGAGAGATGGGGCGGAGTTGTGGGGCGTGATCTTCCCCTGCTCCCACAGAGCATTTATATTCTACATTCATCGAAATAACGTCGAAAATTGCTGCCATTTTGGCCTCACTCCATGCGGCGTCAATGCTGCGTCCGAATATATAGTGACACTAATAGTGGCAACGCAGACCTTGCGTTGCGTATGAGATGCCTGCCGCAAGGTTTGCATAGCTTATCTCTATGGAAAATCTAGAGGTACGCACTTATGTACTACAGTAACGCACTTGTCACATCCACAACACAGCGCTACTATTTGCTTGGGCAAAATATTGAACATGTTAAAAAAAAGACGAGGCCTTTTCGATACCCCTATTGGTATGCCTACCCGTACGTGACCCAATTACCGACACACGCCTTACGCTGCCTTGGCCACACACAACACACACTGACGTATGCATATACCTGCGCTAGGTGGTTGAAACGTGTCTCACATTCTTCTATTTCTAGGATACAATCTAATTATAAAATATCCGATGTAACTGTATAGTCAAACCGTTGAAAATATCCACAGCATAACATGTCTCTTTAATATTTTATGATATTCTGTAATTCATCCACATACACAAATAAAGTAGGTAAAATAAAATAGAGTATGCATACATGATCATTCATTTTTCAACCTGTTTTCATATTAACATTTCAATTTAGAAAAACAATTTGCTTAGTGACGTAAGAAACACTATACATATTTCTATATGGTGCTCATTGATGATCGCAAAGACATGTAGATATGCTAATTCATTTGTCAAGATGTATGCATATTAACATTTCAAATTAAAAAAAGAAAAAAATATTTTGCTTATTGACGTAATAAACACCATGCATATTTCTATATGATGTTCAACGATGAGCGCAAAGCCAATGTATCTATTTCGCAGTTTCGTTGTCATTTTGGACAGAATATCACTGATGGACAATAAACAGTAGCCCCGAGGCGTCAAATAACTAGGTGTCATGTAACTCTGTGTAACATTAGGTGCTATAATGATCACTTAAAAATATTAAAGACAATGGGACTAAACTTCACATCTACAAGGCAATCAGCCAGAACGCTGGATGTCAAGACCTCGTGTTTTAACATGACTTTATCACATGATAACTGCGTCAACCCCGAACCCGTTATTGCCATAAAACCGTGAATGTTAAAATGACAAGAGTAATGTCATAATAATATTATCCGAACATCACTTAGACATTAATGTACTAATTATATGACGTCACAAGCAGTTAACATTATTCGCATATATATGGTCATTACAAATCTCTCACATTTGATATCAACTAGTCAGAACACGGAGGACCGTGCGCAACCTTCTAAACTTCTAGTATAATGTTCATCTTTAGATAAAACACAGACAGATTTGTGTGTTTATGAAGCTTAGAGATCTATTACAAGTTGGGTAAAATGGTAGTTGAAAATTCGAGCGAAACTCCACCAATTCCAGCATCGATACATGATAAGCGACAGAGAAAACAGGCCATTGTCATCAGTTTACCTAACGAAGATGATAAATTTGGAACAATTTGTGAAGAAGAAGAAGGTGGTAATGGGTCTGAAGATAAGGGTCAGGAATCTGGTATCCGTATCCACATTACAGCCCCAGAGGATGACTCTGGTGTTGATACGGAGACTGGCACACCTTCCCCTCTTCAAACGGAATTTGATAAAGACAAGGAAGTAAGACCCGCCAGATTCCTTGTCCATCCTGTTTACGAAAAGAGACCCCAAAGGTTCCGAAAAATCTCTTCTTATTCAGCTGATTCTGAACACAGTGCACCATCATCTAATACTGTTGTCCCCAGTCGTAAAGGATCCACAGTTATGATACATGAACAGCCAGAAGTTATACAGGGATATGATAATTATCTCTCTGTAAATTCTAACGAAGGGGGTTACCATTACCACAACGAACATGTTGCGTCAGTACCAAAACAACATCGTATATCGGTGTTCTCTTGCTACAGTCAAGCTAGTCGAACCAGTTTCCAATCTGATCGGACGTTCCGTGATATGCAGGAGGCGCTTCCAAGCGCAGATCATTACCGAGATGCTCATGGGACATTTTACGATTTTAATCAAAGACCAACATTGTATCAGTTAAGAGAAAAACAAGTAAGTAAAGCTTCAGTTGAAATTGCAAGCAAAATTCTCCTCTTAGAAACAAAATGACCATAGTTTAGTCTTTAAAAAATGACCAATGTTTTGTACTGATAAGACGTTAAACCCCATTATTTTTTAAAATTTACTCATCCGGAGATTTGTCGTTTTGAACTTTAAAATCCATGTCAGCGGTTAGAATCAGACTGCCATATTCTTCAAAGCTATAAGTCAGACTTGGTCAGTTTACGAATATAATATCGTATAATTTATTTCAATAATGTATTTGCGCACATGGGTTAGACAAACGACTCCTTGCAACTTTCAAACCGGGAATTAAAACATACCATAAATGAAAATATGTTTCATAATGTAGTTGTATTTTTATTCGTGTACGTTTTTCTTAATAAATATTTTATGGTTTAGCAGCTTTGTATATTACGACCCGATATATCATTATGTTGGGACATGAGAATAATTTATGATTATATCGTCTGTGTTTTACTATTTTATTAACACATTTACTTTTCTTGTTATAACTGGGCAAAGCTATGGAAAAAATTCAGAAATCAAATAATTAAAAAGTACAAACTATTCTTGAAATGAGTATTAATATTGTTGTCCTGCTACGTGTATAGTTAGTTCCTGGGTATTTACTATATATACCCTTAAAAAGAAGTTGGGGATATTGAAATACAAATACCTATGCAGGTTGTGATATGATAAATAGTCAGGGACTCTTGACCTGCTTTGAGAGTATGTTCACAGTTAAAGAATTTATCGCCCCAACAGAACCACTGAGGGGTTCATTGTCAAATTTGACACTTCAAGGAAGGGTTGATGAAAACTGCCGTTTGCTGGTTTATCCTATCCATGTTTGCTTTCCTATCGGTTCTTGCATAAGATTTACTGTTTAGCGTATCCTTGCTTTAGTTTGTTACGTTTAATTTGATCGGGAGACGTGTTCGTCGACGTCAACGTCGACCGACAACACTGCAAAAATTGGCCATGGCACTGCAAGAGGAGTGGTTCAGATTGCCCCAAATCATGATTGGAGGGTTGATTAGGAGCATGCCACGACGAATTGCTGAATGTCTGGGGATTGGTGGAGCAATTACTCAATATTAAGACAAAAATAAAAAAAAAAACCCGTCCATTTTCACTTTTGACAGTGTAGGCCTATCTCTTTGCGACTGAAATGGGGCCGTCAGATAAGGCGTCCATATGAACTGTTTATGTTTATGTGTAGGCAATTGGCCTGTTATTAACATATACTGGTTACCTCTAATAAAAACAGCAGTGCATTTCCGCAGTTTTGTATTGTTTCTGAATATCCCCTACTTTTTTTGAAGAGAATATATTTGGCCGAACTAATATATTTGCCCCATAATGCAGAAATATGGGAGACGTTACAATGGGAATTCTAATATTTAAGTTATTACCTAGAAGACACACACCGCTACTCGAAAGTAGGTAGGAAAACTACTGGATATTCAGAAAAATTACCAGAACGCTTTTTTTATGCATTCATGATGGTTGAAATATTTTTAATATCAATATTTGCTCAAGTTTGTATTCGTATTTTAACGTATGACAAAGACTGTATTCGTCTAAAAATTTCGTCCATGGCGGTACATAATAAAATGTGAAAACAGATGATCTAACGGGCAAATCACCCAAATCATGTTAATGTTTCCATTGTTAATTTAACAAATTTCTGTTATATAGGACATTATAAAACCCGGGAAAGGTATAGGAGATGATCTAAAGGATGATGTCGAAGAAGGTAAAACAACGCCACCAGCCGATATGGCTAAGATGGGGTGGATTCAAGGTGTTCTGGTAAGTTCTATTTGCACTTAAATGCTGCAGGTCATATCAGTAAATGCACCCTTGAATGAACTAAATTTTGACTTTGGACATTAAGAATTCCCCGGATATAGCCGCTTCAGCCAGTTTTTCTTCGGATTCCAATCTTTCCACCAAACTGTGTTTATTTTCTTAAAAAATAGTATACACCTTTTGTGTTGTATTTGCAGGGGAGTACATAAAAATTTTGTTTGGGGGGTGTTTGGCAAAAATGCGACCGACTGATGCACATGCCCCTAATACGAGTGACGCAGTCAGGGGCCGAGCACCACAGATGACAGCTAGGAATAGGGGGTGGGGGTGGGTGGGGGTAGGTTCCAAACCTATGGTGCTATCCACAATCACACCCCACAATGAATGTCAACAAAATACTGGCTATAACACTGGGCGTCCCGGTAGAACATAGATCGTATTATATAGTTGTTCGCCGATCGTTATCTCGTCGGAAAGTAGTTTTATTCAAGTTGACATAAAGTTTATGTCATATAATATGATGATTGTTATTGATTTTATTATTAAATTTATGCGAACAGGGCAGTGACTAAAACACTGAGCAACCTGAGAAACTTTTGAAAAATTAAATCAATCCTGACATTTGAGATCATTGCTGGAAACAAATTCTTGTGAACAAGAGAACCAGAAATAGGAGTCAATGGAACATAATCTGGAAATCTGCCCCTGAAAATTCCGCCTGTTTTGCAAGAGTTGTCAGAACATTTGTACAGTCTAACGCCCCAGGACCCACGCCCCAGCGGTACTACTAACTGGGCAGTTCACTATAACCGTATACTGAGGCAGTATAAGACCACTGGGATTAAATATGCAACAAGTAAAGATTATTAAGTACAACAGATCGCCTTAACATTTCATATTTCTGAAACAAACTATGCTTCCGATAACTTCTTACCAACAGTACTGTTCGACTAATGTTATTCGTATGACAATATTTTGAATTATCAAAATCTTCGTAACAAGCTCTCAATTTCTTAGACCAACATACTTATACCAAGGATTTTGTTTTCAAATATTACAAATTGACTAGGTTATTTTAATGGTTTTCCTTCTATTTTGGCATTATTTACCTCATTAATTCATTTAATCTGAGACCGATTGCAGTGAGCACTTATTTTGAGACCGACTATGTGACTTAAGAAATTTAGGTGCACGTATATTAAGTATTTGAGATTTTTCCCTTCTATTCTTGCATTGTTTGTTTACTTCATTAATTCATTTCGTCAGTCACCGATGCATAATTTTGAGACCGACTGCAGTGACTGTTCGTATTTTGAGACCGACTAAACAGAATAAGGGTAAAAAACATTTTTTCAAACATAAGTTGACATGGTTATTTTATACTAAAGTTTTGGGTGAGGAGCGTGACGTATGCAATTTAGGTGCACGCATTTAGTTATGCATATATATTACATAGAAGTACTTGTACTTCATCTTCTTTAATTTATATACTTACCATTGGTCAGTATTGTGAGTTAAGTAAGCATCGCTGATATTCCGACCCTGGTTGAAAGATGAAATAAAGAACATTACATATTATTGGAGATTATTTTTGTTTTAATTTTAGATACGATGTGTGTTGAATATATTTGGTGTCATGTTATTTCTAAGATTAACATGGATAACAGGCCAAGCTGGTATCGGATTTGCCTCCCTTATTATACTACTGTCATCGTTTGTTACTGCTATAACTACCATGTCAATGTCCGCCATTTGTACTAATGGTGAAGTTAAAGGGGGTATGTACATGCCATACATTAATCAAATTCCAGTTACAGATGAAAAATCCGCCTAAAACCCACGTACACGTGTTTAGCTTCCAAATACATTTTTGGAATCATATCAGTACCAGGATACATTACTGGTGTTTCAGTCGCGGGTTCCCCTTATACACTTTCTTTGCACTTATTAAATCTAATGCATGCAAATCCTAAATAAGATCTAGGGCATCAACCTATATCCATGACTATCACGGTGTACACGTGCAAGATGAAAATTCTGTTTTAGTATGCATAGCTTGACTAATACTAGAATATTAGCCAAAACGGTGTGATTTTACCTAAACATAAAGAGTTGAATTTCTCATCTCGTTTCAGATACTATACGATCATTCTGAAATATTAATGTGGCGATATCATAAAGAATGATCTATAAAGATACCAATATTTATGGGGGTTGATGGGCCGAATGGTCGTTAGGTTATTCAAATGGCGTGGTCTCGATTTCTCGCTAGTACGTGAAATGGGTCGCCTGTCCAACCTCCGGTTTCCTCTGCTAAAGACCTCCAACGCGCAAGCGGATTATTGAAATAAAATTAAACCATAAATGACCTAGTTTGTGTCGAGTGGATCTTACCTCTCTCTCTCTCTCTCTCTCTCTCTCTCTCTCTAATACTTATATCTTTAATGAAACAAGCAAAACTTATTTATTTTGAAGGAGGTGCTTATTACATGATATCAAGAAGTCTTGGACCAGAATTTGGTGGTGCTATTGGAGTAGTGTTTTCTTTAGCTAATGCTGTAGCAGCTGCCATGTATGTTGTAGGGTTTGCCGAGACAGTTCGAGATCTATTATGGGTAAGACTCGGTCTGTTTCTTCACCTATCTGTCTATATCTATTTTATGTTGACAGTATGGTGTTTGACCGACTTGATTTTTTTTAGAAATCGTCTTAAATGTATCGAATTATATGTTTCATTTCAAGTGGTCTTCGTTGTATCAGGTTCCAAGATCCTACACATTGTTATTAAATAACTTAATATAAATATTTTCAAGGCCATTCTCCAGGTTTTGTTGGGTGGGCGTGGGCTGTATCTATCATGGGGTCCTTATAGCTGTGTTAGTTTGGATTCAAAGGTACAATGCGTGATACGTATGGACCAATTTTTTTAAAACAAGTTGGAGGGATACCGCTGTACTTACTGTGTGACGAGTAGTATGCAGCGTCTTGTGCGTTGCATCTTCACTGCTCACAATGGTGGTGACCACCATATTGCATCAACGAAAGTATATAATGATTCCTTGTGGCGAAAATATTTTTGACATCAGAGCATCATACATATACGTATACATAGAGCAGAATCACCTTGTCTGGGTAACAAACGTTCTTTCGGATAAGTTGCTTTGTCGACAAATTATGGCCCTTTAGTTTGAATTTCGACCGATTGATTTCCGACGACGAAATATTATGTTACTAGTATAATATTTAAAACAGGTCCTATTCGACCCCGTCTCCACACCCACTCACTCGACCTCATTCGTCCGACAGCTTTCTACCCTTAGCAAGGTTGCTGCTGTTGGGAAACCTAAAATTTACATGAGAACTTGAAGTACTCTCATAAAATCTATTATAATAAAATCATTTGGTTTGAACTTTACAGGAGAATGGTATTGTACTTACTGGTGATCAACTACACGATGTGAGAATAATAGGCTGCATTCTATCTGTATTTATATTAGCTGTGGTTTTAATAGGTTTAGATTTTGAAGCAAAGGTAAATTGGGATTTTTGAATCCTCTAGAATGAGCCCCACATGCTTTTCTGTCACCCATTAATAGTAACTATAAATAACCAAGACAAAATCTATTTCAAGCAAACTCTTTTTAGACTAGATAGTGTACTTGCAAATTTGAGATTACGAAGCTTGGCTTCGGCTCGGCTAAGGTCCATCATCTTCAATAGAAGGCTTGATCTCGCTTTAACTACGTACATCTTATAAAGGCCTTCACGCAATACCCTCCATATTTCGGCACTAATTTCGATTGGGTATTCACCCAGCTTGTGAGCCTATCAGATTCCTCGATCATCGCGAATACCAAGTCTCGCGCTTTCCAGCTAAATGTCTACCTGTGGTAATCGAGATGCAAAGTTCAAAATTCGTTCAATGTCAAGATTTCCGTGGAGGTCGCTATGTCACAACCTCTGATTGAACGCTACTGTTCACGTGTCTGCAGATAACGTAGCTTTAAGTTCGGGAATTGTAAAGTAATCTAGCAACGTCCAGATGTTGTAAAACTCGCAGTCGTTGCTTCAGGAACATGAAGATCCATAGAATTTGGCTAAGGACCATAGAATTTTCCAAAGATTCCATTTCAAGAAATGGCTAGATGGTGTACAAATTTGAGATTATGAAGCTTGGCTTCGGTTAAGGTCCATAGAATTTGGCCATGGTCCATATAATTTTCCAAAGATTTAATTATACGTATCCTTTCATGTTTATAAATACCGCACAATGATAACTGAACACGTGTTTTGCTCAACTGACGACAAAGCAGAAGCAGCTATTTTTTCTGTCAAGTCCAATGCTAATGTCGCTTTTCAGTTCAATTCTTCTGGTAAGGAATTGTAAACTCAGCCCTAACTATCTTACAAGAGCGTTCACTGAGGATGGAGACTTTCTTCCTTCTACTACAAATCATCTCGCGATACATGTAATTCTGATTGCAAAACAAAACTGACATAGATACTGCATAGTAATAAAATATTAGTAATTATTTATGTACTCATAATCAGTGATGCATTTCATTTGCAGGCACAGTTAGTATTATTGGTTATATTACTAGCTGCTATCGTAAACTATTTTGTGGGGACTGCTCTACCACCAACCCAAGATCAAAAGCTGAAGGGATTCGTGGGTTACTCGGGTAAGACAAGAATTATTTGATCAAAACAGGTTGAAAAAGATCTGAAGATTTCTAGTGAACTAAAAATTAAAATTTATACAATTCATTTGATTTCATACAGGTGGCTTTTTTTTTCCAGGCGATTTATTCAAGAAAAACTTTCCACCAGATTTCAGAGGGAACAATAATTTCTTCTCGGTCTTTGCCATTTTCTTCCCTGCGGCCACGGGTATTCTTGCTGGTGCCAATATTTCTGGAGATTTAAAGGTCAGATGAAACTCAGTGTTGATTTCAACTTTCAACAATATGTATAACACAAAATTCGGCCATTTATAAAATGATCAATTTTCAATTTAAATGATATCTTCGACCAACTAAACCTAATTTTACCTGAAATTGCTTATGTTATGTGCCCACTGTCACGATTGAAATTGTGGAGTTATCGTGGTGATCCTAACTGATCTTATCATATATTGTTGACAGTCGTAGCAATCGTGTTGACATTATCGAAACGTATCTGCACATACCAGATCGTGGACTCAATATGGACACTCTTATCGTAACGCATCGCACGGCAGTGGGAACCCTAGCATTAATAAGCACATAAGAAATTAAATATACGCTAAGTATTACGAGTCTTCCAATACTACGAGATGTATAGGCGCGTACATCGCTCTCGCTAATTTCCCAGTAACGACTACAGAGATGGTCCATTCATTGTCGTATAATTGAGGCTTTGTAAAATTGAATTTCCAGATTGTCAAAAAAGCTTCCCTTGAATTATTTAGACAGATACAAACATTTTATATCCAGTAGTTTGGGTACGTCTTCCAATCGATGGTTATGTATTTAGCATGGTGACTGTCGAGGAAATATCTTTAAGTTTGTTTCTGCAGCAGTTCATCAGCCCTATTAACTGAAAACCATGAACACGACGTATTTATTTATTTACAGAACGCGTCAAAAGCTATACCAAAGGGAACTTTCGTGGCTATATTTTTAACATCTGCAATATATCTGGGTATGGTGTGGTGTATTGGTTCTACAATGCTAAGAGATGCTGTAGGGGATTTACCAGTGAATGACGATAACGTCACAGATTTATTACTTACAACTGATTTAATAAGTCAGTGTAGTAATACAACTTGTGGTTACGGTCTTATTAATGACAATGCTGTAAGTTCATTTTATATATTAAAATATATTGAATAGTTTCCTTTGTTGTCAAATTTAAACTCAGTTATCAATGAAACGGTTTTCAGAATACCCCATTTTAATTATACTCAACCAAAGAAGAAATTAAAAGGTTTATGATATTATTAATTTTAGGCAGTTGGATTGGCATCGGCATTTCGCCCTCTGATTCTAGCGGGAATATTCTCTGCTACACTATCATCAGCTCTGGCCAGTATGGTTAGTGCACCTAAAGTATTTCAGGTAAGTACCAACAGTTATAATTGCGTTTTATCATGTTTTGTTATTAGTTGGATAATCAGCTACAGTATCGTCATCTTTATTGATATTTTGAATAACATCTGGGGTATAATATTGCCAGTAAATAATTCTGTATAACATCACATATGGGGCACTAGCATTGGCAGTACATAATTCTGTAGATAATCTATGCCTATATATGAAACTGAATATAAATTATACGCGATGGGGTGCCTGGAAACCTATGTTAATAATTCATCTTTCTCTTTCTTCATTTTAGGCTTTAGGTAAAGATAAGTTATTTCCCTTTATTCACTATTTTGCGAAAGGCTTTGGAAAATCAGGAGAGCCAAAGAGAGGTTACTTCCTGACTTTTGGTATTTGTATTGGTGTAACATGTATAGGTAAGACTTACAATAAATTTGATATATAGCTTATTCGCAGTTATCATGGGAGTAACACCGGTGTTGATCTGTCTTTGGCCGGTTATGCTAATGGCTTGCCATATCCTACAATTTATCCAGGAGATAAGGATTTTTTTTTTAGAATTTGCATTAAATTTCACCAAACTCGTTGTTTACAATTTTGATGTTTCCCCTTCTCTAAAGGGTTCATTTACAATAAATCAGTAGTACTTCGTTAGTCGTGTAGAATTGGGTTGTTTTGTTGGTTGCGGGGTTGGGAGGGGGAGCACCATTATACTTGAACAGCTGATCGGTTACTCCATCAGTAACACTCCAGTCCTTCCTCTCCAATACAAAAAAAAAATATTTTCTTTTTGCGTTTGTAGCGCATTTTTTTCTACCAAAGAGTCTTTATTTTTAATTGCCCAGTGGGATATAAATTCTTTGCTTGGTTTCATAATATAAAACTGACGTATGCCATCTTCAACAATAAATATTTTTATTTTTTAAGATAAATGTATAATATGTCACCAACACATAATTTAATCTATTTTGACCCATGTGTCTCCTTTATCCATGCCGGTCACATAATAATATGTACATAAAATAAATCATAGAGCTTCTTTAAATTTGTGAACCGTAGAAAAAAATATGTTTTGGACAATGTAGGTCTTTGACTATTGTGTTTCTACATCCTACAACATTTCCTTACTTACGTAGAAAATACATTAATTATTATATGATAAATTAATATGTAATTTAATATAGAACATACAGTGGGATATATATCTATTATTTATGCTGATGAGTATTATACTTTATTTATTTTCCTTTGAATTTTGATTCCATCTTTTTTTCAGGCGCGCTAGATATAATAGCTCCTATTATTTCAAATTTCTTCTTAATGGCCTATGCTCTCATAAACTTTTCTTGTTTTGACGCCTCATTTGCAAACACACCAGGTAAGCCTAAATGCTTGTTCTTTTTTATGAATTGATTAACTTTATTCCTGATATTCCAAAATATATTTTTAATATCAAAGTGAAGTGATAAAGATATCAATTAAACCGCTTTCTCCGAAATAATGATTCTTCTTACCTATTATGCCTTTAATGTACGGATTACAAAAACACCACATTTATATATTTAGATTTAAATAGACATTAATTATCGCTTTCACGAAAAGAATGAATGCAATATATTTTGAGTGTGAAATATTTAAATTAACCCAACACTCGCGTAATTATGAAAAACATCCCTGAATGATTTAACATTATACCGAAATATTCAGCATTATTAAATAACATGAAATTTGTTTTTCAGGATTCCGACCAGCATTTAAGTTCTATAATAAGTGGGTCAGTTTAATGGGATCTCTGTTATGTGTTGGAGTGATGTTTTTGATCAATTGGTGGGCAGCTCTAGTCTCCTTCGTCATTATTTTAGCTCTATATGTCTACTTAAAGCACAGAAAACCAGGTTCAGACATTGTATTTTTCTTTTACTTGAAAACCCTACCTCTCCTTTCAGATTTTTTCTAAATATAAAAATTTAAAACATAAATAGCATACCTCAGCAGAGAAAGAAAAATAATAAAACAGTGTCGATATTCAATATGGTCATTTTTGCCTCAACATGTTCTTAACGGTCTGAAGTGTAGCTTCCTGAGAAGTTTCCACTAATAATAAGGTCGCTTCAGTTATTTAAGATAAGCCCTTAAAGCATGCCAGTTGCTGTATTTTAGTCACCGCCCCCTACCCCCCACTTAAGTAAGCTTGCAAAAGTTTGAATAACTGTTTACCGTTTACATTTATTTATATTATTTTAATAATTTTATACAAAATTTCAATTTTTCAGATGTAAATTGGGGTTCATCTTCACAAGCCCATGCCTATAAAGACGCTCTGCAGACATCCCTTAGATTAATGAATGTTGAAGAACATGTTAAAAATTTCAGGTTAGTTTCGAAAACTTCATTAATACCAACCAAGCGGGGATTACAAAATAAATGTTTTATAATATGATATGATGTTTATGATTATATATGTATATTAATATTGTTTTTCAGACCTCAAATTTTGGTGTTGACCGGGTTCCCAAGAAACAGACCAGCCCTTGTAGATTTTGTTTCAACTATAACAAAACGCCAAAGTCTTTTAATCTGTGGACAGATATTTATGGTAAGTTTGCTGCATATCATGTTACAATGGTGAAGAGAATGAGCTGATAATGCTCGTTACCTAGTTTTTAGAAATTTGACAAATTACATGTATGACAGGCAAATACGGGACTAGTCCTTGCACACCCTCCCAATTTTTTTTTGCCAATGCGCATTGGCAAAACCAAATGTTTTTTATACAAAAAATGAAAAGAAGCGTGTATGCTTAGAATATGTTTCCGGTGTATTGTATAAAACTGTGACCTTAAATAAACGGAGAGTCGCCTCTTTATAGATATGGCGTAATGGTAGCACCGTACCTGCATATTATTGACTTTATTGAGCTTTTGAATAAAATATACCTTTTAGGTCTGAACTGACAAAATTCGGCCAGAAAATCATTCAATAATTTCCTGCTTTTCTGGAAAAAGAGTTCAGGGTCCAGATTAAATTGAACTAATTTCTTATTTGATTATAATTCTATTCTTTAAGGGTGATATGTATGAGCATGTTAACAGATTAAGATCAACAGCCGCCTATAACTGGTTTAAGAATAGAGATATTAGGGCTTTTTATACGAGTGTTGTAGCTCCTAACCTGAGATATGGGTCACAAGTTCTTCTTCAGGTAAATATTAGTCCCGATATAATAAACAAAGCATAAATATTAAGAAATGATAATGATAATAATAAAAAGATTAAAAACTTTTCCCTTTCAAACACCATTTCGCCACAGGGTCTCCAATAAAAAAATCTGTCAACAATTGTTTTTTTTCCTCAAGATTGTTGGTGGGTGTTTCCTAAAGTGTGCTTTTTCTTTAAATTTCTTTTTGTATATTATTATTAAATCTCGTTTTTAATATATTTTTTCACAGCATATTTGTGGTTGTGCGAAGTTTTGTGTTTTTATATGAATTTATTCAATTTATTTTTCATTATTTGTAAGCAGCTTAAAATATGTATGATCACCTAAAATTTATTTTGTACATATTTTATGTATTTTAAATTTCAGTCTCAAGGTATGGGTAAACTAAGACCTAATACTTTAATACTAGGTTATAAAAATGACTGGCAACTAGATGATCCTAGGGCAGTTGATTGTTATTTTAACGTTATTAGGTAAAATGATAAATTACTTTCAATAGTTTTAAAAAATTAAAATTGAATGAACATAATACTGGACTGGCGGTGATAGCCGGTGTATGGCGACCTGTTTGCGGAGTACATGCCGCTGCATTCGGCCTTCCATTCGGCGCGGTCTATTATCCCCGATATGTCAAAAATGAAATGAAATGAAATGGGGTTTAACATCCTATTGTTCTGCACCTGACCGGGCTAATGAAGACGGGCGTACGTCATACAGTGTGCTATTTGGGGAATTTTGCCCGGACAGCGACACTACTGCCTACTCTTATATATAATTACAACTGCGTAACGACTATACGTTGTCCCTTGCCGGCTGTTTTGTACCCCAATATGTCAAACTTGTGATACTAGGACCAACAATTAGTGTTACTATAAGGTCGCCTGGTCGGAGAATTTGAGGTCGATCATAGTGTATGAGGATGCTGTACGCCCAAGTTTGGCGTGGTTGGTTGCCGTTTATTAAGATTTTCCGACGTGGTTTCTCCTTGTCAGTGGTGTAGAGCAGAGATCCTGACAAGGACATCTGACTAGTCGTTCGGATGGGAGGAGAAAAACTGGGGACCCGTGTATACATTGGCGTGTACATAAAAGATTCCTTGGCAGTTGGAATTCGATATAAGAGTAGGCCATAGTGCCGCTGCCCGGGCAGAATTTTCCTCATAGCACACTGTATGGCGTATGTCCGACTTCATTAGCCCAGCCGGAGCAGAACAGTAGGGCGTTCAACCTTATTTCATTTCATATCATTTCATTTGTTAAGACGCGTCGGTGTCAAGCGGTTCTTATAATTCGTATCTACAGTTTTCTCATCATTGTATTTTATTTAATCTTTATTTTCTTTTTAAATAGTGATGCGTTTGATCTTCATTATGGTGTGGGTATATTACGTGTATCAGAGGGTTTAGATGTACACAAAATACCTGATGAATATTTAGATAAAACAGACGATACCATCGAAAACCTCATTAATAATGATAGTTCGGATGAAGGTAAGAATGATGTCCGTCACAACAGTAAATACTATATCCTTATAATATATCAAATGTCCTTATAAAAGAGAGAGAAAGGGAGAGAAATGTGGTTTAACGTCCACTCGACACAAATTAGGTCATTTATGGACTAACATATGGTTCAATTTTATTCCCATAATTCGCTTGCGCGTAGGGGTCTTTAGCAGTGGAAGGAAATCGGAGGACCCGGAGAAAACCTACGAGGTTGGACAGGCGACCCTACTCCTTGTCACGTACAACCGGGGAATCGAAACCACGCCAGTTGACTCAATGACACACTTTATGATACAGCGCGCACGTGCTAACCATTAAGACCCCCCCCCCTCTCGTCCTTATAAAACGGATAAAATGAATCACTACTCTATCCTATTCAATCATTTTCAAGCACAATATAATCTAATTACAAAATTGTAAATGGTTTTAAATATAAAATGTTTGGTTACGTGAGGCTTAGTTTTAAAGGGAAGCAACCCTAATTTTCTCAACGAAGAAATTCAAGATAATGTCTGGAACGTCTTTTATTTCGAACATTTTATGGTGGCCCCTTCCGTGTCAACATAATAAGATTCAACTGTATATTCCAGACGACGAAGACGATGATGATGAAGATGAGGTCGATGCTCTCAGTGGTAGAATTTCTGATACACAAGTACCAGAAGGAGAAGGAATAGTTTTACAAAAAATTACCAAAACGGATGGTGGTGCTGACAACCATACATTCCAGGCGGATGACTGTAGCTTTGAAAATGAAAAGGAGGGAGTCGACATAAAGAAAGATTACCCGGAAATGAAATTAAATGTTCATGAATTGAAATTAACAGATTTTGAGAAAGAACAAAGAAAGAAATATTTAAACATGAAATCGTTCGATGAAGACAAGGCATGTAATAGGTTTAAAGTGAAACAAGAAGGAACTATCGATGTTTGGTGGTTGTTTGATGATGGAGGTAACAAATTAAACATGGTCTTCTTTATGTTAACAATTAACTGATGACGACAGAATTAGTCAATTAATCACATGTCAGCTGTATGGTTTCCATCATGTTATTCGCACCCATTGGCATGACCAACCTCTTAATTGACCTAATTTAGTTGACCGCGCTTATTTTTTGTTGTTGGTTCATTACTTGAAATTAGTATTAAAAGGATATCTTAGTCACGCCAATGAAGAGTATAGCCTATTTCTGATGAGCTAATCTTATATTTAGCAACAAAAACATATTCCATGTTGCCTAATTTGTGCAGTTTGTTATATATTTTTGTGTTCTTAATCTATTTTTTTCTACTCAGTAATAATAGCCAAAACACGTTCAACAAAGTTCAACAAAATTTCGTACAAGCACGCCGTGACAGAAATATTAGAAATATAATAAATATTTGACGTAAATAAACAATGATCCCTATTAAAATTGCTTATTTGTGATAAAAAGAAATTTATGCCCCCGAAAGAGTAACAAACCTCTTTACTTTTCCCGCGGTCCGCTAACATGAGTATGGCCATACCATGATATAAGTTCAAAAATAAAATGCTGTTTTATAAATTAAGCGGTTCGTGGCCATAATAGACCAAAAATTTAGGGTGAATGTTACAAAGACTAGGATGAATGTTATACGATATTTGTAAGTTATTTGTTTATTCAGAATGGATTGTTATCCAGATATGTTTTATGAATGTTTCAGGTCTAACATTATTGATACCATATATACTATCAAAACGAAAACAGTATAAATCATGCAAACTACGAGTGTTCTGTGCTGGTACAAAGAGAGAAAATCTGGAGGAGGATCACAGAAGGTGTGTACCGAATAGTACCCTGCCTTTGTAATTTTCACCGATTGCTCTTAAATTCGATAAAGAAGGAAATGTTGAACATGTGCTTATATACAAATTTACAATTTTTGACGTAATCAAAACAGGAAATGTTATCTCTTCGGTAACATGCCCAAAATTAGCCCTCGTTGACGTACTTTATGCTAGTTGTTAACTTTAGTTTTAAGTGCACATTTTAAAAACAAAAACGGAGAATATTTTACTTGTAGACTATAATTATTTTGTTGATATTTTTTATCAGTGCTCTAAGGTCACAAATCCCACGAGTCTTTAAATGCCCAAATATAGTTAAAATCAAAACGGTTTATTTTTATTTCTAGTGATATAATTTCTTTATTATTCTATGTTTTGCTTCGGGGGTCTACTTTCAAAATGTGTTTCCAGTATATCATTTTGCTTGTCTACAACTCGTGTTTGCGGCCAATTTGTATAGTATTCTTTATCCAACTTTTCATTTATAAAAAATGGGTACTAATTGTTAATTTTGAATTTCAGAATGGCAACATTATTGAGCAAATTCCGTATCGAATTTAGCAGCATAACTGTTATACCAGATCTTAAAAGAAAACCAAAACGAGCAAGGTACGTAATAATATGATATTACGGTTTGTTTGTTAGTATCGCAGAATAAAAGGCGACAAACTTTCAGACAAAACACAGTAAAAGGGATCTTATTAAAAAGTATTTTGATCTAAAAATGGATAAAAACAATTAACCGTTTGTTTTACTCAAAGATCGAATGTCGAAGCCTTAAAGTTTTTGTAATTTCAATCCAGCCGTGGAATCTAAACAAGGGTTTTGTTTTATTAAATGTATAACTAACCAAGTCCTAGTGATCTTATGGTGTTTTCGTGCTTTAATGTACAGATCGATGTAAATGAAATGAAATGAAATGGGGTTTAACGTCCTACTGTTCTGCTCCGGCTGGGATAATGAAGACGGACATAAGCCATACAGTGTGCTATGATGCAAATTTTGCCCAAGTAGCGACACTATGGCCTACTCTTGTATCTAATTCCAACTGCCAAGGGGTCTTTTACGTGCACGCCAATGTGTACACGGGACCTCGGTTTTTCGTCCCATCCGAACGACTAGACAGCTTTCCTTGTCAAGCCCTCCGCAGTTCGATGTATTCTGATACTACTTAGTAGAGAGCGCATAACTTTCCTTTTGGAAACTACATATAGTTTTTTTAGTTCACCCTTGATTTTGAGTTATACGGACATACTGTTAACTTTATTCATACATTCATTTTGCAATTAATCGCCCTTTCCCTTTATTTCAGTTACAAGGAGTTTGAGGCTATGATATATCGATGGAGATTAGGACCAGGTGAAAGTGAATACGATTACCCCTGGAAAATATCTAACACCGATTTAATGACACATAAACAAAAGGTTGGACATTTTTAAATATTGTACCCAAGGTCCACTGAGTGTAATTGGGACTGTCATTCAATATGGACATGTCATGTCAGAACCATAATCTCCCTGACATGTGGTCAGATCGACCCTTGCTTGTTGTCATAAATGCATTGTATATTATTGATGTTTAATTTATGTTTACATTGACGACAGTAGTTAATATTGATCTATTGTTTGATATTTTAGACGTACATGCAGATTAAACTGAGAGAGAAGTTATTAGAACATTCATCTGAAGCGGCATTAATAGTCATGTAAGTACAAGCGCGGATGCTGGATTTATATTACAGGTTGGGTTGGGAAAGGGGACGGGGATTCAGAAAATGACACTTGGTTGACGACAAGCGGAGCGAAGTATTAATTATTTTGGACTCTGCGCAGCTGATCGTTAAAAATTGCATTATTTCTCGAGTGTTGTAGTGTTATCTTTCAATAACTAAGCTGTACCCACTTGCATCGGTCGGACACTAATAGGGACATTAAAATGTAACCTTTATTTCATTAGATGAGCTACACTAGATGAAGAAATTGTTATTTTTTTTATATATCTGACCTTTTAATCGGGTTAATGATTGATTAAAATTAACCTTGACATATCCAAATGATCTGTTCATTGACTTACAGGTACGGTCGGTCAGGTCAGGTCAGTTGCCAAACCTTACTGGATTATCTGCTTTGGCCAAATTACCCCAATCATTTTATACACTAATAAAGATAACAAATAAAACTGGTTTTGAGAAATAAATTCATCATGCCACACTTTATTTAATTTTTTATTACACAAGTTGAAGATACGAGTTTATTAAGAAACCGTGTGTCATAAGTTTGATTTATGTTTAAACCCCGACGAATAATAAAATAAAATATATAAATCTCATAAAATTATGCTTACGATATACATGTTCGACTTCATAAAAAAGCGATAAAAAGTATTAATGTACAAATTAGCATACACAAACAGCGGGGCAGTCTTCAAATATTATGATTTACATATTTTGACCCTTGACATCATAACTGTGATATTTATTATAACACCGAACCCCTATGTCTTGGTTATCTGATATATGATATGTAATACAAATTTCTTTAATTTATATACCTTCATGTCAAAAGTAAGCTTACAAAACCTATGTTCCTTACATAATCGTACGTAAAAAGTATGTCGAATTAAAAGAAATCATTATTATTTAAAGAAAAAAAATTGAAACTGAAGTATGTATATTTGAGTTTTGCATTTCTTTTATGAAAAAGATACGTATTTATCTTTTTGGAGATATAAATAATAGGCGTCATATTTTGAGCTTTTGAAATACAATAGATTCTGGACGAGTTTAAATATAGTTTCTTGGTTATAAGATAATACCAGCAAACAGATTTATAATCACAGTACATTAAAAGATTTAATATAGATCTCAATTCAGTAAATAAATTTCGATGTTTCAATATATGACTAATTACTACAAATAACTTAATCGAAATCTTTCGAGCCTTTAAGGGCCCCTACTAATCACCCACAAGTGTGTTCGTTTGTCAAAAGCTCCCAAAGTATTGTAAAAAGTGGCCGATAAGAAAAATTAGTTATAGATATGCATATTCTACATATCATATTAAAATTTCATTGAAATGATTTCATAAAAAAATCTGACAAAATTGTGGACACAAATACGCTCTTGTCGGTGATTATTTGGACCACCTTTTAAAGATCCAACTACACAGTCTTTCAACTAAATGAAATTGTAATGTATTTTTGTACTATTAGTTTAACGATGTGTACAAGTAATTAAAATCCAACTTTCTTTGTTTTACTTTCAGGACCCTTCCAGTTCCAAGAAAAACATCGTGTCCAGCCGGTTTATATATGGCATGGTTGGAGATGTTGACTAATAATTTACCACCAACACTTCTACTTCGTGGAAATCAACAAAGTGTACTCACTTATTTCTCTTAATCCAATATTAGTTTACTTTACTGTATATACTGTACATAGATTTATTGTAGTTTAGTTCAGTAGTAATATAAGTAGGTATGTTTTATTTATTTACATTTTTTAACTGGACCATAAAATAGTCACAATAATCACCAGCAATAAATTGTGGGTTTTTTTAAAAAAAAAAATAATAACGATAATTCATACATTTTAGTAAATTATTATTTTAAGGTTAGTTTTATGAAATTAAATAAAACCAAAAATACATCGTTTCATTGTACCTTGTGTGTTTGTTTTGTTCTTAATCAATCTGTTACTGATGCAGTTCAGAAAAATGTCGTCTTGAAACGTCCTAGATTATGCCAAAAGAGTAAAAGACATAGTTAGATTCCCATGTACTCGCTATCACTAGTATGCTCTATATTAACAAGCTTCAATGTCGGGGTTTTAACATCCATCTAAGAAATCTGTCTTGTTTTAAAAACTATATGTGTGTCCAAAAATTTCAGTAAGCTTCTCCCTTACCCCTAGTTCTTTAAAAAAAAAGAGTGGCTAGGAACACCTACCTGTAGATTGTTCAGAAGAAAATATAGACAAACCGGTGGACGCATGTGACGACTTTATATACAACATGAAATTGAAAGCGTAAGAATCACCCCAACCCTTCCCTCCACTGCCCTTCACCCCCTTCTAATCCAGATCCCGAAAAATCTACTAGTTCGAAGTTTCCACTTATTTAATTTATTCCAGCAACCGAGCTGCACATTATGTGTTGGGCCTTTACTTGATTTTATTGCAACAACTTGATTGTTCCTCTACAAACATTTACACCTCTTCAGATTTACATTAATAACCATTTTATTACCCTACTTACAAGTCGCTTGTGTAACATATAAATAATTATATACAACCTAGATTACCTTATGAATACAAGATTTACTAATTCTATATTAGTATATATTTGAATTATGCGTGTTCACGGAATAAACTACTGACGCGGTAGAGCTATCCCTGGCGTATTCATCATTTATTTATTTATTATCATCTTGAATATCTGTTTACAAGTCAAAAATGAATAAAACAAACCCAAAGTATAGAACAACTCGACATGTACTTGATACAAATTAAAATGAACACGTGTAAGTGTTTAAAATCATTGTACACGAAGGTCGTGCGTCGTGTTCTTGAATAGCTACTGTTGCTCTTAAAGGGAATTTTCTTGTCCTGTCTTTAAATTTAAACCGTCAGAAGGTCATTTGCTTAAAAGGTATACACGTGTATGTTTTATTTGTTTGACATAATACATATTTTCATGACGTTTTATCCATGCTTTTTGGTATAACAGCAACGGTCGTATAAGCAATTTGAAAGGAGCATGGCATAAAACAGAAAGCATAGGCCTAGGGTAGAATTCAGTTCACTTATGGAAATCTTGGGGAATATGCCAATGATGAATGAAATCTCCACTCCCACCCCTTCCTTTTTATTAATAAACATTTGACACATTTTATTTTTGAATTTAATCTTCTGATAGGGCCAGTCGACAGCCCATATTTAACGACACCTTCAATATCAACCTCGGTGGAAGGAGGGCGGCAAGAACCACAAACGAACATACGGTTGCCAGTCAATGTGTATTGTTATAGCTTCTAGCACTAGTTCTAGTTTTCTTTGCCCGGAGTTTACAGTAAAATGATTTATAAGTATACGTCAAAACCCGTTTTAAATATATTGTTCCGACAATATAAATCATAAAGACATAATGACAACTAACATACTTTGTTTTTACATTATGCAAATATGTAATTTGTTCAGGGATCCGTTTTATTTGTATAAAGTGATTTTGACGAGTGTAAGATTATCCGAGATCGACATACAACAATCCAGGATTTAAAACCAAAAGAACCTAGGCCTATATCAATTTATGATTGAAATCAATTATTATACTAATTTAGGGTGCGTTCTTTGGTGGATTTTTAATTTGTTCGTCCCCCCGTAGTTACTGTTGAAGATGTGGTTTGGCTATAAAAGACATCCATTTTAGCCATGTTCGATCTTTTTCTTTTTGCCGAGTTTATCCCTATACTAGTGGTTCCGGCCACGTCTTGCAGACAATTCATGACTTAGAGGTTTGGCAATGGCCGGGGCCAACCCCTTGATTGTATGCCTAAAGACTCGAGTACAGGGCCTAGTATATAACTGTTCGAAAGAAGATATTTTAAATATGTAAGACATGTAATAGAGTTTTCATTCAGATTAAGTACAAATCAGTCACATTAACTAAGTTCGATGCCCAAAATGAGATCTGTGAAAATGTTTTAATTACACTTTTTGATTCTATGTATATACTTGTCGTGACAATATATCTATGATTTTAGATGATATAATGTATCCAACGGAATTGTGATTGTTTACACAGTTTCAAGGTCTTGATAACCACGTATATGGTCTCCACCACAGGGGAGTGTATTACAAATCATAATTTCGTTGGTTCACTAAAATAGAAAACTAGACCACCTTTATTTATCACAAAATGCATTTATATTCACTTCTCACCTAAGAGACTATAAGTTCTTGCAAGACATGTATTCATAGAGAATGTTATACGCTGTTATTTATTGACATTCCGATGAGATGGTTGAGAGGATTTCATGAAATTAAAATAACACTTACAAGTGGCGTGTGTTAAATATAACAACATAATTAATTCCATATTCCTTCCGATTTGTTAATCCCCCTTCTTTACGGCTAGTCCATAATTTTGAATTTAATTATTACTGAACATCAAAAATTAGTAGAAGTGAATGCAGTACTAATTAATTCCATATTCCTTCCGTTTTGTTTATCCCCCTTCTTTACGGCTAGTCCAAAATTTTGAATTTAATTATTACTGAACATCAAAAATTAGTAGATGTGAATGCAGTACTGAAAAACTGAATTTCATAACATTGTTGGACCTAATTTGACACCCACATGACCCCCTCCCACGTAAACAAACATCCTCACCCCAATCCCTACACACCCATCCATTTTTTTCTTGAAAATAATGTACTTTGGTTCTTATAATTCTTTTAAAGGCACAACCAGGTCCTTCACAAAAATTTTCATGCTGTTAATGAACCAGTAATTGTTACGCCATAAATAGTTGGTGTGTTAATGTTCAATTACTAAATGCCACTCTTGCAGGTTAAAAAATAAAGTAGTTTATTGAAAATACTGCTAGTGTTTAATCAATCTGATTAAAACACAGTTCCTATTTCGTAAGTCTATGGCACACCTTGTCAAAACTTCAAACAGTGATAACTTCGTTCGGAATAAAGTAATTTGAATGAAAGTTTCAATATATTCATTATACATTATCTATTTTTGAGGTATTATAGCAAGAACGGCCTTGGCTTTGTTAAATTTAAATCCTACATAATGCATCTTTAAACTAAAGTATACTTAACCTTTATCGCGTCGGATCTTCAAAATTAATATTGGGCCATAAATAATTTCCCATAATCGTCTTTTAACCCAATTGCCCCAAAGGAACTATTACTTACCGATTGTAATAGCAAAGTCACCGATTTTTCTTTTTATACAGTAGTGTCGATTATTTGAGAGAGATCGGCGGGAAAGAGAGGAAGAGAGAGAAAGAGGGATTTATTGTCCACTCCACACGAACTAGGTCATTTTAAGTTGTGGAAATCGGCGAACTTAATAATTTGATGGGCCTCTATTTAATCCGAATGAATCCAAGTCGGGGGATTATGTTTTCTCAACTAAATGTTAAAGAATTAATTATCAGTAGCGTGGATTAAGCCGTGGAAAATTTGACGCACAGAGACTTAAGTTACTTCAAGTATTGGACTCTTCCCTAATAATGTTTAAAATTAAAAACAAATTTTTAAATCTGTTCGTAAATTTGCATTTCATTACATGTTTAACCTGTTTATGTATGAAAAAGCACACTTAAAGATAGGAAACATTGTGTAAGTTTTAAAAGGTTACGGATACAATTCGCCCTATGTCGCCATGTCTCTTTCCCTCAATACGATCCCAAATACTGCTAGATAATTCTGCCTTTTTGTAGGAAAAATTGTACACCGTGATCGGATTTCAAAATCATTAGTATTCATAAATTTGATGGATAGATATATGGCAAGGTCTGGACCAATGGTAACACTTGTCAATCAATTTCACGTGCCTATAAATGGTCAGGTCGTCTGCTGAAATATAATGTAAGAATTTGGCGGGAAGATAAGATTTAGTGCTAAGCGGTTTACTTTCTTTAAACTAGTAGAATTATCTATTAGTGTGTATGTGACTTTGTGTTCGTTTATGTAATTTGTCACGGAGCACAGCCACCAAAGAAACATTTCATCTTAAATATAAGAGTGTGTAGGTTCTATATTGTTCGTTGGGCAAGTAACATCAAGAAAAAACAATGCCTGTTCTAGATAAATTTAGTAAAACATTTCGCCTCAGCAACGAGTTAAGTAAAGAAATGCTGGCAGAATTTTATGGAACATTTATCTTAGTGGTAAGTTATTTTTTTAAGTAATTTACCAACCATTCTTAGTGTGACACTCGTCTACTTTATATGACAAAAATTAGCCTTTTGAGAAAAATATGATTCTTGGAATATGGTGCCACATAATTTTCTTTGACAAAAGAAGCCTATGATTTAGTTATCTATCTTCATCTGTTATTAACATGATTTTTGTTTCACCCATAAGATAAACCAGTTTGCCCCATAAATCAACAATGCGCTCGTGTACGAACCAGAAAATACTTACTCTTTTATCAGAACACCCGATACCACATGCCCCATGACAATTTTGACCTTTACGCAATTTACAATTGGTGATTTATGATTTAAGCGAGATAAGCACTTAATTGCATTTTTTTTATCTGATTGTTTAGCACTTACAACTCCATGTTTTGACGTCATGCATTCCAGCATGCACTTTTAATGGAATGATGAAGTCATCTATTTTTTTAAAACTGTCTCTTAGCTTACCCCAATTCACTTTTGTCTCATTAAAATTACATTTATTGTAAGCCCCTCTCCCTCCCTTAAACAATAGCGGATCTAAAAGCTGAGAATACGGTGTGCGTGTGGGGGTTGGGGGGAAAATCTAGGACGCCATCCACAATGAATGTCAACGTCCCCGTAGAATAGATCGTATTGCCTATATTTCGCCGATCGTTATCTCGCCGGAAAGCAGCTTTTAGTCAATGTCGAGGCAATAGGAAGCAAATTCTCGTGAACGAGGGGATAAGAAATTGAACAGAAAATCGAAGCCTGCCTGTCAATTCCGAAGGTTTTGTGAGAGTTGATATGACATTTATACAGTACGTCTGTCGCCCCAGTACCCACGCCCTATATATAGTGGTATAACTAACCGGGTTGTAAACGTGAACATGATAGTGATGAGACAGTTAGTAAAAGACAGAGGAATTGAAATGAAATGGGGTTTAACGCCATACTATTCTGCTCCGACTGGGCTAAAGAAGACGGATAAGACAGAGGAGTGGAAGAATGATAACATAATGGAATCGAGCACTGTGGGCGCGAAAAAATTTCGGTTACGTAACTGAGATTTTAATTTTTTGGGACTGGACCTGCGGGGACTTTTGTCTCGCTGGGGCGCTTATATATGGTTTCATTTGTTTAAAAAGCCAGTATGTATATCACGCTATATTTATATATTTAGAGACAAAAAAAAATAATATACGGCTGTTGCAAAGGATTGAGGTCAATGTTGAGAAAAAAAGTTCAGAATTTGTTTTGGGGTCAAAGTAATTGTGCTTAAGAATTCCCTAAGCATTAATTCGTGTAAAATGGACTCGTCCATTAGTATATATAGATCCAACGATACAACACCCGAAAACGAAGAAAAACTTATTGCTTATTCTTCATCAGTGTATCCATAAACATGTCTACAATCAATATTTTGAAAATAATTATGAAATCCTACTTTTTATTTATCATCTACATTTGCAATGGATATGTATAAAGGGAAGCATTCTCCAAATATATTATTCAGGCGTTAGTACATCATGCACTCATGAAAACAATTTTGAATTATTTGTCCAACTGGACAGTACTTTCGCCAATCCACACATGTAAATTTGATAGACGCTACAGTTCGCGGAATTTTAAAACTTGTTGTGAAGCATTAGGATGAACAATGTCGATATTCAGCGTTCCGCGACTAACAATGCAATTTTAATCTGATTAAAACACAGATCCTATTTCGTTTCGTTTTTTATAGTTCAAAATTTCGTTTTACTTGTCTTTACTACACTAGAATCTGGAAGAGTTGTTATTATTGACGTGATGATGTGAGGGGTTAGCCAATGAACAGTCTGTTACGGCTAGCTTTTGGCGTGTGGTGCACGGAACTGTGGGCAATCCACTCGAAACATCAATGCTGATTGGTTAATCAAAATAATGTCTGACGTCATAGGGTCAAAAGCCGCCAGTATGACCTCTGACGTGACCTATCACTACAACTGGTCAGATCTTCATGTAGGGTAGGCCATCGAAAGTATGAAAAACGAAACGTAATATTGATCTGTATTATAATAAGATTGTGCAATTTCATGATTAATTGCGTATAACGACCGCTTGCATGGCCGTTGTATTAGGCATCAAATGGGGGAAAAGGGTTTATTACAATCGAAAAATAATTAACTCGTTTCCGGGCAAATCAACTTGAAATTGCCTATTTCTCGGCAAAAACTATTTTTTGATATTAAAAAGAAAAGTCGGCAAATTAGATGAAATATTAATCATTTCAGGTGATATATAAACATATGCAAACAAGTCATACTTAAAGTAGTTTTTTTTCCTCAAAATTATATAATTTTAAAAACTGTAGCATGTTTTTGATAACAGCAATAGTTAACACTTCCTTTTAATGACATGTCTTAAAGTGTGTATGTTTCGTTTCATGCCTAATGTTATTACTGTTTCGCGATCAAGTCATCACATTTTCTATTATGTTACAATTCGCCGAGGTCTTTAAACATGTTTTGACGGGGAAAAAAGAATTTGATCCATGACATAGCTTCATGGCGAATTAAAATAAAAATATAAAACGTTTTGCTATCTACAAGAATGAAAGAATCAACCATAGACTTTGTTTAAATTTTGCTTGATGTCAAATAGAAATAATGACATTATATTCATATTTATACTAATCAATTTATAATTTATAACACATCAATTTATACTAATTAAATATAGCTAATTAAGGGGGCTCAAATTAATTAAACATGTTTATGCAACAGTGGTTAATGTTTTTGTTTAGATACCCTTGACAGTAAAGATCAATAAAAATTATGTATTTCTAGACTAAATTTATCATTATTTACACAAAAACCAGTGAACGATATTTCACATCCTATAGTAATCAGAAGATCAATGTCACCTGGATTCTGCTTCTTTAAATAGATACAACAAAAAATCTAATTGAAGTTATAGAAGTGCGAACTTGAAAGAGTGTGTGTTATCTAAAATCCACCACCAAACAAACAAAATTATTTTATAAGTAACAAAATATCTTTATGATTAGTATAATTAAAATTATATGTCAGATACTCATAATAAAAGCCTTCAAGCCATAGTTACGAATTTGCAATCACCAATCTAGCAAATCCGTACGCCATGTCATTGTCCCTTATTTATGAAAACTTGTAAAAGCCCTAGAAAATGTTACTTAAACTTAGTTTGTTCATTTTGTGTTTCAATATTTGTGGCTAAATGATATCAAATTTGGTTGAAAATGATTATATTATTTAATCTGTTGCAGAATTGCTTAATCTCCTAATGACCCCATTTACCTCAGTGGACAATTAGCCGCCATGAGTGGGCGTTTATTTTGTTCGCGTCTAACATACGTTAAAATATTCTTATAATATATTACGAATTTGGTTGTAACTTGATATTTTGATCTACAGTTGCTCTATAAACAAGTGCGTGTTTCCACGATTGGTGAAATAAACAATCTATCATTACATTTCAGCAGATATTTTTTTACAAAACTTGTTGAGAAACAAGGTTTTTTTTTAATTTTAATGTTTATGTACAATTGTACGGTACCTGTCATTTCTGTGACTTTCGGGATTAATGTCTCTTTCACTGCGTTGGATATGTTTCTGTGAAGGTTACAATAGCTATTACTTCACGAAAACTAAACATTGTTGACGAATTAAGATTAACCTTGAGTGTTTAAATTAACAAAATTACGAAATTTAATTTAGTTTACTTTCCAGTGCAACCGTACATTTCGTGCCTTTCACGATATAATTATCGTATAACGTCTCTACTTTCCCTTTTCCATTAAACATCTTTTCCGATTATTCTTTGAAATTATCCGTATTTAACGGGACATATACAATACAGTTATGAGAACTTGTTAATGTATAGTAATTAACAAGATTGTCCAAATCCGTTTGAAGAACGGGATATTGTCCATTTTCTGGCAACCTAAGTTTTAATATGCGACACTTGCAACACGTTCACAATGCCCGTCCCAAACTTTAAATAAGGCATTGTTTAAGATAAATATAATGATTTTCATTCCTTTATATATATTTGTTATTCCAGTCATTTGCCGTAGCTGCCAGTGCCCAATATGTTTTTACAGATCTTAGTAGTTATCTGACTGTAAATTTTGCCAATGGAATGGGTCTAGTGTTAGCTATTTATGCTGCTGGAGGTGTTTCAGGTAGGTCCTTCATTGTTGATGTTAAAAGGCTAAAGATTTCATTTATTATCATTCCTGTGGTAGTTATGACAATCGAGAATATGAGCTTCGGTCGGAATTTTCGTCTGTTAACCATCGGCAATTCTCGGCAAACGTCGGAGACAATTTTAGGGCCATTTCTTGTCAAAAATACACACATTCACAACCTCGCCCAGAAAAGAGTAATTAATTTTGCATGCGTTCAGTACACCCGTTCCAATATTATTACAGTCTAGATTAGGAGATAATAATAACCAAACAAATATCGGCCTATAGGTGGGTAAACAGCAACTCTTTTATACCGTTCGGTAAATTTATGACCTCCATCATATTGGATTGTGTGTTCAATATATTCTTTTTCATTATCTATATTTGAACTATAATCACAAGAACGGCCACCCCTTTATCTAAATCTCGCACAATGTTTCTTCTAAGATACATTGTGTAAGATTTAGATAAAGAGCTAGTCGTTCTTGCTATACTAGTTCAAAAATAGATAATACAAAATGAATATATTGAAAATTTCATTCAAATTACTTTATTTTGATTGAAGTTAATCTCCGCCACCCGATGTTCTTGAGAGATAATTATAGGCTTGTCATGTGAACTAATGTCTAAATAATAACTTATTTAACATTTGAAGCCAAAATAAAAACCTGTAATAGGCAAACTTAGTTCATGAATAATGTATCCATATGGACATAAAAATAAATTATTTGATATCGAATAATACAGTGATAAAATGATTACATCGTGAAGAAACATCGAAATATGAAAAATGATGCATGGAAGGCCTTTATTTTATTTCTTAAGGTGCATCTTTAAATCCAGCTGCGAGTATAGCGTTGTGTCTACATGGTTTTATTCCTTGGTATAAATATCCCTTTTATACTATCGCTGAAATAGCCGGAGCATTTGCTGCCTCTGCTGTACAATATGGTATTAATTATGGTAAGTAATTGTTACCATTAACGACAAATTAGATTTTAAATAGACTCGATGCATTTCTTTTGTTATCCAGATATATCTCTGATGTATGTTATGTTTTGTTGTCTCCCTTGGTTGATTTTAATTTTAAACGAAAGAACAAGAAGCGTTGAAGTTTACCAGTATGAATTTTAAATCACGCTATTTGTAAATTGTAATGTTTTTGTTTGTTAAAATCGATACATGCATAAGGAACTAACATTTGATATTTTAGACATGCTAAATGCATATGACGGTGGTAACAGAACTACATATGGTCCTACAGCTACTGCTGCCGTTTTCTCCACATTTCCAAATCCTGAGGTCTCTAATTTAAACTGCTTCTTTGATCAGGTATGTATCATTAAATTAATGTCATCTGATACTGGGGAGACAATGATCTGTGTTTGAGCGTTCTCGTTTGATTAGTTTTAATACTCAACATCTTAAAGAGGTGAAAGTAACTGTTACTGGACAAATTTGAAAATAGGTCGATATTTCCAGATAAACATTAAAATAAAAGAATAAATTATGTAAAATTTAGATAAAGAAATGGTCGTTCTTACAACAATACATGTAGTTCAAAAATAGATAATGAAAAATGAATAAATTGAAAATTTCATTCAAATTACTTTATTTTGATCGAAGTTATGGGTGTTGGGAGAGAGAGAGAGAAATGGGGTTTAACGTCCACTCGACACAAACTAGGTCATTTCGGGACCAACATATGGTTTAATTTTATTTCAATAATTCGCTGGCGCGTAGGGGTCTTTAGCAGTGGGAGGAAACCGGAGGACCCGGAGAAAACCCACGAGGTTGGACAGGCGACCCAACTCCTTGTCACGTTTAACCGGGGATTCGAAACCACGCCAGTTGACTCAATGACAGGCCGTATGATATAGCACGCACGTGCTAACGATTCGGCCATCCAACCCCCTATGGGTGTTGGAAGATGTAGCACAGATTGTTTGTTATCGTAACAATGTTACTTCTTAATCTCCGCCATCCGATGCTTTAGAGAGTTCATTAGGCTTGCCATGTGAATAAATGTCTAAATAATAATTTATATAACATTTGATGCCAAAATAAAGACCTGAAATACGCAGATTTAGCTCTAACATAATGCATCTTTAAGGACTTAAATTTTTTAAATTTAATTGCGTCCCATTTAAATGAAGTCTTGAAACACGCCCCCTAGATGCCCCCTCTAACTGCATTAATGACAACAGCTATATATATACAATTTTACCCACTCAGAAAGAATGTTTGGCTGATTATTAAACAATAATATTACGATTATAGCATGCTTGTTAATCCCAGTGATATTTGTTTTTCAGGTTTTTGGTACCTTCGTATTAGTCATCTGTATATTTGCTATACTTGATAGCAGAAATTCTATGCCAATTGATAAAGGTTTAATACCGTTATCTATGGGAGGAATTGTGTTTGCTATTGGTACATGTTGGGCTGGTAACTGTGGTTATGCTATCAATCCAGCTCGAGATCTGGGTCCTCGGTTATTTACGGCTGTTGCTGGGTGGGGACTAGAGCCTTTCAGGTACCGTCACATTCCATATACTTACAGTATCTATGAAGAATACGTTTCACTGATAATAATTGTTCCAGTAAACCCAGAAAGGGAGAGTTATCGGTCTTGATTAGGACGTGAGCATTGGAAACCCCTCGAGCTCATGCAATAAGTTGTAACAAGTTTTCCATCTCTAAAAGGGCTATGTTGCTATATTTAGAGAAATGTGATATATCTCCGGAGATGTTTTACACATAATCAGAAAAATAACGTTCGTGGGTAGGCTTACTTAAGTTAAAGCCAACTTCTGACTTCGGTTACCCTAATATAATGACGGATAAATGTACCCCCTCCAAACACTTCTCCATACTAATGAGGTATTACTAACAAAAGGGAGTCCCTTCCAGTTTTAATTTACATGTATCATAAAGATGACGTCCTGAAGGTTTATTTACCTGAACACGACTCCAAAAATTAGCCTAACTTATTTCCGGTTAAATATATCTTCTGCAAACACTTCTCCATGCGAATGCGGTATTATTAACAGAAAGGGGGTCTCTTCCCGTGTTGATTACAAAGCACGCTTTGAGAACAATAAATTCAACTTTCTGCAAATAGATGTTAAAGATTTTAAATTAATATTAATTTTGTTAATTTCAGTTATCGTAATTACGGATGGTTCTGGATTCCTATTGTAGGACCAATGGTTGGTGCTACTATAGGTTATTTCGTTTATCAACTATGTATAGAAATACACTGGACACCAGAACCAGAATCCACAGACGTTGTTGTTTCAGCTAATGGCACAAAAGAAAAACCAACTGAATTAACAGGAGTAGATAATATAGCATTTATATCTTCTAAAGGTAGGTTATTGTTTAGAAAGATGCATGTTCCTGATCTAGTGATCAGGTATGGATATAGACAAATCTCTATATTAGGTAACTGTGTCTATACGGTCCCACATTGCCAGGACACGTTTCCAGATGTCGTCTTAATTAATTGCCTTTTATAGAGACCGTCGCTGTTCCAATTACCTGTTGTATCCCGGCACATTTTTGTTGACCATAAAGAGAAACTGGGGGCATTCCTATTGGCCATATTTTTTTCTTATATGGCGACATATTTTATTCCTTTTCCTAGATTGATCTCTAAGAATAAGACTTATATACTTCAGAACACAACTAGGACATTGACAGAATACAATTCAGAGAGATTTGATATTTAAAGAACCTTTATAAATCACTTGTCACCCTCACGATTGGTAGTAAAACATAATTGATAAAATAAGTTAACATAGATATTGAAGTGTCAAATGTATAATCAGCTTGACGTTTTGTAATTGATCTACGTTTGTATAAACAAAATTCAATGTTGAAATCACGTGATGCGTCAAAATTGAATGACAAAAATAAACTAACCCTTCAGTTACTTTGTAATAATATTTTGATAATCTTATCCATGTTTCACGCCCAATGTCAGTACTATATGAGATTAAAACATTAAAGAAATTATTTATGGATGTTTGTAGGAAGAATAAGTGAAATTCTGCGGTCAGATATATAATTATGATAAACTGTACATGTAAGGATTGATTTGTTTGTTAAAAATATCTGTTTTATTTTGGTGGCGGTAGAATAGTAGATGTGAATACCGGGGTCAGGTGACGGTGGTCTACTAAAACTGGTTCAGTTAGAGAAGAAGTGTTAAATTTAGATTTAGATATATTACATTGTATAGACAAGAAAAAAATATGTAGTATATAACCATTTTCATATGAAATTCGGAGTAAAAGCTTTCTGGGCCTGGTACAGACAATGCCATTAGATCAATTTAATTAAACACCAGCAATCATTGTCTCCACAGAAAAATGAAAGATAAAGCGACACTACTTCTTTAAAAGATGCATTGAATTGTTATTGCACGAACGGTAGACGGAGGTACTTAATACTAACAGTATAATTATGTTCAATTAATTTCAATCTATTAATTTACTTAATCTTGATGTCTATTGGATAGTACCCCCAGAGAATGAGCTCATATCATGCCCTTATCGTTTGCTGGCTTTGGTTTTGAAATTATTTGCTTCTGGAATTTAACAATAAGTTGCAGAAGATCAATGATCCTGCACATTTAAATGTTTTTGGTAGTTACCATTACTGGAATTGATGTTGTGGTATTTTAATAGGTCCACATTTATTTCATACTTGGTAGCAACATTGGGGTCATGAGAGGCCAAACCCGATCGATATTCAGCATTATGTGATCTGTTCCAGAGTTACCATCTTTACCACAGTTTTTAACATATATTTTTTCTAATTCGATGTGAAGCATTGAGACAACCAGAAGATGAGCCCTGTTGATTTTCCACGTTCTCCGCTCATCTATTGCAAATATTAGGCGTATCTTGCATGGCAACCGCTTGGTGATAGTTACTGCTACTTGGATTTATGGTGTGCTGTTAATTATTGTGTGTGGGAGACTAAATGGGATTTGAAAAAATAACTCCAACATGAAACTTGACTTTACACAATAATGGCAAGATTGTTTTTAGGTTGAAGGTAGGAGTGTGCTAGGCGGGAAGGAAAGCAATGCGTCGAAGATTTCTTAACTTCGACCTTTATAAACGTAATTCCATTCAATTTAGTATGGAAATAAATCTATTATTCTGCACGAATCTATACTCCAGATAATAAAATTCAATATTTCATATTCCACAATACATCTACGTGTGTAGCCAATTATATCCATTCTTTGACCTATCTTGATTAAGCCTTATTATTCGTTTTATCCTAAACCAACATAATGTTATATCCCATGTATATATACAAATGTATCAATTTAAAACCAGTCTTTTTGCTTGAATAGTTACCATTGATCAGTTTAATTAATGTATATAAAATATTTATTTTTCAGACTCTGGGTTAGATGTAGCAACTAAATTGTGATGGAATTAATTGAAAGACGAAGAAAATTCATCATCATTCCAACTGTAGGAATAATTGCCAAGCGCTTTCAAGCTATGTTTTGATGATTGAGATTGGTGCGGTCATTGTTATTATTATTTACTAACGATTTGTGTATCGCGATTAGTTAAAGTGACTATTTTACACAGAAGTGAAGACAACAGGGATGTCGAGATTTTGTCAGTCGGAAGTTACACTTTTTTAGAAGAAAAATATAACCTTTTTTATTTTACTTACATGTAGGAATAGTAAAAATTTTAGCAGGTGGCGAAACAAAATAACGATATAGTTACATCGATAATATTCAGGTTCACTTTATTGAGAATTACTGTAAATGTTTGACATTGTCGTTACTAATACATACTAAGACAATCTGACAGAGTGTCCGTCTGTCTAAAAAAACAAGAATAAAACCAAACAGTATGAGAGTGAATGATGTTGATCTTGCGAACCCCTATATCACTTGAAATTAGATTTTTCGGATGAACCCTAGTACAGCTTCAAGATATATTTCTCTGGAGATCAATGGGTCATCTATTGAACCATTAAAAAGTATTTATATATGTAAAATGTAAACTGGAAAGTACAATTGCACACAGACATTTCCCATGATTGACACTCAATTTGATTCTAAAGAGTATGTGTGCGCCTTTTCGGCCACACACATCTGGTGTCGAATACTCACATCAATAAGTGACGTGTCACCCTTATTTAGAATTTTTCCATGATTTTCAAACCGATAGTTGCACAATAAGTGCTTTGGATGTGAAAAGAACATAGCCATATATTTTATTTAAAGAACTGGAATACCTTTCATTGCGAACAAATATTGAAGAGAGTGTAGTCCCCGCGGAACAGAATCACATCTGACTGCAATATAACAGTAGTTTATTAATTACATGACGTATTGGGTTTTACGCCCCGTTTATCAGATGTGTCAAAAACTGAATCTTAATATATCAATTAAATAGTAAAAATATATTTTATATCACATTTTGGAACGTATATTAATTTGTATAACATTGTAACAACACATATTTCTATTTATTTATATAAGTAAAAAAATGCATTTATAGAAATCATAATTGTACATAAAGCAAGACGCTATATCAATATTTTAGAAACATTCCAAATCACCAATATTTATTATTAATATTATTTTTATATTTGCATTTTTTATTATTTTTTATGATCAATGTATAACATGCAATGGTCTATATATAATACAAATTTTATTAATTGCCAACTAATGCATAAAAATAAAACATAATACCAGATTATTTTTTTTTATATAATTTGAATAAATTGAATATTTATAATAAAATACTTAAGTTTTTTCTTTAATGTTTATGTGTTTGCTTAATCTCTAATAGGTTTGGGCATTACAAGCCAAGAGTACAAGGGTGGTGATCCTTCTTAATTGTTCGACCCCTTGTTCTGCCCATGTCTTTCCTAGTAACGGTATTGCTAAAAGACATCTAAAGGTGTCCCTACCATGCCTCAAATCGGTCAGTTGATTAGGCGATGATGGTCGAATAGTTTAGGAGGAGAAAAAAAGAAAATGTTTAAATTTCTATATAAAAGCAATTGTCTCTGGACTTATGAAAGTGATCTGCTATGGTAGGTTTAAGCAGCCAACTTCGCCAATTATTGTTGGGTTTAGTTGGTGGCGGGGGGGGGGGGTCGTGTTGATATGACGTAAGATATTTATTGCCGCACACTTCATTGTCTGGTTAGTCCATAATAAGTGGGTGAGTGTGGGTAGGGAGGCGTATTGTGTGTGGTGTGTGCATAAGGGGTTCAGTTATTATTTGATCGGGTCTAAATAAGCACTCTTAATGAGCAAAAATGAAGAGATTATGTAAACACGTGTCCCTAGCATATCCGTTTGAACAATATTCCTATTAAATTTTGTGGAAATACATTAGTAGATCCTCAAAAATAATTTCAAGACTAGCATATTTGTTTTTGAGATATTCCCCTTTCACAACATATTTTTTCGCACATTTATTTAATCCAATCTTCGATAAGTACCATTGAAGCAACATTCCTACCAACTTTGCTAGAAAGCCATGCTGTCCCTTTAGTGCAATACTTAACTGGAAATCGAAAAGGAAACTTCAGATTCCTTTTCTAGACAAGGGTATAATATTTGACAGATACTTGAGAAACACTATACAGATCCAAGCTGGAAACAAAAGATGGTAGATGGGTAAGATTGTGGGGAATAATCGAATACTAGAATCAGTGTTTACAGTTATAACTGATTTATTATAGGGCCGTTTATAACTATACCAGTTATTGTTTTTGTTCCAGTAAAGAGAGTCTATATAAAATGCTTATCATTTAAAGTAACCATAAAGAACTTACTAAGAGGTAATTCGTTAATCTATACGTATCATTCGCCCATAAATCAATCAAAAGTTTTTGACAAAGGGTCATTTACGTGAATTAAACCAGGTTTATAGGGAAAACGTGTTTAATGTCATTAAATCAAGTATGTATGTGTTTGTACCACTCATCTCAAACATTCAACTGTCATCTTTAATGATGAAAATGAATTATTGTATGTTGACCCGATTCAGTCTTGGCTAATTTGAACATGTCGTAATTGTAATAATTGATAATTACACCCCCATCATATAAAACCATTATTAATTGCATATATACACTATTTAAGTTCAAGTGTATACATAGCCCGTGTAAGTTATAAACCTATAAACCTCCACCATTCAAAACTTGTTTGGGGTTGACCATTGAAATTCGAGATACACAAGTAACATACTACAAACATGTAACTACCATCGTGACCAACCTCTTAGCTCCGTTATCCTTCCTCCTCTAAACAATAAATATTCAACAAAAGCTCTCAGAAGGGGTCATTTAAAACTGCCTTCTTCGATTCGAGGGAGAACTACATTCGTCGGTGAAAGATTACCGACATAGAACAAGGAAGTGGTGGTCTGCATCCTATTTACCAGTCCTGTTGGATTATTTGGTTGTTCGTGCTTAATCAAATGTATGCATGATTTTTATATTAGTTATCTTTTCTCGCTAACCTTTACATGTCTATAACATTTCCATCGTTGATGACATATTCACATAATAAATTAATAAATCGATTAATAGAAATACTGTTTAAATAAGAAAAGACAAAATCCATAAGATTTCGAAACAACTTTATCTTTCAAGGGCAAGGTGGTTATTTCAAGTCGTTACAAACGCCCAGGGAGCTAAAAAAAATAAATAAATAAAAGACCGTATTCAAAATCGCACGTCAACACCAACCGAGATATACTGCACCAACATGGTGATCCCTACGCGACAAACAAAATATTCTCACAAAAATATATTAATACATGTATTTAAAAATTGGCGCTTTATTTTATCAGCAACATGCTTGTAACAACTCAAGTCAATCAGATCTGTAAAACGTATTATTTGCAATTAAGAGATATTGAAAAAATACGTACACAAATATTATATTGAGGCTACCAAGACACTTGTACCTCTTAAACTTATTTCGAGTGCAAAATTTTGCAGCCCGTCCTATTAACTTTACTAAAAGACACGAATATATTACACGTGTACTTTATCATCTACCTTGGTTACCTATTTCTTTATCGCATATTGGGGGTCAGCTGTCGAAAAACCGAGGTCCCGTGTACACATTGGCGTGCACGTAAAAGATCCCTTGACAGTTGGAATTCGATATTAAAGTAGGCCGTAGTGCCGCTGTCCGGGCAGAATATGCCTCATAGCACACTGCATGGCGTATGCCCGTCTTCATTAGCCCAGGTTGGAGCAGAACAGTAGGACTTTAAACTCCATTTCATTTCATTTCATTTATCGCATATTATAAATATTAGGATTATTTATATTATTTACTTACAAATGTTTTAATAATATTGCCCCTGTCTATCTATCTGATTTATTAAAATTTTAAATGTCCCCAGGAAACTTTTGAAGTTGATCTAACAACTATTTTAAAAGCAAAATCTTTAAATCTTTTTTTTTCATAATATAGAGAACGATTTTTTTCTTATCAACCTCTGAAACACGGATCAGAATTTTTCGATTTATATTCAGTCTGATAGACTGATGCATCATTTAACTCTGACTTGTAGACAGTAGCAAGGTTTCGGTCACAGCTAATCTGCCAAAATTATATACACAACTTCCAATTTCGATAAGATTTCTCAATATGCCTAGCCAGACAAGTGTATGTAGCAAGTTTGAAATAACTTTAAAAGGGTTTACAAAAAATGTGCAGTAGAGATGGACAATCGGGTCGACAGGCAAAGGTGCCGACAAAGCGTATTAAACCACTATCAACAATGTTTAGTCAAAGACCACGAGAGCCACTTATACTAATCTTTGATATTTTGGAAAAAACTTAAGAGAGACACTTTAGAATACAACATGCAATAAGTATGTTTTAATGGTGTTTTATTTTTATTTTATATCAATAATCTATAGGTGTGTTGTTCAATCAGTTCCAACCGATTGAGTTCATTCAAAATTATTATTAATTTGTCTTAAAACAAAAAAAAAGCAAAAAACAAATGGTCCAATTCCTTTCAGTATATGATGATATGATGAATTGATAATTTGTCAACATTTGGCATCATCTCAGTCTGATTAAAACACAGATCCTATTTCGTTTCGTTTCTGATGGTTCAAAATTTCGTTTTACTACTCCATGTGTGTGAAATAGCTTTATTTAACGTCCGCTTCCGCCGATGTGATATCGCAGACAATTACATGTTATATATACATAGTGAAATATTTACAATGTGATTAGTGGAAAAGGGATAATTAGGTTTTTATATATATGTACAGAAGACAATAGATAAAAGGGCAAGACATGAGATAACAGGTGTAAAGAGTAAAGAAGTGACAAAACAGACATGAATATGGACGAACATTTAGACAAGCATAAACATTTACAGACATGCACGCAATACGGACATTTGACAAAACATTCATGTAGTTGAGTCTGCCTAAAGTATAAAAAAACAAAGGAAATATTATAGATCTGTATTTTAATCAGATTGGCATCATCTGTAGGCGATAGAAATCCCCAGATGGTCAAAACAAGTCCGCGACACCTATAATCTTCGCTAAAATCTTTTGATTAGTCCCTTTTTAATCCTATTGAAGCCAAGACCTGGATATTTAGATATTGTTTTCTTAATTAATTGTTCATTAATTAATTAGTGTATAGTTTGGCGTGTATTAAGCCATTAAAAAGTAAAATACAGATAATGTCAAAAAAATGAAACTGAAACGCATAGTGGCTTTAGTGTTTTCTGTTATCCCGTACAATGTTGTGTATAAGTACATGTATTATAATCAAATTGAATACAAACCTATAGATTTATCATGTCTGTCACAAAAAAGGATTCAAAATCCAATAATAAGGGATATTTTCTATCTTAACGTGCTTTGACTCATTACCCGATTCAGTTCGATACCTTAACTTTTTAATTACCAAAATTATAGCGGATGACATTTTTGCAAATAAGGCAGACACACTTAATAATATACAATACCGTTTTCAATGGACTTGTTAATAATACAGAGGAAGCCGATCCAAACTGGGCACCTATTCAAACTGTGACATCGGTAGGCCACTAACTATTTAATCTAAATGATTGTATCATTCTTGTGGCCGGAAAAGTACGCCCTATATATTTGTTTATCCTGGCAACCGCCATCCGATTAAACAGTCGAAAGATTATGTTCTGACGTAAATAGTTTAGATTCTTGTGTGTAAAATAACGTCAAGATATTCTCGGTATCAGACTAAATTAATATCAACGAACTATATACATAGTAGTATAAATAGCAAACATCAAAACAGATTGTATTGAAAAGAGAATACAATTTGGTTTAACATCCTACTTTTCTGCCCCAATCGGGGATAAAGAAAGATGGCAGTACATGTACTTTGATTTGCTTCTTATAACATATTCCCAGTGCTAACATTTTTATTACCCAAAACACGCACTGTTAAATCTGATGATAAATTTAGCTGTTCAAATTATCGGAAATCGTTGAAAATAGACTTCTACATCTTATGACCTTAAACATTGTGTATAAATTCCAAGTCATAAGATGATAACTATAGTTGCAGCCTCTAGGGCCCTCATACGAGGGGAAGTCAATAAGTTCACAGAAGTTAGTATTGATACACCCTGAAAACATCATCGTTGATGTCATTATTGAGATAGGCCATCTGACGACAGTTTACAGACATAAACAACCCTTCCTGATTATTTACTTGAGATTTACAGCCTGTTCAACACAGGTACCCTACTGTAATCATGGAAAGTTCTAAAACTGCGCATCGTGCGGTTATCAAGTTTCTCGCGAAAGAAAGGGTGAATGCGACCGAAATACATAAACGTATGACCAATGTGTATGGGAAGGAAGCCCCTCAATATTCTACTGTTGCAAAATGGTCAGTTGAGTTTAAGCGGGGTCGCAGCTCCTTGGACGATGGCCCACGGTCAGGATGGCCTGTTGAAGCCATTACAGATGATATGGTTGCACGGGTCCAGGGCTTAATCATGTCCGATCGTAGAAAAAAGGTGGACGAGATATCTTCAGAGTGTGGCATTTCTCATGGAAGTGTTTGCACCATAATTCATGAGCACTTGCACATGTCCAAGGTGTCTGCAAGATGGGTGCCACGAAACTTAAATGCACAAAAGCGACACCAGAGAGTTGAATCCAGTCGCGAGCTCTTGGGCATCTACAATGCTGATCCCAATAACTTTCATGCCCTTCTGGTTACAGGGGATGAAACGTGGATTCATCACTGGGATCCTGACACCAAGCAAGAATCCATGCAATGGAAGCATAAGGAGCACTCTTCTGCACCCAAGAAATTCAGAACTCAGCCTTCTGCTGGCAAGATCATGACGGCCATTTTCTGGGATTCAAGGGGCGTGATACTTATAGACTATTAAACCACCTAAAACTACAATAACAGGAGCCTACTATGCTGACTTGTTGAAGCAATTGAGAGCGGCGATCAAGAAGAAGAGGCGCGGCATGTTGACTGCTGGAGTTTTGCTTCTTCATGACAACGCTCCAGTGCACAAGAGTCGTATTGCACAGGCTGCACTTCAACAATGTGGCTTTGAAAAAACTTAACCATCCCCCCCACAGTCCAGATCTGACCCCAAGCGACTTCTATCTGTTTCGCAATTTGAAATCACACTTGCGTGGTACAAGATTTGGCGATGATGATAAACTCAGGGCAGCTACTGAGGCGTGGCTGAGGGGCCAGTCAGAAGACTTCTACCGCAAGGGCATGGACAGTCTCAAAGACAAATGGGCAAAGTGCATCGAGGCCCAGGGAGATTATATTGAAAAATAAAATCAATATCAAAACCATTAGCTTCTGTTTTGTATCCACTTCTATGAACTTATTGACTTCCCTCGTAGGAAATCAACGGGCTTCATCTTATAAACTTAAACACCGTGTAGACATTTTGAGTCAATCGGATTATAACTTTAGCATGTCGGGCACCCACAAGATTTTTCAAATTGATCAAGGGCGATAAGTCTGGTATTAATTATCGGAAATCGTTGAAAATCTTGAACATAAACACTGCGGATAAATTTAACTATGTCAACAATACTTACCTCTTTGTAGCTATATGCAGGTACGCCTTGGTGGAAATATTCATTGTTGGCAGATATACACAACATTGGTTCATCATCTTGACAGCACAGTGTCATAGTGAAGCATTTTGTCATATTGGTGACATAAAGTACCTTGAAATATATGCATAAACTTTTCCGTTTAAATTATTTAACATTAAAATTCTGCATTATTATTTAGCATATTATTTAGCAAGGGTGGGAATCGTTTTAGTTGTAGGTGAAAAGGTATAGATAACAAATCATATTAATGTGATTGTGTAAAGATTGATTGAGGGACTTGAACCAGTGATGACTTATTATTATCAATCAAAAATAACCGTCTTCTATTAGACATATTATAGACTCTTAGATACAAAGACTTATAAATGGTTTGTAAAAAGACCGGGTATCAACACAACGCCACAAGAATTTACTATGTGCTTTCGTATGGTATAGTTTTTTCACCCAACAATCAGTGTCCAGGAGTACAACTAGGACCAAAAGATAACAACCATACTATTTAGAAGAGTTAAAACAAAGGAGCAACAAGAATTAACCGTTAATAGATTTATTAAATCGGTTTATTGTATTTAAAATTTTCTGTATTTCAACTGTATAATTTCGTTGGTAAAAGGAACATACCAATTCGGTGTATTATCTGGAAATCAGTCTCCATGGGTGTGATACGAGAGAAACTCAGAATCAAAAATCAAATTATCAAAGATATGTTAGGAGAATTCCTGGGAACATTCTTTCTTGTCGTAAGTATGCAATTTTGTTTAATAAAATCACATTTAATTTGTTGTATTCCCAAGGATATTACCGATCACAAGGAAAAACCTTCGCCAGAATTCGACTACAATAATATTCCCTGGATTTAGACCATTCCGTCACTCCATTTTAGCCAATGATGGGAGTCGATCCATTATGTATATGGTTTCTGAAATCCATGTAAAATATCCCTCTGTAAAATATATATTTATAATCTAAGATTTAATTTTAAAAAAAATTATATTTACATTATAAACAGCATATGATATATTGCGCTACGTTTTAGAAAAATTACATGTATGACAAAGTGTTAACGCGAACAGGGACAGGTTAAGAAGTTCACTTCCAGATATTTGTTTTGTATTTGTTTAGTTCTTTAACAATAACAAACTATGATACATCCGACTGATATGACCATTTCCCTTTTGTACAAAGCGTAATTCTGACTCCAGCTGTTTAACAAATTCAGGGTAAGTACTAATATCACGCTTGAAAACAGTGAAGGAAATAAAATACGAACAAAATATTTCATGAAATTAATTTTAGCATTTCTTGTTAAAGAGCAATAACTCACTATCAAAATGAAAATGGGTTAGTATCACCGAAGAACGTCACCCTGAAATATAGCTTTATTTTGTTTCTCTGCCGGCCTACTGTTGATGCCCAAGATGGATTTGATTATTCGATTCAGGGATAGAGATATGTTTGTGAAATCAACCTTTATAATTGAACACATTAGTTTAAAATGTTGAATATCAATACTAATATTTGGTATATATGATTTTATATTAAAATGGGGCAGATTGACGACAATTTACACTATCTGTATCAACCTAAAAAAAGTTAACCTTTATATGACATTTTAGACAAGATAAAATAATGTTATCATACCTAATACTACCAGACAGATAAAAGTTAACGTGTTGACAGTACACCGATAGTGGTATGTGTTGTCAGTTAGTAAATATGGAAGATATATAAATTTTCTTTTTTAAAAAATAGTGTGGAAGTATTCTGGTGTAAATTCTTAATATAAAAAAATTAATAACCGAGTTATGCCAAAACAGTATAGGTCTGAAAATTCTGAATTCCAATAGGTTCTTCTATATTCCCCCAGAAACAATTTTTAAAATTCTACTGAAAATCTATATGTATCCCTTCCAAAGGTTAAAAAGTTGACGGAAAAATAACTCTGCGATTTGTGATAGAAATATGAAATTCCAAAATACTGGATTTTAATATGGTTCTTTATAATATGCCTCATTGTACAAACTCACAAAGGTTTATTTGTCAGCATCGCAATCACACATGTTATTGTTAAAATCAAACAATGAATTTAGATAGAAACTTTCCTTACCCCAAAGAATAGGCCCATGTCAAATGTTTACAAAATTCCATTGATAGCTTTGTCCTGTATATCGCATTCATAGTTTGTGATTCTGAATATTAATGCGGGGGGAGGGGGTGGGGGTAATATGCAATTTGTATTCGACGATTTCTGACTGCTGACATGCTCATATGAACAAACCTCGCACATCTGAATTTGTGTCCTGTGATACAGCAATAGAATGTTCACATGAACACAGGTGATGACAAAAAAAGGCCATCCACTTAAAATTCTAATAACGTGTAGAGAAAATAAAGATATCTCGCCAAAACATAACATTAAAATCTGTCATCACATTTAAATTTTTGCCATTTCACACGTCATATATATATATATATGCGTATGTGTGTGTCATTCTTAACGTCTTTTCTTTATGTTACAACTCATAAAGGTGTTTTAATATGCTTTGACCGACAAGAAAGAATATCATGTTACAATCTATCGGATTAATCATTTAAAATTAACAATTTACTATTAATCGATCATTTGAAATGAATAAACAATATGATCAGAGCCTATAAAGCGTTCAATGTTCAGATCTGTATATCCACTCATCAAATCATTTCTCTTTCTGTCCGATCCCAGCAGGGTATTCGACGAGGAATCCCAATTGTCCATCCCGAAAGAATTAAGAAAGATGTCCTTCCAACATTTCTATCACATTACACACACAACTATTTCCAATGATTTCAAGCTAGTCGTTGCTGGGGTGCAGGTATATATAAAACCTTGACAGTTGGAATTCGACGAAGAGTAGGCAGAAAATGGCGCTATCCCGACAAAATACCCCTGATAGCACAGTGCATGTCATAAGTTTGGTGCAGAGATGTCAGGGTTTTGTTGAACTCTCATTGCGAAGGATATAATATTTACCGTAGTTGGAGATATTCTCGAGCACAAACAGGCTATCTGTTCAGAGAATCTTTTTAAATGACCGATGTTTTCGCTCTCTCTTCATCAAATTCCAACTGTCAAGGGTTCTTTTGTGTGCAAGCCAACGAGTACATGAGTGGGCCTGGGTTTTTCGTCTCATTCTAACGATTGGACTCTTTTTCATGCCAGACCCTTCGTCCTGCACCACTGACAAGCCAGCTTGTTCGGCAAAACCAGGACCAAACCCGTCATACTCACTGAGTCACCGTGGCTCTCGAGAGAAACAGTGTATATAGCGATCTGGAATGAAAAAAACTCTAACCCTTGTATGCATGACTGTACTATAGTGAAGAAATATGTTATCGAAGTTAACGTCTAGTTATTTGACTAAGTGTACAAGTCCTCAATGCATACTGATAATCCACAGTGTATAATCAACTGTTTTTTTTAGGTTTTGACTAAAGTAAATAATGAGTAGTTAGAAATACTTACATTATTTATTTTTGAATATCATCTTCGAACAAACCATGCTCATAGCCAAAACAGGTCTATTCTTTTACTCTTTAAATCCAATTTCAGACGTTTGCTGTAGCTGCCAGTGCTCAATATGTTCTTACAGATCTCAGTAGTTTTCTCACACTCAATTTTGCCAATGGAATGGGTCTAGTATTTGGTATATACGCCGCCGGTGGGGTTTCAGGTACTTCATTGACATTTTGTTTTATTACACGTCACCTTTTATTTAGTTTAGTCATGTTCTCAGCATTCCGGTAACCGATATAAGATTTACATCATCGAGATGATGTCTGGGATCAGTAAGAATGTTCATGATCAGGAAATATTTACAAAACTTGTAAATTGTTATTAATTGGTAGGTTATATCATGTAAAAGATACATTATGTAAGATTTAGATAAAGAGCTGGCCATTCTTACTATAATAGCTCAAAAATAGATAATGTAAAACGAAAATATTGAAAATTTCATTCAAATTACGTCATTCTTAGCCAAGTTATCAATGTTAGTAGTTTTGACAAGATGTGTGCATTGTGGTAACCAGGGGACTGGTATATTTGACACTTAGCCTCGCTTTCTCATTTTTAGATTAAATTTTTAAATGCCGAACTGTTCTAGTTTAGTTAAAATCTCTTGTATTCGATGCCATCAAGAATTGATTATGGTCTTGTTTTGTTAATAAATGTATAATTAATACTTTACATAACATTTCAGACCTAAAGAAAGACCTGCAATAGGCAGATTTAGCGCTTGCATAATGTATGTTTAAATAAATTAATTTGTAGGTTATGTCATGTTAAATAAATTATGTTGCAAATTATTGTTGACTGACTGTATGAATTTATTTTTAAGGTGCATCATTAAACCCCTCTGTCGGTATAGCTTTGTGTTTAAGTGGGTTTATACCTTGGTATAAATATCCGTTTTACACTGTTGCTCAAATAGCTGGTGCCTTTACTGCGGCTGCTGTACAGTACGGTGTTAATTATGGTAAGTCGATATTTTACGTTAAACTTAAAATATTGCACAGATTTACAACAAGCCTTGTAAAGTAGTACATAACTTATGTAGATAAGAAATATTTCCTATTGTTTGTGAACAATTTATCGTTGTTACTAGTCTGGAGGTTTTAAAATCGAGACAAATATCCATTCTATACAAATCCTTTTACTTCTTAATAAGCCCATGTAAGTTAATTTTATTAAAACTATAGTCAGGACTGTTAACTCAAAATTTACCCATTCTTGGGCCATACAGATCTGATTATTCTTTTTGTTAGACATGCTGAATGCATATGACGGTGGCAACAGAACTACATATGGTCCTACAGCTACTGCAGGGATCTTCTCCACATTTCCAAATCCTAAGGTGTCTACTTTAAACTGCTTCTTTGACCAGGTATGTATCGGCATCAGCCATTAACTCACTATTTGAAAATATTCAGTTTGATATTAATAACAGATGTTTGGTATCGAAATGAGGTCCTGTTGAAATTATATCTTTTTCCAGATACACAGCAGCTTTGCATCCCGGACAAGCCCCCTTTTCTTAAATAACATATGTCTGTGCATTTATAATCGCCAAGAATGAAAAATGTGTACAGCTGTTTCATTTGTGATCCGAAATGCTTGGGAATTTAACCCAATGTCTGATTAACGGGTGTCATGTGCGAGACAGAGTATGCGAGTCTTTTCAAAACACATGATGTACTACTTTGACACAGGAAGTCTAGCTACTTGGGATGTTCCCTTATACACATTATCTTAATTATACTATGGATCATAATATCATTGTACCTCATTTGTTTTTCAGGTTTTTGGTACCTTCATATTAGCTCTTTGTATACTTTGTATACTTGACAAAAGAAATTTTATGCCACTTGATAAAGGTTTAATACCGCTTTCTATGGGAGGAATTGTGTTTGCTATTGGTACATGTTGGGCTGGTAACTGTGGTTATGCTATCAATCCAGCTCGAGATCTGGGTCCTCGGTTATTTACGGCTGTTGCAGGGTGGGGACTAGAACCTTTCAGGTACGAATATATTTTTTAAATCTGAATTATGTTGCGCTCTATTCACGATAACATTTCGTTGTTAAAATCATGTCATGTCAATTGGGGTAAATGTTTTTTGGTTGGTCTCCAAAAGTTTTATTTTTCTTCATTCCTTGTGAGCTTCAGAAATTAAAACAGTACCCAGGAAATAGGTTATAGGTTAAATGACTTTGGTTAACATACGCTATGTCGCACTGGGCATCCACCATGCCTATTAAAAAAATATACAAACGTGATGAAATATTTTACTTCCACACTTCACTTAGATGTTATATATATTAGTAGCCTACTTAATATATTTACCTTTACCTGGGCCCTTTCCGTGGCTGTTACACATTGAATGAATAATTTTGTTAATTTTAGTTATCGTAACTGGCAGTGGTTCTGGATTCCTATCGCTGGGCCAATTTGTGGGGCCACGCTAGCTTACATCATTTACCAACTATTTATTGAACTACATTGGACACCTTTAGAACCAGAGCCTGTAGATACTATTGTTGTCACTGCTAATGGAACGAAAGAAAAATCGATGGAATTAATGGGAGTGGACAATCATGCATTTAAATCATCTAAAGGTAGGGTTTAGTTATATGACATAGTTTTATGTATTTTCACTACATATATAACGACAGATATAAAACTGCACAATGAAGGGAGGGTGTGAATAAGGCAGGGCCTTTATTAACGTGCCTACGGGCACGGATGCGCCTCTGGATAAAAAATCCGTGATTTGAAAAAAAAATTTATGTAGCCTTGTGAATCTGAGAAGACTATGTGGGGAAACTTAGCTATCATTATAATCATCGAACACTTTCGATTTCTGTTTCAAAAGTTTTGTATTGTTGACGTATTCCCACAATCACCTAAAGCAGGAAAATTACAAGGCAGAACATTGTCCGGTGCAGGTGACAGTGAAGGTTCGTTTGCCTAATACTGACACGTGCTTATAAATATAAACTGTTATATTTTGGTTATAAAAGATAAAAGTTTAAAGGTGATTTCGTGTTATCGGAAGGCAAATTCTGGAAATTTTCACTGAAACCCAAAGCACCAGAAACCGTGCTTCACCAATAAAACCTTAAAATAGGCCCTGGTATACCGTAGAGATTTTTTACCAGGAAAGGAAAGGGTACCCCCCCCCCCCCCTAGGATTAGGGTAAGGTTTTAGAATTTGGGGAGGGTTTACATGTAAATCACCACATAAGCAATGATCTTACTAGGGATTGGATTGTCTTAAATAAGCCTTTCTTCCAAAAGGGTTTTAGTTTCTTGTACATATATTTAGGTTTTGGGATATGCAATTGTAAGCTTTTGTATGAAGATGTTCGGATGATTTTCCTGAGATTAATATAGTGCTTTCCGATAATATTGGATGCACTTGCTGCTGTTGTGCTGAACGGGACAATATGGGGCTGTATGCATATTCAGGGTGTTGTTTTCAGATTAGAGTTTTGATTTCTTCCGGGGTTTCCAAGTCGGTATTAGTCTTTCTATTGGCGTGGCAATAAATTTAGAAATGTCTTGATTTGATTGGTTAAAGTGATTTGAAACCGGTTTGTCTTTTTACCTGTGATCGTTAATTCCTTCCCAGGCGCGTTTTTGGTCCCTCCTACTTACTGCGTGTTACATTCTCAAAAGGAAATTTGATAAATTATGTTTTAACTAATGCAAGAAAGTTGGTCTAATATTTGGAATCGTTGGCAGATAGTTTTTTCTCAAAGTATTCGAATATGGTTGAAATTTTGCATGGTTGACGTCTAGGGTGGTCACGTGTTTTTGTTTTAAATGATGCTTGCATATTGCTGGTTTATCGGGCTAGAAGTTCAGCGAGAGTATTGTTTTTATGTGTCGGGGATAGCGTTCGGGGTATCCACTTTCCCTTGGTTTGTCAGACCAGAGTCCATGCTGATTCAAATTCGGTATTTTATGTAAATATCCTGTGGATTCGAAGAATTAAGGATTTTATTATGCGAGAGAACGTCGTGTGTTTTGGGTGGAAAGGGCTCTTGAAAAGTAGTTGTTACGGCTTACATTTGAGGTTAATTTGACTTATGGATTGTAATTGTTTAGAATATTGAAAAACGTCCAAAATCCGTCTAGGTATGTACGTCATCTAAAAATCGTCCATAGAAATCCATTCTAGTAGGCATTAAGAGATTTACATAAGCACTTTCAATCGCCGTTCCGGGAGCCCGAAGGTATACTTACTTAATGCTTGCGGGTTCCTGAGGAATGCTTTCCTCACTACTTTTGAATAAAGCCGGTATAGTCTGCTCGCCAAACCCAATATTTCGAGTGAACCTGGAAATTGTATACAATTTTTTTTTTATGATTGATTTTAGTAGCCTATAGGGTGCCCTCTTTCAAAATCTGCCGGGTGAACCTCGGTCACCCTTGAGCGTTTTGAAAAATTCAAGATGACGTCCAAGGCGGCGCCACAACAGGGAATACACTGAAATCGTTCATTATGTTGTGGGGTGATTAGCGGCCTTCGAGGGCCATTATTTGACCAAACAAACTATATCTAGAGACAAATTATATATTTCTGAATATAGGAGCATGGAAGTGATACGATAACACCATATACATGTTTATAAGGGGCTCCAGGGCCACATGGATCGGTCCTGAAAAGGGAGGCACAAGCTGATTGTTGAAAAATTAAAAAAAAAAATTCTACCCGCAAAACAGGAACATAACCTCCACAAACCTAGGTAATATCCAGTTTAATCCTTTAACCGTGTTTCTGGCTGCAACCTGTGACAGCACAAGCGCAAAATACTGTACATTCTAAGTCATCCCTAGTGCTGCTACAAGCACAAGTACTACATGAGCTGTCGCTCTTGCATCCACATCTGATGAGCCACATGGCAGACTCCGGAGCAAGTTGGCCGGTTGTAATGTTCTCCCAGCAACAGAGGCGTAGCCTCAAAATATATATTGGGGGGGGGGGGTCCGCAACCCTAACCCTAACCCTCTTTTAAAACCCCTAAAAAATATACTATTCAAAAAAAGTAGGGGATATTTGATTTTGGGGGCATAATACTAAAATATGCAAATGACTACGAAAAAAGTCACTATAGAACCTAACAGAAGAAACATTTCCAGTTACATGTGACGCCCAAACGCACCAATAGCTACCGCATGGAATGCAGGTGATGCTTGGGATCATCATGGGGGTCCAACCCAAGATTTGCACGACTCTGACTTTGAATGTTACAGTCATTGTGGCATTGAATTCCAGGGTGGAAACATCAGTTTAATTGTTTTAGTGACCAGAAAACAAATTTTGATATGCGTCGGCTTACCCAAAATGAAAGGTTACGTGCCCTTGGCATGCTACAGATCGGCACAACACAGGCGGTTGTGGCGCGGACGATGAATGTTTCTCAGTCTGTCATAAACAGGCTATGGTCCAGATACCGTGATACACAATCTGTACAGGACAGACCACGCTCAGGTCGACAACTCAAGCCCAGGATCGATTTATCCGTACCTTGGCCTTGAGAAATCGTGTCATCACAGCAAATCAGATCAGCGCTCGTCTTCAAACAGACACTGGTGTGAGAGTGAGTGGCCAGACGATTCGGAATCGACTGCATAGGGGTCACCTTCGCGCCCGACGTCCTCGCGTGATCCCTTGTTTGAGAGATCATCACATTCAGGCAAGACGTCGTTGGTGTAGGGATCGTCAACACTGGGATAATCGACGCTGGAGCAATGTGATGTTTTCAGATGAGTCAAGGTTCACTGTTGATTTTTTGGACAGACGTAGGAGGGTGTGGCGTCGTCGAAACGAGCGCTTCCAAGACGTTAACGTCATCAGACATGATCGATTTGGGGGTGGTTCTGTTATGGTGTGGGGAGGCATCACTGTTGCTGGAAGAACGGCTTTACATGTTGTTGCAGGGCGCATTACAGGCCAGTACTACCGGGACAACATCTTGGCAGTCCATGTTGTGCCGTTCGCACGACGTCATGGCCGCCGTTTCATCTTCCAGGATGACAACGCAAGATGTCACAGGGCCAGGATCGTTACAGGTTACCTCCAACAACAGAACATCACCACATTACCTTGGCCAGCACTGAGTCCCGACCTCTCCCCCATCGAGCATGTCTGGGACATGCTTGGACAGAGGTTACGTCAACGTCAACAACGTCCTGCCAATGTCCAAGAACTTGCTGCTGCGTTGCAACAGGAATGGGACAATCTGGACCAAAATGACCTTACACGTCTCATTAGGAGTATGCCACGTCGGATCAATGCTTGTTTGGCAAACAGAGGAGGATTTACCCGTTACTGACTTGGTTGTGATGCTGTGGTAACTTTGCTGTTTGACCCCGGGTATCATTTTACCCTTATAATGGTCAGTCTGTGCCTTACTTAGTCTAACGATCATTTGGAATAAATCGATGAATGTGAACTTCATTTCATTTTGTCATTTGTTTCTTCGTCAGTTTCATTAGGCGACTTTAATAACACTTAAAAATCAAATATCCCCTACTTTTTTTGAATAATATATAATCAAACACCATGTGGCCATGCTGTCTACACAACTCGTTTGCTGATTGGCCCAGACACCGCGTGCAAAGCATTATGGTTACGTGGCTGGCTGAACGGGCGATAAATATTTGGTTTAGGCGATAATGTTTTTGGGTGGTACCTACGAGCGATTCACTCTGATAAGTGGCAGAAAAAAATTAATAAAATATTAATGACTGGCTAACTAGATACAATTTTATGGAACACAGTTACTTGTCACTTCACACATGTTTCCAGGATGAGTTTAGCAATGTAAACCATATTGGGATATGTACAGGTTTTATGCAGATAGAATCTTAACTAATCCTAATAATTGTTGTAAATAAATAGGAGTTAGGGCCTACTATGTAAATTGGGGGGGGGGGGGGTCCAAGTATATTCAGCCCCCCCCCATCCATGTGTGATGCCCATGCCCAGCAATATTGTTCCAGATCAAGTTCCGGTGGATTCCGATCTTCCAGTGAACGCCATTCTTTTCAATAACAATGCATTTTTAGACAAATGGCAACGACCCTATTACGCCCATGTGTTCAAGATACGAAAATCGCGCAGTTGGCAAGTAGCAGACTATAATATGAATTATATTCGCGCAATATTTAAGGATAAGATATTAAATGACTTGCACGTTTCGTCACTGCTCTGTTATTATGTGTACAAAAATAATATTAAAATCGGTCGAGGAGTCTAAATGAACCACGTGCATAAAATAATTTATTACATAGGCTAGGTATGTTGCCCAGCTCATTCAGATTTCCTTATGAAAATATTATTTCTAAAATAAAATGAAGAAAAAACCTTCAGTGTTTTTCGCATGTGTCACCCAAATATTTGAGAATGTTTAAAAAAAAGAAAAAAAGTTCTGAGCTGAAAGTACAGATTGCAGAATGATAGTGCCTGTGGTATGTATATCCCATGCAGGCAATGAGTAGTCTGCCCATCAATACATATTCTGTATAATATGTAATCTTGAAACATTTTGTGTGGGTGGGAGTCACGGGACAACTCACTGGGAAAAATCCCTTAAGTTTGCAGCACAAAAGTGTTCGTTCCCGACTACTAACAGTTTTCTCACCTAAAGTTCTCTACGTTCTATTGGTTAATTAGATACCGCCATCTATTTTTTTCTCTTTCATGTTAGAGCGATAATCCACCTTTCCATGAACATCGACGCAAAAATAATATTTATCCTATGTTTGTAAATTATCTATTTTCAAGTGTGTGTGTGTGTGTGTGTGTGTGTGGGTGTGAGGTGTGAGGTGGGGCGGGGGTGGGGATAAAGAGTGAGGGGAGAATGGTTAGTGGCCTTCTTGTGTGTTGGTTAATGTTAAATATATATTTATTTTTCAGATGATGAGCTAGACTTAGCAACCAAACTGTGATAGAATTAACTGGAAAAAAATATTATTATAAAGAACTTTATAGTGAAACACCAAGTGCTTTCCAAAATTGAAACAATCGTCATAGTTAATTTTATCTCCTATCACCGGATACATTTTAAAAACTACTCTTCTCAGGGCCCGATTAAAGCATGGGATTTAGGGGCTGCTGCCCATGCCCATGGGCCTCTGATGGGGGGGGGGGGGGCACAGAGATTAAGATTAAATTATTTCATTTGTGAATATTGAATCAAAGTATAAGTACACTAAATTATGTATTTTAAAAAAGGGTTCAAGTATATATATTATTTACAGTTAAAATACTAAGGCAAATAAGATCCACTGAAATGAACTGTTTGTGTTGGGGGCTCACAGTGTATGTAGCCTACAAAGTCTTAATGAGACGTCAAAGTGGCCGATAGAAGTATAGTGTTGAATATGTTATGAAATCTTATTCAGAAATATGGCTTAAATGGAATGGTGTTTAACGTCCTACTGAAAACATGGCTTAAAGATATTTGTTGGGTGATGAAGAGCCACAGTTATTGGTTGGTCTTTCATTGTGTAAAATTTTATTAATGATGATAAACCAGTATGTATTATATTTAAAGTTAATAGCCATGTATTTATCAAATATGTTGTCATTGAAATGGAGAATATTTTAAGGGTCCGTATTCAATTAATTGCCTTAAATTTAAGTTTAAGTTTTAAGTATTCACCTTAAATCGGTACTTTTGGAACCTTAGCTACGGTGTTTGTCCTCAGTTGTTCAGGCACCTCTCTGTACTGAAGAGTAGAACTAGCTCCACGTATGCCATGTTGTCTGCTATCCCGTGGCACGTTATGGAACCTTAATGCCACAAGCCCAGTATTTTTGACTGAAGAGATCCGAATGAAATAGGGGTGACTGGGGGGAGATTGTGAAGGGAAGGGGATTTAGGGACGAATTTCATTGATATGTATGCATTTTGTAATATTGTATCAACCCATTAGTGAAAATAATCATTTTACAAGATAGAACATATTTAGAGCTTTGTAATGTACATAATGTAAGTAAATCATATTATATAAGCCTCTCACATGTAGTTGTAGTGTTCTGTCAGAGTATTAACAAGTCATACTTTAACCCAAAAGCTATTGGGTTGTCAAATTCCATAAATCACCACAGGAAGGAAGAAATGTGTACTGATATAGCCAATTTGATTTGTAAGTAAGTTCATGTGATCTGATTTCAGCTTACAAATGAAATACATCAGATTTTAATGTATTACACCATAAACATAAAATAAAATGCAATTGAAATCTGATTTTAATCCATGTGATATTTGTCTTTCAATAAATGCAATTATTGAAAACATAAAATGAATAGAAAGGAGTAAAACAAAAATATTTAGAATATGTACAAAACATACATATTCATATAATACTGTATTATCATTTATATTTCACAAACATTAATATATCCTGTACATATCTGTATTCACCAACTTAAAGACATAATATAACATAGATTTAAACACATATAACCTAGATTTAAAGGCATATAACCCAATTATGCTAGCAATATTTATTTTCAAATGGTACTGGTGTAATTATTATAAGATCTACACCAATTATTTGTTTTTGACAATAACTCTTGAAAGGTGTAATACTTTGAAACAAATTTACAGGGTAAATTACTAATATCTCAAGATCACCAAATTTTTGAAATAACCCTTAAAGACTTGTTATGTAAAGAATTGATTAAGTATCTGTTGTATAATTCTACTAATTTAACTGCAACACAATCCATCATTTGTTCTGTTATAAAAATTAGATTTATCTTGGAAGTTTATATAAATGTATAACAGTATTGTTAACTATCAGAATTGGGTATAAACAGAGAGCAGAGAAATTGGGTTTAACGTCCACTCGACACAAACTAGGTCATTTCGGGACTAACATTTCAACAGGGGTCTTTAGCAGTGGGAGGAAACCGGAGGACCTGGAGAAAACCAACGAGGTTGGACAGGCGACCCTACTCCTTTTCACGTACAACTGGGGAATCGGGGTATAAACAAGTTTGTAATATTGCTAACAAAATTAAAAATACCAAAATTATATTTTTTTATAAAGTGAATAAATTGAATATTTACAAAAAAACAAAGTGTCTTCTTTTCTTTTTTTCATTGGAAGGATACAACATAAGAGCAAACTACATCCTCGTGTCCTTAAAATAAGACATTTTATTTGTAGTGAATGTGCTGTAAAATACCTGTACACAATCCCTTTTAGCTATAGGGTGCAATAATGGGAGTCTTCACAAAGATATAACAGTATGAAATGAACTATGATTCTTTTTAAAACTAGACTTTAAGAGAATTTAGACATTTCTGAATTCTTATTTCTGGTTCCGACATTCCTTCCACCCACACTACATAGGGAAAACCATGAATCTCTTCTTTTGTATTTGGATCCTGCCATACAGATAAAGTAGAACCAGCACCAATATTACCCTGGTAATAAATAAACCTACAATTAGTCATTTTAAAGTGCTGATTTTACTACTTGAATATTCTACGCTATTGTTTCCCCTTAGTGATTGATAAGATGATCTAACAGGGTAAAGCAGAAAAGAGGGCTGATAACTAAGGGTGCTTTGACAAAAAAATGTGCAAAAATGAAAAATAACCCAGAGCATCAAAAATAATCATTTAAAAGACAATAACATTTTCTGTTTCATCATTTAGCTCTCTTTATTTCAAACAATATTTTTTAGTTTTGATAACCCAAGCCAAAGACATTATTCAACCAACTGACTACTGCTATCCTCTTGGCTTGCTGGTAAAATTGTCAATGATATATGCACAGGTAGTTACGAAGGCCAAACAATTAATCCGTTTGAACGAGTTTGAACGAGTTAATTGGTATCTCGTTTGAACGAATTGGTATCTCGTTTGAACGAATTGGTATCTCGTTTGAACGAATTGGTATCTCGTTTAAACGAATGAATCATCTCGTTTGAACGAATGAATCATCTCGTTTGAACGAATTAATCATCTCGTTTGAACGAATTAGTATCTCGTTTGAACGAATTACTAATGAGATACTAACTCGTTTAAACGAGATACTAACTCGTTTAAACGAATTAACTAACTCGTTCAAACGAATTAACTATCTCGTTTGAACGAATTAAATATCTCGTTTGAACGAATTAATTATCTCGTTTGAACGAATTAATTATCTCGTTTGAACGAGTTAAGATTTCGATTGTACAGAAGCAGCGTGGGAGGGACATGCAGACATTATTATTATTATTAAAACGATATTTATACAGCGCTCGACTTCCACTGCAGAGCAATGCTTAGAGGCGCTTTACAAAAACATAAATTGAATCAATATAAAATTCAACTGTACATAAAAGTCTAAATGATAAAATTACATGCATATAGAGAATGACATAATCATATGATAAAATGCAAGATACATAGAATCTTTTTTAACTAAAAGCATGTGTATAAAAATGTGTTTTTAGTGATTGCTTGAATATTGTAATAGATTTTGCTGACCTTATGAAAAAAGGGAGCTTATTCCAGAGTCTCGGTGTCTGGAAAGAGAAGGATCGTTCTCCAAAAGAAGAAAGATTTACAGAGATGGGTTTAAGGAGAAAGGGGTCACTAGATGACCTCAAACATCTAGTTGGCGTATATACCGTGATTAAATCTTTTATGTAAGAGCGTTAAGTGTCATTAAAACATTTATAAACCAATAAAAGTATTTTAAAATTAATGCGGTACTTAATGGGGTAACCAGTGTAAAGAAGCTAAAATTGGAGTTATGTGGTCATGTTTTTTCGAAAGAGTTATCAATCTGGCAGCACAATTTTGAACTTTTTGAAGTTTATCTAGGTGTTTTACAAGAAGATCTGCAAGGAGAGAATTAAAATTATCAAGCCGAGAAGTTATAAAAGCATGGACAAGTGATTTAGTTGCATCTAGTGAAATATATTTTCTAATTTTACCTATATTGTAAATGTGGAAATAGCACCTTTTACATACATTATTAATTTGACTAATCATGTTCATGTTTTTGTCAAAGATAACACCAATATTTCTTGCAGAATTAACAGGTAAAATAACAGACTGAGCAATTGATATGGATCTACAATCAGATATTTTGCTTAGATTATTATTTGATCCTATAAGAATATATTCAGCTTTGTCACTATTTAACTTTAAAAAATTAGCAGACATCCATTTTTTTATGTCAATTATACAAGTTTCTAGTTTGTCTTTTTTAGTATTAAAATCATTTGTTATAGATGGTTTAAAAGCAATATAAATTTGGGTATCATCTGCATAGAGCTGATAGTCTAAGCCATGACCCCGAACTAATTTGCCGAGCGGAGAAGTGTATAGTGTAAATAGAATGGGTCCAAGAACAGAGCCCTGGGGTACTCCGTATAAGATGTAATTTTTGTTAGAAAATGTATCATTAATTGACACTCTTTGTTGTCGACCAGTTAAATAACTTGTTATAAGTTTTAATGCAAAACCATCTATACCGAAATCTACATTTAAACGACTAATAAGAATTGAGTGGTCAACTGTATCAAATGCAGCCGATAAGTCTAACAAAATAAGAAATACAATGTGTTGATTGTCCAAAGACAACAATATATCATTATGAACCTTGGTTAATGCTGTTTCTACACTATGAAATCGCTTATATGCACTTTGAAGGGGTTCTTGTAAATTATTATCATCTACATATTCTATGAGTTGATTGGCGATACATTTTTCTATGATTTTAGATATAAAATTTAAATTTGACACAGGCCGATAATTTTTTAATATATTGATATCCAGGTCTGACTTTTTAATAATGGGTTTAACATTTGCAATTTTATACAAAGTAGGGAAAATACCTTGTTTGAAACAACAATTAACAATATCTGTTATATATTTAGATAAAAAGTTACAGCAGAGTTTAAGGACTGAAGTTGGTAGTGAATCTAACGAACATGTTTCAGATGGTGACCCTTTGATTAAAGCTATGACAAAAGGTTCACTTACAGGACTAAAAGAGTTGAATGATACAGAGAGTGGTTCGATGTTAATATCGATATCACAATTTAGGATATTCAGATCGTTTCTAATGAGAGAAACTTTGTTAACAAAATATTGTGAAAATTTATCAGCGAGATCTTTTGTATTGACATATTCAGGAAGTACAGAGTGTGAGGAACTACGATCTATCAGTGACTTGACTACACTGAATAATTCTTTGAGACTTTTATCACTATTCGTAATCTTGTCTGAATAAAATTTACGTTTAGCACAGTCAATCATGGAATGAATTTACGCGGTTTTTAATGCTTTTATAAATATCCTTGTGAATGTGTAGTTTTGATTTCCGCCAGGTCTTTTCTGCATGTTTTCGTAGTTTCTTGACTTCTCGTATCTCATCGTTAAACCATTCACAACCAGGGCGAACAGTAACAGTTTTTACAATTAATGGAGCACAATCATCAACCGCCTGTCTTGTTATTGTATCAAAGTGTCCTATCGAGGAAGTCGGCCAACGGCAGCGTCGCTTCTCCGCACGGTTCCTTAGTGGGAGGGATGCGACAAATGCTTCGTTTTGCATGCTGCATGCGCAAATTAGTTATTTCTTTTAACAGTCCCACCCCACCCTCTATCTTAGAAACTCACCCAGATCCTCTTCTAAGGCAATCAACACTGGAAATAAGTTCATCTGGCAACAATAACATTAATCCTTAATAATATGTAAACCTCGCTGAAAATCGTATACCTGTAGTTCTGTTCACTAAGCTATAGTGAAAATTCAGCTAAGGCAAAATCTACCATTTTATTTCTTAATTGGGTGCATTTCAAATCCACGCCCTTACAGTATCATACATATACCTGTCGTAATGCCTGTTTAGCATATACATGCCATAAAACAATGACTTCACTACGATGTTGTGGCTAACCCAGGCTAACATTAAACAAATTGTATAATTTCCAAGGTATTCTATACTAATTCCCCTTTTCACAAGTGAAGTTCCTTCTACTGACGCTAACGCTAGAAACAGTAAAGAACCTACGCGTATTAAATCATAGTATCTTTACTTGAAACATAATTTCTGCATGTCCCTTCCATGCTTCTGTACAATGAAAAATCTTAATTCGCTGAAACGAGATAATTCGTTCAAACGAGATACTCATTCAAACGAGATTCTTAATTCGTTGAAACAAGATAGTAACTCGTTCAAAAGAGATAATTAATTCGTTCAAACGAGATACTAACTCGTTCAAACTAGATACTAACTCGTTCAAAACGAGCTATTTAATTCGTTCAAAACGAGCTAAATAATTCGTTCAAACCAGATATCAATTCGTTCAAACGAGATACTAATTCGTTCAAACGAGATACTAACTCGTCCAAACGGATTAATATGTATTGTTTTTGTTTGGCACTAATGGGCCTTCGTAGGTAGTAGACCTATATACTCATTCTTCTTTTTTATCTGTCAAATCAAACTTAGAAATTGGACCATGATCAATTTAAACATTGATTCTTTAGGCTACAGTAGGTGACATGTTTTCAAAAAATTGTTTGCACGAGATAAGATTTGCCCCATAAAGTTTTTTCTTGGTGCTATTGACATAAACATTCAAATCTTATCTATGACTGAATAAATAGTAAAGCAATAAGCGACCAAAAACCTCCAATCAATACATTTCTCTTCTAAATGTATTCAATTTCTTACCTGTGTATCAACAGCTATTATAACTAAATCAAACTTAATCTGTGAACGTCTACTGATTTCACGGATTACTTTATCACAAGCTTCATGAACTGTATCTCCCTATATTTATATACAATACAATACTATAACTAGAGGATATTACATTTTTACACAATAGTTGTATTTATCTCATTAAGTGAGATATGAGTTCAATAAGCTCACGAGATGAAATACATACACTTTTTGTTAAAAAACATGTATTATTCTATATTTATTACATAATACTTAATTGATATCTGACCATCCGATTTGAACATGAAGAAAGGTGGAACCAGATTCCCTGCGTAATTATCCTGCATTTGTATTTTCTATGTGACGTCATACTCTAGAATACATATTTTCATTGTTACTTGTGTTCTACATATTTGGGGACTGACCTGTAGTTTCACAATCAATAATATCCCCAAAATTTTTAGTAGACCGATAATCTAAAAGTAAATATGTTGGCATTATGATAATAATTATTTAGTTTGTGGTAACAAAGGTAATAAATTTTTTAAAGTGTTTAAGTTTTTCACTTTCACGCAAATGAGCTGTACTTTGCAAAATAATTTGTTTTTGAATATCTCATCATTGACACACCTGTTTCATATAATGAACAACACGAAAAGCTGGACAATGTTTCATTATCACATCACCATCACCAGAACAGCATGCTGCCCCACTTTCAATATCTATATCCAAATAAAACACATTGATTACAACAAAAAGGAAACTTATTTTTGCATTCAAATCAAAATAATACAACACTATTTTTCCATTAGAAATGAACTTCAATTGCATTCATTTTACTTTCCAACTACATGTATACAATTTATTCTAATAGTCAATTTCAGAAATAAAATGTGTATTAAAATAATGGAATGATAATACAGATGGATTATACCTGTATATAATCCGGAACCTGGTAAAGCACTATCACCAACTCTACCCGCTTCTTTACCTCCCATACCACTAGTTGATACACCTACAATTTATTTACTGATAAAGAACACGCTTTTATGGAAAAGGTGTTACTTTTGCAATATCCTAATATTGGTTCAATGACAAGGCATATCAAAGTAGCTCGAAATTATGGAGAAATAAGACAGTAATTTGTACCACTATAACCAGAATAAAAATAAAATGATGTGTCAAGGGAAACAACTCTTATCACCACTTCAGGGTTCAGACTAATAATTCTCTTCTCGTTGACTACAATGTTAACTCTATTACATTTCTTGGCCTATAACATTTTTTTGAACATTCTGATGATCTAACCCACACATAGACCTTAAATTTCTACCCTCAAAAATACTATTGAAAAAATAATAATGATTTCTGGTCATCTAGATGCATGTTAACTCCAAAGATTCCACTTAACACAGCTTTTTCGCAAGTACTATGCTTTAAAATAATCTGAGTAAATAAGATTTTTAAATATGACACCATATTAATATTTACTCACCAACTGTTATATCATTCTTTGTTGAACATATTAGTCCCAAGGTATCATGGCCAGTTGATTGGGGATTTCCATCTTTTTTCTCCTTCAATCAAATCACAAAATTATAATTTGCTGTTTAATTCAGACAACAAAGAAACACAATGATCAGTATTTTTGCCACAGATTCCTTTTGTTTTGACAAGGAGACGAGTGTATACCCTACAGACAGATGGGCGGGCGGACGGACAGACAGACGAACCCATTTTAATAGTCCCCTGCTTTCTTCAAAAGGTTGGGGGACAAATATTGCCTGGTTAGCTGAGCTATGGCCTAACTTTTGTTGAATTCAAACTGTCAAGGCTTCTTTAACATGCACAATAACGTGTACACAGGACCTCAATTTTCCATCCCATCTGAATGACTATGAGAAGGGGCGCTGTTTGGTAATAAAAAATAAAACTATTATAAAAGTCAGAACATGGTCAAAAAAGTATATTTATACGGTTTGTGTTTATACAGTGATCTACTTTAAAATGTTACTCCCAATTTATTGCATTTTCTTGATAGTCTGTCTTGGTTCAAAATATGTGGGTAAATAATTTTAATTGGGTATATAAAGTCAACACTCAATAGATTAACCCAAAAATGAAACTAAAATTAATAAAACCAGTGGCTGCCAGGCAGGATACACCCACATTTTCGAGAGATGGATAGAGAACAAGCTAAAAAGAAAGTGATTTTTCCTACAATCAAGGGCCATAATTCAGTAAATTACAATTCGATATGCGCAAATATCGAAAGGAACCGAGATCTTTGGGTTATAAACTTACATTTCAATTTTCAACAATATCGGATAACAAGCGGTTGCCATGCAAGATACGCCCACATTTTGCAAGAGATGGACAGAGAACAAGCTCAACAAAAAGAAGTGATTTTTTCGTACAATCAAGGGCCATAATTCAGGAAGTTACAATCCGATATGCATGAATATTGAAAGGAACCAAGATCTTTGGGTTATAAACATGTATTTCAAGTAACATCAAAATCGGATCAAAATTGTGTCCACTCTCTAGAGGGTCCAAAACCTTGATATACAATATATTTACAATATTTGCGTACGAGGGGCAGCCATTTTGTCCGGCAGTTTTGGTCCGATTTGTACGAAATTCGGACTCAACCATCATAAGGGTTTGACAGGGATATATTCAAACGTTTTTTAAAATCGGATAAAAATTGTGACATCTAGAGGGATCACATCCTAAAAACACGACTTTTCGTACAATCAAGGGCCATAATTCAGGAAGTTATGATCCAAAATGTGCGTATATCGAAAGGAACCAAGATCTTTGGGTTATAAATATGTATTTCAAGTTTCATCAAAATCGGATCAAAACTGTGACCTCTATAGGGTCCACAACCATATTTTTACGCTATTTGAGAACGATGGGCGGCCATTTTGTCTGTCAATTTTGGGCCAATTTTCACGAAATTCGAACTCAGTCGTCCTTAGGGTGTAACGGTGACATAATTATATGTTTTTTTAAATGGATAAAAATTATGACCTTTAGGGTCCACAAGCTAAAAAGGCGATTTTTCGTACAATCAGGGGCCATAATTCAGGAAGTTACGGTCTGATATGCGCGAATATAGAAAGGAACCAAGATCTTTGGGTTATAAAATTACATTTCAAGTTTCAACAAAATCGGATAAAAATTGTGACCTCTATAGGGTCCACAACCTTGATATACCATATTTTTACGCTATTTGAGAACGAACGGCGGCCATTTTGTCTGTCAATTTTGGGGCGATTTTCACAAAATTCAAACTCTACTGTCCTTAGGGTGGAACGGTAATATATTAATACGGTTTTTTAAATCGGATAAAAATTATGACCTCTAATGGGTCCACAAGCTAAAAACATGATTTTTCGTACAATCAGGGGCCATAATTCAGGAACTTACGGTCCGGTATGGGCAAATATTGAAAGGAACCGAGATCTTTGGGTTATAAACTTATATTTCAAGTTTCAACAAAATCGGATAAAAATTGTGACCTCTATAGGGCCCACAACCTTGATATACCATATTTTTACGCTATTTGAGAATGAACGGTGGCCATTTTGTCTGTCAATTTTGGGCCGATTTTCACGAAATTCAAACTCAGTCGTCCTTAGGGTGTAACGGTGATATAATAATACGTTTTTTTAAATCGGATAAAAATTATGACCTCTATAGGGTCCACAAGCTAAAAACGTGATTTTTCGTACAATCAGGGGCCATAATTCAGGAAGTTACGGTCTGATATGCGCGAATATAGAAAGGAACCAAGATCTTTGGGTTATATGGGCAAATATTGAAAGGAATTCAAACTCAACTGTCCTTAGGGTGGAACGGTAATATAATAATACGGTTTTTTAAATCGGATAAAAATTATGACCTCTAATGGGTCCACAAGCTAAAAACATGATTTTTCGTACAATCAGGGGCCATAATTCAGGAACTTACGGTCCGGTATGGGCAAATATTGAAAGGAACCGAGATCTTTGGGTTATAAACTTATATTTCAAGTTTCAACAAAATCGGATAAAAATTGTGACCTCTATAGGGCCCACAACCTTGATATACCATATTTTTACGCTATTTGAGAATGAACGGTGGCCATTTTGTCTGTCAATTTTGGGCCGATTTTCACGAAATTCTAACTCAGTCGTCCTTAGGGTGTAACGGTGATATAATAATACGTTTTTTTAAATCGGATAAAAATTATGACCTCTATAGGGTCCACAAGCTAAAAACGCGATTTTTCGTACAATCAGGGGCCATAATTCAGCAAATTACGGTCCGATATGCGCGAATATCGAAAGGAACCGAGATCTTTGGGTTATAGACTTACATTTCAAGTTTCAACAAAATCGGATAAAAATTGTGACCTCTATAGGGTCCACAAGCTAAAAACGTGATTTTTCGTACAATCAGGGGCCATAATCCATGAAGTTTCGATCCGATACATGCCAATATCGAAAGCAGCCGAGATCTTTTGGGGATAAACCTATATTTCAAGTTTCGTCAAAATCGGATAAGAATTGTGACCTGTAGAGAGTCCACAAACAATTGTGGACGGACAGACAGGGGCGACGGCATAATACGTCCACATGAAAATGTGGGCGTATAAAAATTGTGACCTCTATAGGGTCCACAACCTTGATATACCATATTTTTACGTTATTTGAGAACGAACGGCGGCCATTTTGTCTGTCAATTTTGGGCCGATAATCACGGAATTCGACCTCAGCCATCCTTAGGGTGTAACGGTGATATAATAATACGGTTTTTTAAATCGGATAAAAATTATGACCTCTATAGGGTCCACAAGCTAAAAACGTGATTTTTCGTACAATCAGGGGCCATAATTCAGGAAGTTACGGTCCGATATGCGCGAATATCGAAAGGAACCGAGATCTTTGGGTTATCAACTTACATTTCAAGTTTCAACAAAATCGGATAAAAATTGTGACCTCTATAGTGTCCACAAGCTAAAAACGTGATTTTTCGTACAAACAGGGGCCATAATCCATGAAGTTTCGATCCGATACATGCCAATATCGAAAGCAGCCGAGATCTTTTGGAGATAAACCTATATTTCAAGCTTCGTTAAATCGGATAAGAATTGTGACCTGTAGAGTGTCCACAAACAATTGTGGACGGACGGACGGACGGACGTCCAGACAGGGGCGACGGCATAATACGTCCACATGAAAATGTGGGCGTATAAAAACTATTCTATAATAATACTTGTATTGGATTACCATCAGTTCTTCATGTACTTGAAAGCCGTGTTGTACAGCAAATGTCTGGGCTCCAGATCCTGTCAACATACTATGTGGAGAAGCTTCCATAACCCTTCTAGCCACTGATATAGGATGTTGTATTCTGTACATCAATGATGTTTAATAATTAATATAATATTTTGAATGTCAGAAAAAGAATAAAATTTCAGTCATGTAGTTGGTTTGCAATAGGAAACATTTCAACAATATGGTTCAATGATATACAAAATGATTTGTTTTCACTGAAAGAGGGATCTTATTTATATGTACTATAAATTATATTAGGTCCAAAACTGTTCCAAAATAAATCTCATGTAAAGAAAATAAGGTTTTAGGTGAGATAATTCTTTTCTGAGCAAAACACACAAGAATTAAATGAACAAACTTTTACAATACACAAGTAGATAATGTTTCCAGAGAAAAAGACAAAAGAAAATGTGACCATGGTTAAACTTTATATTTTAATTAAATCAATCACCATTGTACAATAGATAAAATGGTCCTTATGACCACACATTGCATGCCTGCAAATTTGAAAACAATCTGACAAAACCTCAGAAATGAAGAGGATTCACAAGAAATTGTGACTGGAGGAAGTGACCACAATATGTATCCAATTAGCTGGAAAGCATATAAAAATGTGTCAAGGGAGATAACCTTTACTAAATATAGAGTTACTTTAAACATACATTCTTTAGGCCTGAAATGTTTTCTAAATTATTAATTAGACATTAATTAACTGATCCAGGCCATAATCAACTCTCGAGGGCATCCGATTTCTCCGATATTAAATAGATTAGAACGGTTCAGCCACATTTTAATTTAATTTAAACATGGAGGGGTGAGACATAGCTTCAAACAACCAGTATGGTGGTTGCAAATATTGCACACGTCTTGTCAAACCTAAGAGAAATTGGAATGAAATTTTCAAATTATTCATTTTACATTATCTATTTTCAAACTATTGTAGCAAGAATGGCTATCTCTTTATCTAAATCTTACATAACGTATATTTAACCTACTGACTGTTTACAAGCCCATAAGCAGATAGATGGTAAAACTGTTTTTTGGTGCAATTAGCTATGTTCATAATTTCATACAAACATTTCAACAGAAAACTACATTTCCATATGGTCACATTTTCATTAGGATGTATTATGATGGCACACCTCTTCGTCTGTCTGTCTGGGCATCTGTGTATCTGATGAAATTCGTTTGTGGACACTCTAAAGGTCACAATTATTATTCATTTTGATGAACCTTAAAATATGTGTTCATCCAAGGATATTGGTTCCTTTCGATATTGGTACATATTGGACCTTTACTTCATGGATTGTTGCCCCTGATTGTACGAAAAAGCTATCTGGTTGAGGTCCTTTTTAAATATAATAATAATTTCAAAACATTAATAAATGAGTTTACGGCATATTTTGGAATGATATTATAATGAGACAAGTACCAGTGGTACACAGGGTATTAAAACTACAGTACTCAAAACCACAAACCCTTGTATGGCTGTGACAGCACCAAATTCTAAAGATTTACCATTCATAATAGCAGCATCTAGTTCCAGATAACCCTGTTTATTTCTCACTCCACCACAACCAACAAAATACTCTCCATACTTTACATTTCCTTCTATTGCTGTAATGTAATACAAAAATTGTAAAAACAGTGAATAAACTGGCTCATTTACCAGGAGGTCCTGGGTTCCATCCTGATGTTGGCCAAAAGAGTTCCCCAGGATTTGTCAGCGTTGCTCCCCTTGTCAGCCGTTCAGGAAGGAAGTTCTTGCAAGAATAGTGTCTAGTCTCTTTATAGTTGGAATTCAAGGAAGAATACTGTAGGCAGAGATGCTCTTGTAAATTAATCTCATAGCGCTCTACATTCGCCTAGTTAGTATACAGAACAGTAGAATGTTAAACCCCACTTCATTTTCATTTCAGGAACCACACATATTTTCAACCTGGATTCTATAATTCATATCTAAATTTACCTATTCTAAATCTGATTGAATTTACAAACCGTTTATTCCTTTTTCAACAGCATCTATACTTATGCATCCTTTCCGATCATTTTCATCCATATTTAGTTTTACAAGATCGGAAGCTACTTGCACAGCTTCTATTGAAAATGGCCAAGTGCCAACAACAGCACACTCCATTTTTTGGACTGCAAAGAATCACAAATAGATGGATATTGAATTATCATTAATTTATATTTTTCTTAGTTTAGAATTTAGTATCACTAGATTTAAAAGATAAATCATATTACAGACGTCATGTAGATTTAAGACCAATTGATGGCTGATAATTATGTAACTGAATGATTCAGATATTTTCTTCAAACGCAAACTTTGCATTAACTAGTCCCACATTTTACTAGACTTGTATTACCAAGTTATTTTGCGGTTATTTTTTGTGGAATATTTGTAATATTTCGTACTGTGGCTGTGGCTCTTTAGGGAATATTCTGGAGAAGGTGAATATGTCATCATATGACAAGTTCAAACCCAATTTCTGTTTCCATTTCACTTTATGAGCAGTAAAAATATACATTACCGGTATTATATTACCCTTGAACAACTCACAGCTAATCACTTTGAAATTACTCCTACTAAGGATTTGTGTCTGCTTCCAACTATGGTGCAGTGATATCACAGAGTTTGAAATGATTGCTTGTTGGTTCTGGTTGTTATTTTATTCTTCTTCCACAATTAGTGATATTGCCTTGTTGGCTCATATATAATAAATAATAATAACTTTATTTGAAAAGGGTAAGGGTTTACCTAGGCTAAAGAAATTCATTTATATATTAAAAAGATAAAAGAAGTAAATTTTAAACATACATTATGCAAGAGCTAAATCTGCTCATTGCTGGGCCCTGATTCACGAATTTTTAACTTTTAAGATAAAATCCAAAGTTTAGTAGATACCTCAATTTTGATTGGCTAAGCACTAAAATCAATCTAATATTATCCAATCAAATTACTAAAATTTGGATTTTATCTCAGTTAAGTTTTCGTGGATAAGGGTCCAGGACCCTTATTCACGAAAAACTTAAACTAAGATACAATCGAAATTTTAAGAAATACTGCAATTCGATTGGCTGACCAGTAAAATCAATTTGCATATATCCAATTTGCATATTGGTCAGCCAATCGAATTACAGTATTTCTTAAAATTTCGATTGTATCTTAGTTTAAGTTTTCGTGAATAAGGGCCCAGGTCTTTCTTTAGGCCTGATATTTTAATTATTAATTACACATTAATTAACTATCAAGACCATAATCAACTCTCGATGCCATCGCTAGAATGCGATATTTAGTGGATTGGAATACATTTTTTGAAAAATGATTAAACGTAAAAAAAAATAATCGAGACTTTGTTTTTTATCGCACTGACTTTAGTAACGATGATCGAGGCTAGCCTAAAATTCAAAAGCTAATATCTCGGTTCAGAGTGGAACAATTTGACTGAATTAAATTTTCAGCACATTCTATTTAAGTTATCTATTTTTAACTGTTATAGCGAGAACTGTCAACTCTTGATCTAATCTCCCATTAAGTTAAATATTGGTTAAATGTAATAATTTAGATATTTAGAATTTTTAATTATATGTGAAATCTTGTGTAAGATTGGGCAAGTATAAAGAGTAATATCTTTATTTTACAAGAGTATTTGGAATATAATCTAATATTCACAAGTAAATAACAATGACATTGGTCACTAAAACAAAGATATACCACAGTAAATATTGTCAAATGGCTATGAGGAATGTCAATTACAATAAAATACATCAGTACACCACACATCAACGCAGGTAATAAAATACCCGCCGATAAAGTAGCACGTGATAACCGAGCACCTGCTTTTCCATTAGAGTTACCTACCCATTCGGCTTGAGTTGATGCGGAAGTGAATGTTTTTTTATATATTTATTTTGCATGACTGTCAACACGTAATTTGTTACACAAAATAAGCTATCTGTTTGCGGATAGTTAAATGAAATCCTGTTGTGTAGGTAGAGTAACATTACGATCGACAATTTGAGTTGTGATTTTGACGAGAAAATGTCGTCGGAATTGATATTTTGAGTCGACATATGCTATTGTATTGTGCATTAACTACAAAGTGTAAGTAGAATTTATTCAATATGTTTGCTATAGTACCATTAGTAGGTCCGGTTCATTTTTCCACATCGAATTCTAACACATCTTTCAGATTGGGATCAGTACTAGAGCTAGAGAATCGTTATGACTCTTTTTTTTTTTTAGCTTACCGGTATTATGTTCTGATAGAAAACGTAAGTTAGATTTACCTGTAGGCCTGTTGTGAATAATTTATAGTTGAGTACATACATGACTTACATCAATACATGTAGCCTACATGTACATCAACAATTTATCACAACAATTTTTCGCATCAACAATTTATCATAACAATTTTTCGCATCAACAATTTATTAAATAACTTTTTTTTTAAAGTTTTAATGCATTTTTTTATTGGCCTAATTAAATCTCATCATAAGAATAGGACGTTTAAAATCACCTATTCACTTGGTCCATATATTGCACCACATTTCTTCAAAAGCTGGTTGGTGCTTACATGTATGTGGTCTCTACGTTGTATGACTTCCATATATTGAATAGCTTTCCTTGTATAGGTCTGATCTGTTGTTTCTGGTGCCGTTTCAGCTTTCTTTCTGAATTGGCAAGTGACTGGCCAAAAGTGTCAACTGTAAAATAAAACTGACGATTGCCCATGGATTCGTACATGTACATGTATATTATAAAGACCAGAGAAGTCTGTTGAGACATTGTACAGTAATAAGCAGTAATTGTACATGTATTTCATCGAATTTTATCATGTGTAAAGATGCCATGGTGATCATATAATTATAATACTTTCTGATAAATGTTGCTGGTCAAAATGTGACCTAATTATCCCCAAAGAACATATCTTTATGACAAAGTAACTGTTACATGTTAGATGAATTTATTAATCAAGATTTAATTCAAAATGTCAATTAGTCATGAGTTGTAAATGTTTTCAGTGCTTATTACGTTTTCATTGTCTAATGTGTCAACAACATTTACATGTAATCCCAGCAGTTACCTACTCTCAATTTTTCACTTTCCCTGGCTTCTGTTGGCATATATGTATTTGTGACGCCTTGCAAACAGACAGAGTCTTAAAGGGACAATAACACTCTTGCTGGCTTGACAGCTTCAGAAAATAAATAATAGCCTTATTCTAAGCACTAGATGTTTAAGTGTCCTACCTGTTGTGTTAATTATCCATTACATCCTATTTTACTTGCCCAGAGGGTTCGAAAATATTTTTAAATCCAAGTCACATTTGATAAGGTTTACGTTAAGCTTTTCAAATCATTTAGTTGAAATTTTCCAATTTTTTAGAAGGTGTGTTAAGATGGAATTTGTATCATCAATTAATTGGAATATTGTAAAATAGTACTATTTGTTGGCCAGAATAAAGATTGGGACATATTATTCAGTTACAACAAGAGTGGTATTGAGCCTTTAACCAGTAATTATCATTATTAGTCATACGGGACCAGATTATTTCATAACTGGTTTAAATGTGTTGTAATCAACTTTTAGACACTTAGCTGAAGTCGTCTGATAACCAATGAAATTTAATATTTGATATTCTATTCAAAGCAACTGTTTATGATACACTTTTATATTTTTGGTGTTCTTTTCATTGAAGTAAATCAGTACATGTACCATTCTTTAAAAAAATTGTCTGAACACACTGTAAGTCTAATCACCTTGCAATTTTAAAATAACAGATTAAGCATCTTTTGTATAGATTACATGGTCACTTCATTTGGTTATAAGCTGACCTAAAAAATTGGTTTCGAGATAATTGGGTAACGATAGTCATGGGTTTTGACTCCACCTGATTACTATTCCCTCTGATCATGCTGTAACTGCTTTCCCTGTATTTGTGTTATTGATGGATGCCCAGGGAAATATTTAAATTGCGCCATATATTTTTGACATGATTCGTGTTAACAAGACATTCTCCAGAAAATACATTAAAGTATATTATTCTGATAGTTAAAATGTTTTCGGTCCACTGAAAAAAATGAAATTAATACATTTAATCATGATTTAATATGACGATACAAACTGGTACATGTAGTGAGCTCCGCCATTGTATCCAAATATGTGACGTCATAGTGCACAACATATTACGTCATCTAGTCCAGACCTAGTTCACCTACCTTTAAAATGGTGAGATGCTCAAGACAATTTTTCCAACTGCCAATTAACAATTACAAATTTTTATTTTGTCTGTGACTCAAGTTGAAGATGGTTGGAATGGCATCTGGTTTTAAACATTTATTTTCATTTTGTGTAGCCCCAATAGCCAACAACTGGCCATGCAAATCCCGCACATAACATTATTGTCATTATAGAAATGGTCGCTGAACTAAAATTTATTGATTTTATGACAGGTACCAATTTTTGGGACTTGAAAATTTAATAATTTTTTAATTTTTCAAAAAAGAAGTGTTTGATAGAGTATTTATTATGATTAATGATACAAATGCAAAAGGAATATGTTGAAAATTTCATTCAAATTACTTTATTCTGAGCCAAGTTATCACTGTTTGTAGTTTTGACAAGATGTGCGAATTGATTGTTTATTATCTTAACCACGGTACTGGGATATTCGAGACATAGCCTCGCTTCTACATTTTTAAATTACTTCATTAAATAGCCAAACTGTTCTAATCTACTTTAAAATTGGAGTAATCTGATAACTAGAGAGTTGATTATGGTCTTGTCATGTTAATAAATTTCCAATTAATAATTCATATAACATTAATAGCCTAAAGAAAGACCTGCAGTAGGCAGATTCAGCTCTTGAATAATATTGTATCTTTAAGCAAACAACCTGCTTGGGTAAATATTTCCTTTAATGAAGTTAAACTAACACCGTACCTTACATATAAGTAGGCTAGTGCTTGGATTTTCAATTGTACACATACATGTACATACATGTATATAGTTATTTTGAATGTGATATTATTCAAAGTTAATTACATTATGCAAGAGCTAAATCTGCCAATTGCAGGTCTTTCTTTAGGCTTGAAATGTTATCAAAATTATTAATTAGACATTAATTAACTTATCCAGACCATAATCAACTCTCGATGGCATCTCTGGCCTGCAAGATTTACTGGATTAGAACCCGGTCTGCTGCTTCTGATTAAATCAAAAAATGGATAATCGAGACTATGTTTTTGATCATACATGTACAGACTTTAGTTATGATGGTCGAGGCTAGGCCCAAAATTCAATCGCCAAATAATCATTTCAGGGTGGATCAATTTGACTGAAATTTTCAGCAAATTCCCTTTACATTATCTAATTTTTAACTATTATAGTGAGAACTACCAGCTCTTTATCTTATCTCCCATAATGTATCTTTAATGAAAGTGATAATGTTTCCATAACATAAAAAACATATGTTTTGTTCATGGTATTTAAAATCTGCTTGCACAGAGGGTGATATCGCAGACAAGTTTTCTTGTATGTTTTTTATCTTAGAGTCACACGCATGGGTCTTTCCTGTGAAAGGAAACTGGAGTAAACCCATGAGGTTTTATAAGATGCCCCTATCTTCAAGCCACATACATGTATGCACACACCAGGGGTCGAAAACACAAGCCTGAGGTAACAGGCCTGCTAGAGGCTAGACACGCAACACTCTAGATCCCAACTCCCCAAAACAGAATGTGTGTACAAATAATAGTGTTAGTCCAGAACCCAGGCCCCAGACTGTTAAAGAATGTGAAATGCAAAGTTAACAGTAATATTAATCTGACTGTTTCCTACAAAATTTAGCCAGTTGGGTGTCAAAATCTATCATTTTATGTAGAAGTTGACTTAAAGACTGTAATTATCATACAGATGGCCTGTAATGTTAATGATTGATTACATGTATATACCCCTGGTCACAAGTTACTATAAATAACCATCATGCAATAAATTCAAGTCGATAATTAGAGTGACACTTTCAATCTTACTACTGTGTCGAATAACAAAAAAACGATCAATAATAAAATGTCAATTGATTATCAGATTAATGATTAATGATCAAATGAAAATTTCCTAGGAACCTTAGTTTATGGAGGAATAATTACAAATAGACAGAAAAAAGATGGGGTAAGCGCCTAACTTTGAAACCATATACATGTACATGTATATGCAATACAACATATTATAGTGGTTACAATCAACTTACAAAGGTAAATAAAATTATAAATGAAATGAAATGGGGTTTAACATCCTACTGTTCTGCTCCTAAACTGGGCTAATGAAGATGGGCATAGGCCATACATTGTTCTTTGAGCGAAATTTTGCCCGGGCAGCGGCACTACAACCTACTCTTATACCGAATTCCAACTGTCAAGGGATCTTCTACGTGCACTTCAATGTGTACACGGGACCTCGGTTTTTCATCCCATCCAAGGCTAGACAGCTGTCCTTGTCAGGCCTTCCGTTCTACATCACTGACAAGGGGAAACCATGCTGGAAAATCTGGATGAACTTTCTCGGCCAATGCAGGGATAGAACACCCGACCTCCAGGCTAGCGAGCCAGCGTCTTACCCACTTAGCCACGTGATCCCAACTTACAAAGGTGGTTAAACTCCCATTTGTCAAGAACATGTAACAGAGCATAGATTATTTTGTCTTTTGTGTCAAATTGTATGTCCAGTACAGAAGTTAAAATTTGGTGAGAGAGCTTTTGCATATGCAGCAGCAAAAGAATGGAACAAATTGCCTCAGGAAGTCCAAAATAGTCCAAACTTTGCTATATTTAAAAGTCTAAAAACACTGTTTTTTACCCAAACGTTTGAACTATAATTTAAATGCTTCACTTTCCATTTGTATATTGTAACTTGACTATTCCTTTGTATCCTTTTGTTTATTTGTATATATATGTATGTTTATTATAATCATATCAACATTGTAAAGCACCACAGAGCAGTCAGACTGACTGAATGTTCAGCGCTATAGGAAACGATTATTATTATTATTAATTTTTAATGCCTTAGTACTTTGAATTTCTGTTAAGTGCCACCAGATGCTTATTTAAAGATTTAAATTAAAACACATACTTATAGAAAAGGGTTACTAATATATTTTAGTTTATTCATCTACATAAATTTTTTGTACTATTTATTTTGATGATTTCCAAAATATATATAACCAATCCTTATAATGTAGATAAATTAAAATTGTTTATTGGTCTAAATTTTGATATTATATTATTGATATTATAAAAAACATTACCTACAGTTTATAATATTCTATTATAAAAAGCCAGATAAAATTACTGTCCACCTAATCATTGTAGTATCATACCATATCAAAACAACTCAAAAACATTTGAACTATTATTTGGTCTGAATATTTTATTTAATGGTAACTCAAACACATGGTATATTTATACATGTATAGCCTTAATATGTTGAATAATAATGCTAGTTGCTGGTAATTAATTTGCTCTTTTTTGATTTTTAGATCCTGCCTATATACAAGTAGCTGGAAGACATAGAAAATTGATTGATTATATGAGAGAACATCGTTGAAATTTGACCCAAATTGAAATACTGGAGACATTAAATTCATTTCAAGAGTGACAAAATGGAGTTTTCTTTTGGATTAGTTGTGTTGAGTTTATTCATTTCTGTTACTTCCTCAGCATCACTTGTATCTGATGTGAAGAGTTTAGCTCATACTGACAATGGAATGCCTTCTGATGTTGAAACTATTGAATTAAGAATGAAAAAAGCCATTCCCAATGTGGTGAGTATTTATGAACACACTCTAGGCATGTGGTCCATTTAGGTATGACATGTTTCATATACATGTACTTCCCAGTACAGTATATTAGATCTAGTTAATTATACTAGATGATATGATGTACAGGTAGGAATTACAGACATCTTACATCTAATGACATACATACATATCATACAGAATAATAACAAGTTTATCATATTATTTAAAAGTAAAAGATATGAATGTAGTTTAAACATAGAAAAGACCTTTTAATTAAATTTATTCATTTAAGGAGCATATATTGTCTTCAATTTTCACTTTGATTTCTTTGTAAGTCATTTTTGGTCTAATAAATATGCAAACTTGAAATGTTGGAAAAAAATCAAAATACTTTTATAACTCGGTTCTTGTTTAATCAATGGTATTAATATCAAATGTGCAGACATTTTGCTATTATATGCAGGCATAGATAAGGAAAATGATTTCGGAAAACACAGTCTGATTTAAACACAGATCCTTTTTTGTTCCACTTTTTCATGTTCAAAATTTGTTTTACATATATTTGTCTTCAATTCTGTTTGATGTGGGTTATTAACCAATAAAATGGTAGTTTTATTCAAGCTTTGGAAGAGGTGTGAACAGAATTCTTACTTACATGTACTGAGAGGTTGCAAACAAAAAATGTGACCTCCTACATAATCTGTTCAGATCTAAATGGGGTGAAGTGAAGGTCATCGCAAGTGTTAAGAAACTAAACAAAGTCTAGATCTTTATTTTTATCAGATTGTAAAAAAAAAGGACAAAGTTTAAAATGTTGTTGTTTATTACAAATTTAACATCCAAAACATCATTCACGATAGCATACACAGGTTGATTTAATTAAGTTATTTACATCATTAGCAATAAAAAAAAATATGGGTAAAAACATAAAAAAGTTCTTGCATATCAAAATGTCACTTTAAAACAGTGTTAAAATTCACTGTTGTGAGATGAAAAGAGGGTCATCTTCTCCCTTCATCATAATAAAATCAAGTTAAAACAGGAAGTCCATCAGTTGATTGATGTTTGGTATCATCAATATGGATAAAAAAAACCACTGTGGGTTGAAAAATAATCTGCTTGCTTTATGTGGAAAAGCCAAGTTCTCGTGTAAAAACGGCATTGCTGGTTAATCGAATTTAGACAACTTTATAAACCTAGCTTTGCTGATAGGCAAAATGTTTTCTTTTTTTTTTCCTGGTTTAGAAGTCTTACTCATTGTCACTCTTATGTTAGTTTTCAAATGTCGTCAGGTTAAATAAAAGAGTGGACTTTTTATTTTCTATTTATAACATAAGAACAGACCCATTTAATGTGAATTCTAAAGATGGAAATTGTTAATTATTTAACGCATTTATATATTAAAGTTTTTTTCATATAAATTTATTTATTCATTTTTTAATGAATTATCAGCTTGACATAGACAGATTTTGTTAGTAATATTATGTATGTAATTAGAATTTATTGTGTTTTTGTGTTTTTCAAATTAAATGGTTTTAGTATTAATTATATATATTTTTTAGTGCATTTCATGTCAATATAACATTGTTATTTAATTTACACAATATTATCACACATAAGATTACCCAGAAAATATGTAATAAATAACTTTATTTGGAATACATGTACAACTGGATCAAAACTAGCGACTGTCTCATTCACAAGGTTTTCTGAAAAAGCTCTGGAATAAAAGGTCATGGAATGTTGAATACTGACATCCAATGCTTTCAACCAGATTTGAAAATGACATACATGTATATATACATGTATATGCTTTGAATCATTTAATTTTCAGTAACTTATTTTACACTGCTATTATTTTATATATATATGTACTCTTCAAAAAAAGTAGGGGATATTCAGAAACAATACAAAACTACGGAAATGCACTGCTGTTTTTATTAGAGGTAACCAGTAAATGTTAATAACAAGCTGATTGCCTACACATGAACATAAACAGTTCATATGGGCGGCTTATCTGACGGCCCAATTTCACTCGCAAAGATATACACTGTCAAAAGTGAAAATGGACGTTTTTGATTTTTGTCTTAATAATCAGTAATTGCTCCACCAATCCTCAGACATTTAGCAATTCGTCGTGGCGTGCTCCTAATCAACCGTCCAATCCTGATTTGGGGCAATCTGACCCACTCCTTTTGCAGTGCCACGGCCAATTCTTGCAGTGTTGTCTGTTGATGTCGATGAACATGTCTCCCGATCAAATTAAACATAACACACTAAAGCAAAGGTACGCTAAACAGTAAATCTTATTCAAGAACCGATAAACCAGCAAGCGGCAGTTTTCATCAACCCTTCCTTGAATCGTGAAATTTGACAATGAACCCCTCCCACGTGTATGGCGCTATTGCGTGTCACACATGCAGCTCAGTGGTTCTGTTGAGGCAATAAGTTCTCTGTGAACATACTCTCAAAGCATGTCACATGTCCATGGCTATTTAATATATCACAACCTGCATAGGTATTTGCATTTCAAAATCCCCTACATGTACTTTTTTGAAGAGTATATATAGAATTGACTATTTTCTAATTTACATTTAATAAAATAGGCTAATGATCACATACATATAATATAAAATAGTTGATTGATCTTATTTATTTATATGAAATAATATAAAATAGCTGATTGATCTCATTGATTTATGTACATAAATAAATAAAATGGGCTGTCGATCTGTTGCAAAACATGGACGTCATTGAAAGGTCTCATAAGTTGAAAGTTTAAAGGTCTACTCGAGGGTCTCTATCAAATAAATTGAGCTAAGCCACACATCCATTATTTCTGTTGCTAATTTAATCTAAAAATATATCAACAAATTTGGCACAGGTAAAAAAAATCATAATTAAAAACTTGTACATTGATTGGATTAAAAGTTTAGAAGTAGAGATATTAAAAATAAAGATGATTTTGTGATTAAGTCTGATTAATTCAATTAAAACACTGGGCCCTGTTTCACAAAAACTTAAATCTCCTTAAAATCATCTTAAACTAAAATTTCATCCTAGCTTAAGATAGACGTGTTTCACAAAACGATTTTAAGCATTTTAGATAAAATCCACTAAAATAATATTTTAAGTTAAAATTTTATCTTAACTTAAAATAGTGACGTTTCACAAAACTCGCCTTACTCAAAATCACGACATTAACAAACATTGATTAGAGCTATGTTGTTAGATCTATTGCGACATACATGTATAGATATATTTGGATTAATGATAATATTGCCAATGACCCGACCTGCTGGGTCACCTAATTTTAACATACTATTTTTCACAAGAACAATTCTCATTCAATTCTTTTCATTATAGCATGTGAAATATACATGTAGCTACAATTTAAGCAATTAGATACCCCCCCCCCCCCAAAAAAAAAAAAAACCCCATTCAAATCCCCAGTAAACAAAACACTTTCTTTGTTACTATTTTATGTATTACCATATGATTCAACAAAAAAAAACCCAACCTAAAACAAAATCTGAACTTACTTCATATCTAATGTCAAGGGCACTCTTATCTATAAACAATATCTTTGTGTAGGCCTACAATGGTTTAAAATTGCCAATTTCTTGGTATTAGAAGACACACAGTGGCCACAGACCTATACTACTAGACATGTCACATGCAAAGTATTTACTGATATGGTTTTGGGGTTATGATGATTTGTAAAAAGATAAATCAATTATCTCAAATGTGTTGATTGAAAAAAAATGTTATAGGTCAATTAGAGAAGTTTTAGGAGCCAAAGATATTTTATCTTGGGGAAAAAATCATTTTACTTGAGTAAGATAGATAGGCATTATCCAATAAGGAGTGTGGCACTTTGGTAATTTCAAAGTATTTTTAGCACAGTATAGGATGATATTTCAAATCTAAGCATCATAATATTGGCTATTTGGTGGATTAGTTTCAAAGTTGTTAAATACTTTTAAAATTCGACAACAATTTACAGCCTAGATTAGTCGTTTGAGTCACAAATATCATCTTTGTGACAATTCTCAATAGTTTCTGTTATCCAAAATACCATACAACTACGGAATTCAAGCGATTTAATATAGTTTATCGATACACATTATTTACATTGAAGCCTGCGAGTAAATCAAATGCCAAGGTCACGATACATTTTGAAACGAATAATACGCAATAAACTCATTTATTTCACCTCGCTACAACTGTCTGACCATGTGCAAACATTGTTACAACGTACATGTATGAAACTCTTCCTATTGATATTGTACCTGTCAACAGTTTTCAGTATCGAAGCGTATTTTCTTACACCGTAAGTTCCGCCATCAGAAATGTGCACTGCGTTGGTGCAAGCAATTTTAACTAAAATCTCTTAAAATTGCATTTTAAGTTACAATCGATCGTCGTGAAACGCATACAATTTAAAATTTCATTTTGATTTTAGCTAAAATTTAGTGATTTTACCTTAAGTTTTTGTGAAAAAGTGCCCTGATCCTATTTTGTTTGTGTGATGCAAGGTGTTAGCTATTTAATTGGTCTGTTGACTTGAGTGGTGCTCAGAAATGTGTGTAGAAATTCACAACGATAGAAAACAAAACAAAGCAAAAGTTGTATTTCAGAATTGTGACTTGAAACACCAGCTCTGATTGGTTAATCGACTGACTAACTTAGGATCAACTGACTAACTTCATAGGATCAAGAGTCGCTCCTACACGTACATATACATGTATGATGCAACCCCCTAGTAAACTGATCAGAGAAGTATGTAGTGGAGTTCATCGAAAGTACCAAAAAAAAAGGAATGAATCGTACATGTAGATCTGTATTTTACGCACAAATTTCACTCTCATATATTTAGAATTGTGCTATTTATATTTATTTCACAACTTCATTCACCGATTATACCTTTAATCCAAATGGAAGACAAAACTGATTTCATTCTAGCATTATGGAATCTAGCCAGGAATGTTGTTCTACAGTGGAATATCAGTGCGATTGAACATGCTATGATTTTAGTTAGAGAAAACATTTTTGAATGACGTTTTTGCAAGCTAATGTATAAATTTGCAATATAATGTAGTAGGTAACATCTGTTTGCTTGTTATCTTTATTGCACTGATTATGTTTATATTATGTTATATTTATTTTAATAATGCTTTTTATTTCTTTCTTTTATAGGATGATGCATATCTGTGTGCTAGCTATGAAATGCCAGATGATGAGGTTTATATTAGTAAGTTGAACAAATAAATCATTGTAAAGATCTACTTCATACCTGTATATACTGTGCCATACGCAGCTACGTCCAATGACGTAATTTTGAGAACTTCTTGATAAAAGCGGCAAGTTTTCCTAATAAGTAAACTGGTGCCACATCAGAATTGTATTGGCGTGCACGGGCATGTTAATGAACCCTTGACAGTTGGAATTTGAAATAAGGGTAGGCTGTCGAAGCAAAATTTCCTTCATAGCACACTGTATTTGGTATGCCAGTCTTCATTAGCATAGTCTGGGCAGAACAGTAGGATGTTAATTAAACCCCATTTTATTTCACTTTATACCTTTGTTTGATTTATATTTTGAAAATGTTTACTAAATTATAAGGCAGTCATTAATTAGCTGTAAAACATGTCACTTCTAGTGTAAAGAGTATGACTAAGTCTTCTACCCAAACTCTACAAATAATATGGTAGTGGTATACATGTACCACTTAATATCTACTGTACTATATCATGGACAGTAAACATTATGACAGCTTTCCCAAGTGAACATTACCAAGTTGTAACAATGTAAACTGATAATTGATGAAATATTTTGTAGTTAAATATGAAGCTATAGCTAATGCTAGTACAGCACATCATATATTATTATATGGTTGTAGTGATGGACCGGCTGTGTCTACACCAACCTGGTTAGTAGTAACTATTATCTCTTTTGTATGCTTTTACCTATTTATAAACAGGTAAACAGCTCAACCAATGTATCTTTGACTTGGACCTAGGTCATTATTACCCTTGCCCTTATTTTACTTTACTTTATTTTAGTTATCTATAAAAAAAACATAAAAAATGAGGGATTTTTTTTATTATAAAGTGGTATTTTTACCCCACCATTAATATATTTTGAATGTATAATTGATATGTTTTAGGGATTGTCCACCACTGTGTAAGGGTAATGAACAGATTATGTTTGCCTGGGCTAAAAATGCACCACCTACTGTTTTACCTAAAGGTAATAAAACAATATTTACCTGTGTGTCAACTACTGAATATAGTCTCTTTAACGGGAAACACAAATTATTAATATTTGCCTGTACTTATTAACATGACTTGTATGTAGTTTGGTTTACTAATATGTTATTATACAAAATCACTTATCAGATATTTTAATAAGGAAATGTTTAAACCTCCATATTGAATTACTGATTGTCTGCTTAATTGCCTTAATGCCAAATGAGTAATCAATCAGAAACCCTGAATTGTGCTGATTAGTCTTGTTCAGATTTGATATCTGGCACTTAGAAATTTATATATTAATGCATGATAATTATGGTTGTGGAATTGACCAAAATATGTTTTCTTAAATTCATATTTTCTATCTTCTTATGGTTTGTGTTTTGTGTTTGTTTTGTATTTCATAATTTATATTTTACTGGTTTATCATTATGTTCCTTTCTTGCTTTGTACTGTAAATGGCAGGTGAGAATGCAGCTCTTCCAATCTTGTCAGGACATTGTCCACTGACGACTGATCTATTATAAACTTCGGAATATGTTAGATCTTGTAGTGTAGAAAATCAGAACCATCAAGACCAATAAAGATATAATTTAAATTATATTATATTAATTGAAAAGATAAGATCAAGATATAATTTTAACTGTTATATGAGAAGTGGTGTCCTCTTTATCAAACAAAAATCCTATTAAATATTAATTTATATGATTTTTAGTTATTTCATTAAAATCAATATCAATATGGCAACATACATGTACATGTAGCTATATTGATGATTGATATAGCAGTAAATTGATATGCTGTTACTACATACAAATCCCATTAAACCTTTTATTGACTGGCATATAGCTTGATTGCTTGGATAGATCATTTATCCTTCAAATGACATACAATATATAAATAAAGCTTAACTTTGAATCATTTAATTCTTGATTATCTAGTTTCCACTGCTTTTATTGTATATAAAGAATAAGCTGTTGTTCTAATTTATATTAAATAAAATAGGTTGTTGATCTCATTGATGTGTTTACATTAAATAAGATAGGTTATTGATTACATTGATTTATTTACATAAAATAAAAAGGAACTTGAAGGAGATCTTACTACCCCTGAATATCATTAGGATGATATGTAACACAATTAAATTCTTATATTTGATAAAATAAATATATTAAAACTATTACTGTTTAATAATAAATTAATACAACTTGACATTATTACGCCAGGATATAAATGCACCCTGGAGATTAAAATGAGGTCACCCTTTTAATTGCTGATTTCAGTTTAAATTTTATCATAAATGTTTGACATAAAATCCAATGAAATCAACATAGATAAATGAATGTGACAGATCACATTGAATGTATTGATTTCTAGTTTTATAGTACATGTATATATATTTTGTTTATCAACATATCAAGAAATCTCCATATATAGCAACACGACAGCTTGTTTAATTTGACATGAAATATCCTATGAAGATATAGTTGTGAATAGTTAGTGTTCCATTAAATTGATTGATATGAAATCTATTAAATAATTTATTGTTATGTTTGTTTAATTTTTATAGATGTTGGATTCCGTGTTGGAGGAAAGGGAGAATCATCTGTGAAGAATATTGTTCTACAGATTCATTATGCACATTCTTCAACTGGTATGATTTCTCAAAACACTTTTCTTAATATTGATTGAAGCACAAATTTGAAATTTCCTCATTTCTGATTTTCGAAAAATGTGGTCATACAATAAATCGTCTTTGTTCTAGTTATATTGCAGTGTACTTTTTTTTTCATTTTCGTACTCAGCCATCTTCCCCACCTCAAATGCGACAGAAATTTTCAAGAAATTCTTCACAAATGACAATCACTTCATTTCATCTGTATACAAGGCTTCTATACTGTTATTAATTTATGAGTAAGATTGCCAGGAACGAATTTGGAGATATCAAATGCCAAGTTGCGTATTCTCAAATGTCAAGTCAATTATTTTCAAATGTCAAGTCAATTATTCTCAAATGTCAAGTCAATTATTCTCAAATGTCAAGTCAATTATTCTCAAATGTCAAGTCAAATAATCTCAAGTGTCAAGTCAAGTAATCTCAAAAGTCAAGGAATTGTATCTTTAAATCCTCTCTGTTATCCAAAACATGTATATACATATTGAAAACATTGAAAATCTATATTATTGATGTTTGCTAATTACTGTTTCAGCACCTGATGAATCAGGAATCAGAATATATTTAACGAGACAAAAGTAAGTATGTCTGCTGTCCACAATTTTTCAAATAGTCATGAGGAGCCCTATTAAAAGAGTCCTCTCAATTCTTTACTTAGTTATACAATTGCCCCAATAATTGGTCTATAGATTTTGCACCTCATTGAAATTCAGAATGGAATATAAAATTTTGTGCAGACTTGTTACCTCTTGTCACTGAAACATTTTAAATGATCTATAAGCCATATAGTGCTTTTTTAGGCATTTTAAAGAGTTGCCTGCAGAGACGTGTGGGTTGACAAAATCAAAAGAAAACAAAAATGGTTGATAACGGTTGAATCCAATGAGATTTCCTGCCAGGGTATAGGCCGTAGGAATGTGTGTGGCTATGTACGCTCCCTTCCAAAAATGTGCCCTCTCTTCCGAAAAAGTGCCCTCTAGTTTTAAAAGAATGGTCATGGAAATGCCTGGGTCAATGTCATCATGAAGAATAATATGTTACATTACTATTTTGATTCACTAGTCATCCCCTGAAAACAACTGGCTCTGGACCTAAAAGTGTCTGAGTTTTTAATGGCACACATTTCTGGAGAAAAAGACGAGAGCTAATATTTTGAGATATTTTTTATTTTATTACTGGATCCAACATCCAATCATTTCCACCAGAGTGCTGACCAGACAGCAGAAAGGACCCCAATGTTAAAAGGGCAAGGGCCCCCAAATTAGTTCTGAAATAATGATGTAGGATTTGATTTGTTATGTTGTGCCAAATAAATCTGTCTATCAGCCATACTAATATACAAATTCCATTTATGTGTGTGACGAACAATGACCAGAATATGTCTGTTTTTCACTGTTGATGCAAGGACCCCATGCAAGCTTAATCCGACCCTGATTTCCACTCATGGCTCCAGATTAGATTTTACAGCCAAATTAATATTTCTATAATATTCAGAATTAATTAATCTGTCTTTGTTTCATTTATTTATCTAAATGAATTTAATTAGGAAAATGAAAACGGGTAATGGGAACGTTTTTAGCTGTCAGCTTACTCAAGGCTGACAATACACTAACCATTTAGAGGACCCAGCATGCATCTGCTTGCCTGTGATAATAAGGATACATATTACCTGGTACCATGTCATTGAAACGTTTTTAAAAGGAGTTATTGCTCCTTTGACTGACATCACTTTACTAATGCTGTTTGGCAAACAAATATTTTAATCAACAAGGGCAGCATTTCTTTCTCCATCTTCATTAGCCAGTTTGCTGCAGGAAAATAGGATGTTTTGGTATTTTTTCATTAATCTAATAAACACTGATGTTTATCACTACCATTATCAATGTTTTTTCTAACTTTTCAGACAAAAGTATGTAGCTGGTATATTTTTAATGATGTCTTATAGATTAGATATACCCCCAAACACACCAGGTATAGTACTTCATGTTCTCTCATTGTATATTGACTATTGACTGAAGAACAATACTTCTCAGTGTGGTTTTCCCTTACCAGTAGTGTAGAACAGAGGGCCTTGCAAGGAACGGTGTCTAATTGTTTGGATGGTATGAAAAACTGATGTCCCCTGTATGTGTTAGCATGCATATAAAAGAACCCTTAACATTTAATGAATAGTAGGTGGGTATGATGCTGTCTTGGGAAAATTCCCCTTATCTATACTAATATTTGTGACTGTTTGTCTGTCTGTCTGTTCGGGGTTGGCGGCTACACTAGGTCTGCCCCGAGTCTGAAATTTGGGGTATAGGGGTAGCTCAGACATGGGAGTAACATAGGCCAGGTGGCGTTAGTCTACCACTTCCGGTTTCGGGGTTATGACCCCCGAGCGAAGCCGGGCATTCTTCTAGCACTACTTATAACACACTGCAAGACATATGCCCATCTTCAACAGAAAGGTAGGACGTTAAACCCTAATTGATTTTAGTTCTAGATAACGAGATTCAACTGTATTTTTAGACACACTTTATCAGTGGACTGTTTTAGATTTCATGTTTATCTTCAGGTCATGGTTTCTTGATGATGTATCATTGATATTGATTTGTGTATAATATTTTATTTCAGTGTTTCATGCAGACATCAGTTGTAAATACTTCGGTGAAACATCCATGCATCCATTCGCCTACAGGACACATGCTCATGATTTAGGTATGTCTAAAACAAGGTTCAGATCTAAGTGTCATCTTTTTATCAACACATACCAATTAAATAAAAAACTTACAAAATTTCTTGAGTTTTGTCCAAAAGGATGTTACATAGTATGAGTGAAACTATGATATAAAATTTGATGTTGAATCCTATATTTGCTCTGTTTACAAGGATACAAAAAGAGAAAGACCCTTTAAGTTATTAGTTTATCCAATGTAAGATGGCAATTTTTATATGTATACATTGTCGTCACCGCTTAGAATCTTACATTTGTCCGTCTATTTACAATTTCTGTTCTCTATCTATCAAAATTCTGAGTCATACAACTATTTTTCACAGTGTAGCTAGCCCCTGACACCAAAACCTTGTAAATATTCTACAGTTCAGCATTTTTGCGATTTTCATTTTAAAATTTTCTGGGACTGTTCCGCTAGTACTTTAGAAGGACCAGCCCCTACCCCCTTCAGAATGCTGCTAGTGGCTGTATATTCAGTGCCTGGCAACACTATGTTTAAAATAGTTGTCATCTTTTTTGTATTATTTTTGAAATATTATTTTTTATGTAGAGATTGTAAGTCATCAGGTCTGGAAATAATGAAGTTAGATATACATCGGTATATCATGCACCAATCAACTAATACCAGATGTTTTTCAACTTTGTGGCGGACATGTACCGGTATTTAAAATATCAATAAAAACACTAAAAAAGACAAATCTGTGCCAAACAGATTGTGCCTGACAAATCCTGAATTCATGCCTGACAATATCTTTGACAGGTGCCCTATTTCCAGGCTTATAAGTTATAGTGAAAATTGAACTAAATTGATGATTTAAAATGATTACAGGTAGAGTTATAACAGGTTATCAGTATAATACTACATATCATTTGATTGGTAAAGGTAATCCACAATGGCCCCAGGTAAATATACTCTATGCCAATATATCAGAATTATATCTATTAAACTTTATTTATATGAGTTTGTGAAAATCAGTTTGAAAGCTCAATACACCTATTTTCAGACTTCAGAAACTCCCATTATACTGTCCACTATACTGGACTTATTATCATGATCGTTTGAAATAGTTAATTTGAGAGTTAAACCTAAATAAATTAAAGGCTCTAGATACTTAAACGCTGTTAATGTAGTAACATGATTTGCCACAGGAAATCAATCTTATCAACAGGTGGTATCAAGTGTTCCAAAATGAATAAATATATTCTGATCTGCGCATACTTTAACAAAAGTTGCATTGATCATTATGATTAAGCAGCTAGTCCTGGTAGACTGAAAGATTGGTCTGGGTGGAGTGTCTTATTACAAATCCACTTCCTAATGATGTGCCAACTCCATCAGACATATTTACTTATTATTTTAAAAAATATTATCTAGATTCATTATAATCAAATAGCATATATCTATTTCCATGTTTGTATCATAATCACTTTATATATCTTGCAGGCTTTTTACCCAACCAACCAAGAAATTGAAATAAAACCTGGTGATTCTTTGGTAAATTATAATATTTTTTAAATATTAATATTAGAGAAAACTTGGGATGTTTATCATACATTTAACAACAAATTAGTAATAGGTTATGATACACAATTGCCATAGAATTGACGATCATTTGTCTTATATACGGCTCCAACTTTGGATAAGAGTCAGAAAAATACTAAACTTATAATCCTCATTAATTTATTCAATGATAAATGAAATTGAGTTTAACGTCCTATTATTGTTCTCCAACTGGGCTAATGAAGATGGGCATACGCCATACAGTGTGCTATGAAGGATATTTTGCCCTGACAGCGGCGTCTATGGTCTACTCTTATATCTTTTACGTGCACTCCAATGTGTACACGGGACCTTGGTTTTTCATCCCATCCAAATGACTAGACACCTGTCCTTGTCAGGCCCTCCATCCTGCACCACTGACAAGGCTAAACCACACCGGAAAATACTGATGGACTTTCTCGACCAACACCGAGATCGAATCTGCGACCTCCAGGCTAACAAGCCAGCATCTTACTCACTTAGCCACCATGGCACCCACATTAATTTATATCCTGTACAATACAGTATTAATTTTTGGATATTATCACTTACGGTAAACAGTGTAAATAAAATACTAATAATGATATAGATGATTTGACAGTCAATGATATTGTTAAATCAACATTAAAGGCACACACTCTAGTCTGTCAAAACATACTGTTTATAATGCTGTGTATATTGTAGATTGCAAGATGTACATTTAATTCAACTGGAAGAGATCGTCGTACATATGCTGGGTATGTACATATTTTAGTTTGGCACAAAAGGCCTGCGGTATTGCATTATTTTTAGATCTTACTTGTGTTAAAACAGAGAGACATCCCACAAAAAGATAGACATCTCACAAAACAGACAGACAATCCACAAAACAGACATCCCACAAAACAGATATCCCTCAAAACAGATTGTCAAACATTGTCCAATGAAATCAACAATTTTATTTTTGACCCAAATCAAAGTGGTATAGCCATTTTGTAAAAGTCCTAAAGATTAATATTAAATTGCCCTCTATTTAATATTTTTGATTTTTATACACCCACATTGAAATGTGGTCGTATATTGTCGTGGACGCTCTAGAGGCTAAAGTTAATATCTGATTAACTTTAAATTTATACACAGTGTTTAAGGTCAGGAGACGAAGAAGCCTATTGATTTCCGATAATTACTGCCAGAGTTATGGCCCTTGACTACTTCAAAAAATCTTGTGGACGCTCTACAGGTCAAAGTTAATATCTGATTGACTTTAAGTTTATACACAGTGTTTAAGGTCATGAGACGAAGACGCCTATTGATTTTCAGCGATTTACGATAATTACTGCCAGAGTTAAGGCCCTTGATCTCTTTGAAAAATCTTGTGGACACTCTAGAGGCCAAAGTTAATATCCGATTGATTTTAAATTTATACACAGTATTTAACTTGTTTAAGGTCATGAGACGAAGAAGTCTTTAACATTTTCAGCGATGTTAATATCCGATTGACTTTAAATTTATACAGTGTTTGAGGTCATGAGACGAAGAATCATATTGATTTTCAACAATTTCCGATAATTACTGCCAAAGTTATGGCCCTTGATCACTGCTGTGGGTGTATGTTTCGTTGCCTGGCAACCTATCTTTATTTTATTTGTAGAGCAACTGGTAAAGATGAAATGTGTAATTTCTACATGATGTTTTACACCGATTCTTCTGTCACGAGAACATTTAGTGAATGTGGTGGATCACACTATCCTAACTTGGTTCAATCATTGCCAGCTGACTCGGACAAACCATTACCACCTAATCCATTACTTGATGAAAAGGCAGGACATCACCACCATCACCCCCATACAACTGTCGTAAAACCTGTAGAGACTCCTACACTACCACCCCAGACAGGTAATCCCATAGCTTCTAAAAGTTCTCTACAAAATCTTGGCAAAGATTACCAAGATTATTCCATGTACGGTAATCTAGGCAATCCTATGGACATTCCTCAGTACAGGAAGCGTTATGGGCAAAATTATTATGATTATGATAATGCTAATCAGTGGAATAACTATGATACAGACAATAATGAATTCGACCCTGACACTGAAAATGGCAGAAGTCGAAACAGGAACAAACAATTTATGGCAATGAATGATCAAATGAAAGGATTTTCACATTTAAAACCTAAACCAAAATCTCAAGAATTTAAAGGCAAAACCATTTTATTGACAACACTAAGCCCAACAACAGTAGCAGACGGTATAGCTGTGAAGGGGGATAACTCTAAAGTATCTGTGTCTACAACAACTAAAGGGCCACGTAAGTTGTTGCAGTATATTGCACAGCTTGTTATTAATTGTTGTGGCTTAGATTATTAACAGTAGTTATTACAATACTTGTATTTGCATGATAGCAATAGCCTACAATTTGCTGTTGTATTTACATTGTAGTGAGTTTAATATTGTAAACTATTACTAGGAGATGAACATGAATGAGTAACTAAATATACGATTCAAATACCAAGGGATATCATTATATTTCAGAAAAATTGTCAAATAATAAGATTTTTAATTCACAAAGCATAAATTATCAAATAATTACCTACGTAATTGGCACACCAGACCCGATTTCTTAATCCAATTTGAAATGAACCGGCCAGAATTGGGTCAAATGAGGTCCCGGTAGGAAATGGGTTAATAGCTTCCATTCCCTTCAATATTTCCAGACTTCAACAAAATAATTCTTGGTAATTTGTTATGGAGGATGTTGTATTCTAATGTATGTGATTACCACAAAAATATTTAATTCATGTACCGACTTGTTGCATTTCTTCATAACATAATTTGTTGTATTTTTTCTATTTTGTTTATTCATTCTTCGATGATAGATAAATAGCACAATAACCATGTGACAACCATAATGGAAATTGCTTTAAAATCAAATTCCGTACGACTATTTTTAAAAATAAGCCTCTGTCAGGGTTTGTTTAAAATAAAATATAATGGTAAACGCTATTAAAACTGGTTTATTTACCTAATTTTCTGTGAAGAAAATATATTATTAATGACAGTTTCTCGGTGTATTCCATATTCTATTGGGATTATATTCAATGAAGATTTAAATTTTACTACTTGAAACAACTGGTCAGTGAATCCATCAATATATCATCCAATTATTATTTTAATATCTACCGGTACCTAGAATTCATACGAAGCGTCAAAGACATGCGATTAGCAAGCCATGCCAAGATCGCCTATTTTCGCCACTTGGCATATTTTCACGAAGATAGCTTACTGAACCTGTTATGAATAGTCAGCAGGCTTGTTTTGTTTTTTATACGCCCACATTTTCATGTGGACGTATATTGTCATCGCCTCTGTCCATCCGCCTGTCCGCAATTTGTTTGTGGACACTCAACATGGTCACAATTCTTATCCGATTTTTGACGAAACTTGAAATATAGGTTTATCTCAGAAAGATCTTGGTTCCTTTTGATATTGGCATGTATTGGATTAAAACTTTATGGATTATGTTTTTAGCTTGTGGACACTCTAGAGATCACAATTTTCATCTGATTTTTTAGTTTGTGGTCCAATATAGGTCACAATTATTATCCAATTTCAAAAACTGTTCGAATATATATCACCGTAATGACGGTTGAGTTTGAATTTCGTGAAAATCGGACCAAAACAGTCAGACAAAATGGTCTCCCCTCGTACACAAAGGTAACAATTCTGATCCGATATTGATGAAACTTGAAATACATGTTTATAACCCAAATATCTTGGTTCCTTTCGATATTCGCGCATATCGGATCGTAAATTCCTGAATTATGGCCCTTGATTGTATGTGGTTCCTCTAGAGGTAACAATTTTTATCCAGTTTAAAAAATAAACGTTTGAATATATCACCGTTACACCCTAATTATGGTTGAGCTTGAATTTCGTGAAAATTGGACCAAACCTGCCGAACAAAATGGCCGCACCCCGTACGCAAATAGTGTAATTATATGGTATAATCAAGGTTGTGGACCCTCTAGAGGCCACAATTTTGAACCAATTTTGATGAAACTTTAAATTTATGTTTATATCACAAATATCTTGGTATCTTTTGATAATCTCGCATATCCAAACGTAACCTCCTAGTTTATGGACCCTGATTGTTCGAAAAATCACATTTTTAGCTTGTGGACCCGCTAGAAGTCACAATTTGTATTCAATTTTAAAAAATGTTTACATATCAATGAATGGTTGCTCCTTATACGCAGAACAAGGACAGCTGTCTAGTCCTTCGGATGACACGGAAAACCGAGGTCCCGTGTATACATTAGAATGCACGTAAAAGATCCTTTGGCAGTTGGAATTCGATATAAGAGTAGGCGATAGTGCCGCTGCCCGCGCAAAATTTCCCTCATAGCACACTGTATGGCGTATGCCCGTCTTCATTAGCCCAGTATAGGAGCAGAACAGTAGGACGTTAAACCACATTTCATTTCATTTCTTATACGCAGATAGTGCAAAAGTATGTAATACCAAGGTTGTGGACCCTCTAGAAGTCACAATTTTTATCCAATTTTGATGAGACTTAGAATGTATGATTATAATCCAAAGATCTTGGTTCCTGTCGATATTCGTGCATATCAGACTGTAACTTCCGGGATTATGGCCCCTGATTGTTTGAAAAATCACATTTTTAGCGTGTGGACCCTCTAGAAGTCACAATTTTTATTAGATTTTGATGAAACTTAAAATGTATCTTTATATCTTTATATCCCAGTCCTTTTCAATATTTGCGCATTTCAGACCGTAACTTCCTGGATTATGTCCCCTGATTGGACAGAAAATCGCTTCTTGTTTTTAGCTTGTTCTCTATCCATCTCTTGCAAAATGTGGGTGTATCTTGCCTGGCAGCCGCTGGTTTACCAGATTATCAAAACTATCGTTAAATGTGCTAATTACTTGGATTATATGGCCAATTCTCACTATGGCATGACTGTTGTTGTAGCCGACAAGCCAGTTGATTGACTACTTAACTAACAAGTAATAATTAACCCGTTGTAATTTAGCTGAAATTAGATTTATTTATGATACCATAGTGGCCGATTCATTGATTTACCAATCCGCTAATTAAAACATCAATCGGCTAAAGTCGACAAAAAACAGGCGATTAGGAACAGTGCACCAGACTCAAAAAAACAGAATGAATTAAACATACATTATGCAAGAGCTAAATCTGTCTATTGCAGGTCTTTCTTTAGGCCTGAAATGTTATCTAAATTATTAATTAGACATTAATTAACTTATCCAGACCATAATCAACTCTAGATGGCATCGCTAGCATGCGATCTTAAGTGGATTGTGAGCCGATTTACTTCATAACTTTCCTTCTCGATTAAATAGATAATCGAGACTCGGATCATAGTGAAATTTTCAGCAAATTGCCTTTACGTTATCTAGTTTTTAACTATTATAGTGAGAACTGCCAACTCGTTATCGAATCTCCCATAATGTATCTTTAAGTAATGACTAGCTTTCACAAGGATAAATTTTTAAAAGCTGAAATTCAACCATACTCTACAATCATGACTTCACAAAATTGTTTATGTCGCATTTTGTACTACAATGAATCTATATTTAGAAACTCGTTTATCGCCTATTGTTACATATATTACATTAGATGCATGCATTTATTAGACACAAAGGTCAGTTTGCCATAGATACTTTTGAAAAAATATTTTAAATACTGTGTATAAGAAATGCTCTTGCACCTAGACACACTGGCTTGTCTACAAACATAGTTAGTATACCTAATATGACCAATCCCCTTTTTATACGCCCACATTTTCATGTGGACGTAATATGCCGTTGCCCCTGTCCGTCCGGATGTCCATCCACAATTTGTTTGTGGACAATCTGCAGGTCACAATTTTTATCCAATTTTGACGAAACTTAAAATATAGGTCCATCTCCCAAAGATCTTGGTTCCTATCGATATTGGTATGTATCAGACCATAACATCTTGGATTATGGCCCCTGATTGTACCAAAAATCACTTTTTAGCTTATGGACACTCTAGAGGTCACAATTTTTACCTGATTTTGAGGAAACTTGAAATGCATGCTTATAACCCAAATATCTTGGTTCCTTTCGATATTCGCGCATATTGGATCCTGGATTATGGCCCTTGATTGTACGAAAATCGCGTTTTTAGCATGTGGTCCCTCTAGAGGTAACAATTTTTATCCAGTTTAAAAAAAAACATTTGAATACATCACCGTTACACCCTAATGATGGTTGAGCTTGAATTTCGTGAAAATCAGACCAACACTGCGGGACAAAATGGCTGCCCCTCGTACGCAAATAGTGTAAACATCTGGTATATCAAGGTTGTGGACCCTCTACAAGTCACAATTTTGATCCGATGTTGATGAAACTTGAAATACATGTTTATAACCCAAAGATCTTTGGTTTCTTTTGATATTCGTGCATATTGGATCGTATCTTCCTGAATTATGTTCCTTGATTGTATGATAAATCTCATTTTTAGCTTGTGGTCCCTGCAGAGGACAAAAAAACGTGTGAATATACCACCGATACACAAATGATGGTTGAGTTCGAATTTTGTGAAAATCGGACCAAAACTGTCCCCCGTACGTAAATAGTGTAAAAATATGGTATATCTTGGTTGTGGACCCTCTAGAGACCACAATTTTTATCCGATTTTGATGAAACTTTAAATTTATGTTTATATCACAAAGATCTTTGTTCCTTTTGATAATCGCACATATCTGAACGTAACTTCCTGGATTAGGGCCTCTGATTGTTTGGAAAATTACATTTTTAGCTTGTGGATTCTCTAGAGGTTACAATTTTTTATCCGATTTTAAAAAACGTTTGAACATATCACCATTCCACCATAATGAAGGTTGAATTCAAATTTTGGGAAAATCGAAATGGAACTGTCTGACAAAATAGCCACTCTTTGTACGCAAATTGTGTAAAAGTATGTAATACAAAGGTTGTGGACCCTCTAGAGGTCACAATTTTTATCCGATTTTAATGAAACTTAAAATATATCTTTATTTCCCAAAGATATCAGTCCCTTTTCATATTTGCGCATTTCAGGCCATAACTTTCTGGATTATGGCCTCTGGTTGTACGAAAAATCACTTTTGTTTTTAGCTTGTTCTCTATCCATCTCTTGCAAAATGTGGCGTATCATGCCTGGCAAATGCTGGTATAGTGTAGCAACTGGTTGTTATAGATAAAGCTATTCACATGTACACGCCTACCTTCTGCATGTGCAAGCCTAATTAAAACTTCTGCCCATCGTGGACGAAACATCTTATAGGCTGTCCTTTTCAAAACTGGATTCCATTCTAACGTATACAGTAAAGTCTTAAATCTTAAAAGCATGCAATCAGATGTATTATTGATTCAAGTCAACCTGGAATTCCAAACCCTATAAGTACCAGTAGATCATGTGTATGACAATATACAGCTGAGCAATGGTATAAATTATAATTTACAGTAACAATCTATGTACATTGTGTTTTGATACAAAATGATTACTGATATTTAAACAGATGTCAGCTTGTTCTTTTGGATATATTAGTAAAATATCACAATATATTTTCATATTACCATGTAATTGGTGAAAGATCATATCAATAAAAAATTGTACTCTAGCTCTACAAGACAAGACACATGCTTTTGACTTAGACTTATTTGGTGGGTAAAACAATTTTTGTCCGTAGAGGTTGTAGAAAGAAGATGTAATAAAAGAGATGTTGTCATGAATTGAAAAATAATGGATGTTGTGTTATTGTTTATTTTTAATTTTTGGCGGTTTTCTTTGTTTAAAATTTGCATTAATTTTTGTTGTACCCCTTCTGATTTTATAGATATGTGCATGTTTAAAGCCTAATTCTATTTAAAAAGTTATTAATCATTATGCCAGAAATTTCTTTGAAAATCTTACTACTATTATCAGTTGAAAATGCAAGAATAATTTAAAAAGACATTTTTATGGCATGCACCCATCAAAGAAATTATGACACCTATATAAACATGAAATAACAATTTTATTCACAATGTGTGAATGTTTTTACTGTAAACATTTCTTATGTAAGTTTAAAATGTATTCTTCCATGCTTTTTCTGTAAATATATTTATTAGTGGTTAGTGGAAGAAAGAGATTTGATATAGTTTGATTTCCATATAGGTATAATTGTTTATTGTCATTCAATTTTAGGACAAAGCAAGGAAACAGATCTGATATTTGAAAGTCAATGGCCTAACGAGAATGTAGAAATTGGTCAAGTGAGTGGTGTAGCTACTGATGATGATGGTTTGGTTTATGTATTTCACCGAGGTTCTAGACAGTGGGATCAATAGTAAGTATATAAACTGTGATTGATATTGTAAACTTACAGGCTAATTATTTGACGCTGCTTTGATTTCTTGTTTTCTGCTATTTATACTAAAGGTAGGACTAACAACATCTTTAAAAAGTTGACTGATTTTTCAGCTAGCTCGTGATCAGATGCTTGGGCAAGAATGAATTTAAATAATCACAGTGCCTAAAATTAAGACTTCAAAGAGAAGAGAGAATCTATAAACCAGTAATATGAAGATACACATTTTAATTCAATTGTGTGAATTTTTACTTTTTTACACCAACGTTGAAATGTTGTATATTGTTGTCTGTTCATCGGTGCAGCTCTAGAGGCTTGAGTAAATATCCGATTAACTATAAATTTATACACAGTGTTTAAGGCCATGAGAAAAAGAAAAGTGTTGATTTTCAACGATTTCCAAAAATTACTGCCAGATTTATGGCCCTTGATCACTTTGAAAAATTTTGTGAACGATCTAGAGGCTAAAGTTAATATCTGAATAAATTTGTACCCCGTTTTTAAGGAGATAAGATGATGAATCTTATGGATTTCCAATGGTTTCCGATAAATATTGCCCGAGTTTTGGCCCTTGTTTACTTTGAAAAATCTTGTGGACACTCTACAGGCCAAAGTTATCATTCGATAAGTTGAACAGCTAAAACCATGATATTGAATTTTTGTATACTAAATGTTAGCATCAGGAAGAACTAAAAGCCAATCAAATTCTAATGATTTTCTGGTAATTACTTAATAGGTATTATTCTTTATCAGATTTTAGTGTGTAGTAAGTGTTTTGATTACTGACAAAAAAAAAATATGTGACATCCCTTGTTGTCTTCCTGGACAACTTAATTAATATTGCAATAAAACATGTAAAATGAAGCCTGAACTCTTTGAACCCGACTGGCCGGTTTTCTAGCCAAGATAATAATGTCTTTATCCCAATTGGCATGGCGCTTTAAGAATTCCACTCTGAACATGTGCTGTGAGTACTGAAAGCTTTCCCTGCTTCCCTTGGTGATACACTGGTATGACTCACTTTGAATTCCATCAAGTCTAGACCAATCAGAACATGTGTTACAATATGTTGTCTGCAGTGAGGGCTTTCCTCTCTTCACTCGCAGACACAACAGAAATAATCCTGAAAATATTGTTTTACGGTCATGAATGGCAGGCGGGGCGGCAGTTTGCAGATAGCTTTAAAACCTTTAATTCATCCCTAATCTGTTTTTCGATCCCTGCATTGGCCGAGAAAGTTCATCCAAATTTTCCGGCATGGTTCCCCTTGTCAGTGATGCAGAAGGTAGGGCCTGACAAGGACAGCTGTCTAGTCGTTCAGATGGGATGAAAAACCGAGGTCCTGTGTACACATCGGCAAGCATGTAAAAGATCACGTGACAGTTGGAATTCGATATAAGAGTAGGCTGTAGTGCCGCTGACCGGGCAAAATTTCCTTCATAGCACACTGTATGGCGTATGCCGGTCTTCATTAGCCCAGTTTGGAGCAGAACAATAGGACGTCAAACCCCATTTCATTTCCAAATCTCTTTGGTAGAAATTAATAAAACAAAATAAAATCTTAATGAATTTCAGAATGAAACTATATCTATACCATATACCATATTCTTTACAGTTCCTTTGATATTTATAATCAATTTCAACAAAAGAATGATCCTATTAAAGAAGAAGCTATTATAGTATTTAGTAAAGATGGTAAAGTTCTTAGATCATTTGGCAGCAAACAGTAAGTAGTATAAACATACACTATAAGCTCATTCACACAACACAACTGGAATGGTTCTCAGTTACAGCTGGTACCAATCTGCAAAATTTTCAGTAGTGTAAACGAATTGAACTGTATTCAGCCTGAACAAGAACTGGTCCAGTTATTTAAGCACATATGAACATGTGTTGACCTTACCCTAAGTGACATGTAATTCATTTCCATTTTTGCATGTATAAACACTTATATATACCAATTTTGTCATCCATTATCTATGTTATACTTATAGCACAGCTTTCATGAGTTAACTCATGAAGCGTGCTATAAATGACTTGTAACATTGACACCTGCTCAACATGCTTGTTGTTATTGCACAGAAAACCCACCCCACTTCACTATATGATTTCTATTAAAACTAGTGTAAACCAGCAAAAGAGGGCAATAAGATTGAACATGTTATATTTATAGCACGGCTTTCATGAGTTAACAGTTTTAACCAGAGGCCGAAGGCCGTGGGGTTAAACCTGTTAACGAATGAAGTGTGCTATAAATGACTTGTAACATTGACAACTGCTCAACATGCTTATTGTTATTGCACAGAAAACCCACCCCACTTCTCTATATGATTTCTACTAAAACTAGTGTAAACCAGCAAAAGTGTGCAATAACATTGAACATGTCTAGTTATTGCACGGTTAAGCTCCACCCAATCTACTAGAGGGAAAACAATCTGCTTATTCAACGAAAAGAACAAAGGAAGATTTCTCATACATGTTACAAGTCTAGTTATTGCACGGTTAAGCTCCACCCAATCTACTAGAGGGAAAACAATCTGCTTATTCAAAGAAAAGAACAAAGGAAGATTTCCCATCCATGTTACAAATTCCATTTAATGAACATTCTAGTGCTAGGAAAATACTGATAAATTAATTTTTTTTCAGGTTTTTCATGCCTCATGGTCTGGCTGTTGATAAACAGAAAAATATATGGGTAACAGATGTGGGTTTACATCAGGTATGATTTATATTTTCTGTCTGAAACTATGGCTACCATATTATTTCACTTACCCGTTCACTTCGGAATACTGTTATGACTGTACTAAGTTCACAGCGCATGGCATGTTCGATATCATTCTTGAGTAGCAAATATGTAAGCTTAAGTACTTAGTAGCAGAAAAACTACAAGAGATGGACCTGTTATGTTAGAGATATTATTGTTTTGACTTTTCATATTTTTATTAGCTGTTTTTCTCCATAAGGCTACACAAAATAAATGTCTTGTTTCTCGGGCAACTGACAGCTGAAACTGTAGGGGGGGAGGGCGGTTTATTTTTTTTTTTACCTCATTTCTGGCTAGAGGATGGTGCAAAATAAAATTTGCCTATTGTTGAAAATTGTTGGGGCGGGAGGGCGGCCTTGTATTTTTTTTTTTTAATGAGAAAGTCATTACTTGTCTACGGTTTTGCTTTCAGTTATATATTGTACATACTTAGAACATAAACCCAAAAATCAAGTCAACTCAAACACTGAACACTGACTGAAAGGAAAATAATTTTCCATATTTAATTCACGTAATGTAGCTTACTAACGGTAATGGTGACAAACATAATTGAAATTGGTTTAAAATAAAATTCCGTACGACTATTAATAACCGTCCATAATAACGACAATATTTTAAAGAGTAAGCCTCTGTCAGCATGTGTATCAAAAATAATCATCACGGTAAACGACACTTCGATCTAAATCTAGTATCGCTGGTTTATAATGATTGACCTAATTCCAGCCAATGCATGTCACGTGTCATCGGGATTCGGGAATAAATGTGTTTCTCAGGATATTCGGTGTTCTATCTGGGGTTTATATCGAATGACTATTTAAATTTAACTAACAACTCGTCAGTAACACCATCAAATGTGTAATCCAATTATTATTTTCCGGATTATCAAAACTACCGTTAAATGTGCTAATGACCCAGATTCTGACTAAGGTATGGTGACTATCATCGTATCGTATTCGTAGCCACAAGTTATAATAATTAACCTGTTCTACGATTCATTGTTTTATACGTAGGATTTTTTCAAACATGGACCGACTGAAGCCGGCAATAATGAGCCGATTAAGATCGAATGATTGAAATACATTGCATTGTTGTCAATGACTTTCGGTGTTTAACACGAATCAAATTCTAGTTCACAAGGGGAGGTAATTAAAATCACGTGATACAAAAATGGAGGTTCTTTCGATATCAATAAAAAAGACCCGTACATCTGAATCAGTTTAATACATTTGAATGGATATTCACGTATGGGGCATGTAGATACATGCGGCATATTCTTTTTATGACTTGCTTATCGATGTTCGGGCGGGCGTTACATATTTTTTATTTTTCATCAAGACTAATAAATAGGCTGCACGCGCAACCAATTTTGCGTGCGGGCGGTGCCCGAGAAACAACTTATTTTATTTGTGTTGCCTAAATTGGAATGAATAGTGATCTTATTCATTAAAAAGCTTTTCATGTATTTCCAACTTCAAACAAATGAAACTGTTAAAGATACATTATGGGAGATTTTAATAGAGAGTTGGCCATTCTTGCTATAACAGTTCAAAAATAGATGATGAAAGAAGAATAAATTGAAAATTTCAGTCAAATTACTTTATTCTGAACAAAGTTATCACCATTGTAATTTTTGACTAGAAGTAGGAGTCAACTGTACATGTCTCTTCACCGTCTACGAGAATGGCGGATCGTTTGATTGACAGGCGTTAACTCCACCCACATAATCTTGATTATCAAGTAACGTTTTCAATGGCTGTGGTACCGTTAGCCTATACGGTTTGAGACAGGGTTGCAATTCAATTCGTATCACATTTATTTTTACTACAAATTAAAAATAAGACTTTTAATATATAGATAAGCGAAAGTTTGAAAGGAATGGACCAAATCAATGAGGCATAATATTAGCCAACTTCTTGTTAGCCAGCGTGTACTCTTGTACTGTAACTGGTAGGCCTACGTAACTCCCGAAGCAGACAAATACTATAGGAAACAGCTTGATCCAATGGGGCTGCAATTCAACTGGGGTGATGTTAGCTGCGATGTTTATCAATTTCCATAATTTTTCTGTAAACGCAAGTGACAGAAGAGCGTATAATACCGACATTCAAACTCTCATTTTAAAGTTACAATTTCATATTTTCTAAGAAAGTCAAAACATAATTATTTCTATTTCTTTTGCTCCGTAGGTTGTCAACTCACTATTATACGATCATAGGTGTCATTCTCACACTCAAAACTCATTTACACCAGAAATAATAACACAATTACCTCCCTTGTTTTCTATTCTCCTCTATGGAGTAGCTATCTTCAAACGTTTGAATTTGAAGATGAAAATGATATCTTTGCCAATTTCTCAACTGGCAATAGTGAATTATAGGATTAATAGGATTATTCTTTAACAGAGTAGGACTGTTTATAGATACCATCTATTTTAGGGCTTTATTTTAATACATTTTAAAAATATAACTTAAAAATATGAAATTGTAACTTTAAGCACAACTAAACATAATATCAAGGCCGTATATATCGAACTTTCAATCAAATTGACTGACATGCGGCCTCGCTTCGTACACTCTATCATTTAGCCTCGATCTAGAATTTCCGGGAGTATGACGTCAACGTAACGGTTAATCTCCGCTTACGACGCCATTTAAAAATTTAATCAATCAATGAAATCCTGTTTAAATCCAAGTTGAATCCAAGCCTTCTGTGGGTCTACAGAGTTGATTTGTGCTTGTTGTGTAAATAAAGATCTAATTAATAATTTCTATGACATCTGAACCCTAAATAAAGACTTGCAATAATCATATTTAGCTTTTGCATAATGTATGTTTAAATAATCTACATAAATACATTTTTATTTGGATGGACCAGAAAACAGAGATATTACATGTGAAAGATTGCTTGTTAAACCTAATCCTATCCTCTTTATATTGTGCTCTTTAATTAAAGAGATACTCTGTATAAGTAATGTTTATATTTGATTAACCTCAGTTAGAGGTCCCTTTAAGGTGATTGAATTGGTGGTATGTATATCTACATTTTATTGATACAGGTATTAAGATTTCCACCAGGTAAAGATGCACCTGATTTAGTTTTAGGAGAAAAATTTGTACCAAAAACTGATGAAAAACATTTCTGTAAACCAACTGATATAGCTGTCCTCTCTAATGGAGATTTCTATGTTTCTGATGGGTAAGTTTTCCATAATATACTCTTCAAAAAAGTAGGGGATATTGAAATGCAAATACCTATGCAGGTTGTGATATGCTTTGAGAGTATGTTCACAGATGAAGAACTTATCGCCCCAACAGAACCACTGAGCTGCACGCAAAAGTGCCATACACGTGGACGGGTTCATTGTCAAATTTGACACTTCAAGGAAGGGTTGATGAAAACTGCCTCGTGCTGGTTTATCCTACCCATGTTTGCTTTCCTATCGGTTCTTGAATAAGATTTACTGTTTAGCGTATCTTTGCTTTAGTGTGTTACGTTTAATTTGATCGGGAGGCGTGTTCGTCAACGTCAACCGACAACACTGCAAGAATTGGCTGTGGCACTGCAAGAGGAGTGGGTCAGATTGCCCCAAATCGTGATTGGACAGTTGATTAGGAGCATGCCACCACGAATTGCTGAATGTCTGAGGATTGGTGGAGCAATTACTCATTATTAAGACAAAAATCAAAAACGTCCATTTTCACTTTTGATGGTGTATCTCTTTGAGGCTGTCAGATAAGCCACCCATATGAACTGTTTATGTTCATGTGTAGGCAATTGGCCTGTTATTAACATACACTGGTTACCTCTAATAAAAACAGCAGTGCATTTCCGCAGTTTTGTATTGTTTCTGAATATCCCCTACTTTTTTTAAAGAGTATATTTGAATTTAAAATTGGCGAACACTTTTGATTTAAATATTACAATAAGATTGCATGAAATCTTGAAAATGTTTTTTCATAAATCATTGCAAGAGATTAAGATCCTTAAGCTTATTCAGAAAATACATAAAAATTTTGTAATCAGTTGTAAATTAAGATCTCAACTTGCAAGTGGTCATTCTTCAAATCAATTTACTTTTTTTAAATTAACAAAATTAAGAGCTGAAAAGGCTTCTTTGGGAAGACTTTAGACAATTAAAACCAAAAACAGTAGGATAGGGAGCATCTTATCCTTAATGTTCATAGATAGGAATGTGTTAATGTAATGTTAAGACATTCAGACAATTGGAAGACATTAAATAAAGCAGCATAAAATCAATAGAAAGTAATACTGGTATGGACCTTTAGAAAGCTGTAACTTCTGATAGGATTCATAGATTTTATTTGATTTTGGATAAATGTGCTTTTAGTTTGTATGTCCTGAAAATCTACATTTACTGTTTTAATATATTGGAATAATAATATATTATCATCATTTATAAAGAATGTTAATACTGAAGAATAGTTTCTTAGTTGTTATGTATTCACTGAATATTTACAGGTCAGGGTTTTGAAACTATATTCCCTTGAGTAATCCTGTAACCTTGGTACTGGGGTATTGTTGTTTATGATTTATTTTGTATTCTATAGATACTGTAATGGAAGAATTATGAAATTTTCTGCAAATGGAACATTTATTAAACAATTTGGTCATTTGGATGTCTTACAAAGTAGTAAGTTATCAATATCTGGTATGACATTTCGTCTTGCCTCAATTACAGATGATAATATTTAAAGAACTTTTTGATGTATTACTATTAGTTTTTTCTAGTCTGGATTTAGTATGATTATATTTGGTATTTGACCAATATTTTGCCACATTTTCGTTAAGAATTACTTTGAAATATTATATGTATTTATCTGCAGGTTAATTACTAACATTGACAATGATTGTTATTTTCATTAGCTGAAAATTCACCAGGAGCATTTGATATACCTCACAGTTTAACTCTAGCAGAAAATGAAGGTTTAGTCTGTGTAGCTGATAGAGAAAATGGTAGAATTCAGTGTTTTGATCTGGAAGGAAATTTCAGACATCAAATCAAACATAAAGAATTTGGTGATCGTCTGTTTGCCCTGGAATATTCTCCTATACATGGTAAGTAATTAAAACTCTTTACTATTAAAATGGATTTGTCTCTATGTGCTCTTTGGAAAACAATACCTCTGCATCTATTGGAGGGAGAATGTGGGGACATCAGCCTTAATTTAACTTTGAGGTATTTGATTAAAATTTGGTATAGCAGATTTACAGATGAATTAATGCACAAGAATGCATTGTAAATCTGTTGATCAAGTTTTTACTGAATTATGTTTTTATTTATACAAAGTCAATGAAAAGTCTATTTTCCAGAACTTTTTGGGTTAATCTTTGAGGTAATTGATTGAAAGTCAGTATGTCATTTGACAGAGTTTCATAATAATTCAATAAAATTTCAGTTTTACAGAATTTGTTCAATCCATATGTATATAGATTATATACTCTCAGACATGTTTGGCAGTATCAGCCTCTATCAAGCAAGTGCCACCTGGGGACATGTATTGTTTCAGCAATACTCTCAGAATGCTTGTTAATGTTAGATTTGAAACTTGCAATTTCATGGAACAGCCATATGAAGCGGGAAATTACCTCAGAAACGAGTGAGGTGATTGCCTAGGAAAAAGTTCTTATAGGAGGGGAGGGGACCTCACTCACTCTCAAAGGAAAACATTTCTCAAGATTTTTAACACTCAGTGGACTGACTTTCCTTGGCACTCTTAATTCCATGAATTTTGCTGGTAATTTTCATCAACATTTCAAATCTGTCTTATCATTTACAGTAATAAAAATGCATATTATAAATCAATTTGGTCATGAATGATTTGTTTTGCTGTATAAAGGATATTTATTATGTATATTTAAAGCAGTATTATGGAAGATTAGATAAATGGCTGAGAGTACTCGCTATAATAGTTAAAAAATTGATAATTATGCTGAGAATTTCAGTAAAATTATTCCCCTTGAGCCTAGATATTAGCGATACAATTATGGCCAACCTTGATCACCATTACTGCCATTGTTACGATAATAAACAAAGTCTTGATTATTCAATTTTACGGTTAATCATCAAACGCTGTCAAACTGCAGACCGGATTCAAATCTGTTAAAAATCAGACCCATCAGATGGCATCGAGAGTTGATTATGGTCTTGTTTTGTTAATAAATGTCTAATTAATAGTACATATATACTCTTCAAAAAAAGTAGGGGATATTGAAATGCAAATACCTATGTAGGTTGTCATATAATAAATAGTCAGGGACACTTGACATGCTTTGAGAATATGCTCACAGATGAAGAACTTATCGCCCCAACAGAACCACTTAGCTGCACATGCGACACGCAATAGCACCATACACATGGGAGGGGTTCATTGTCAAATTTGACACTTCAAGGAAGGGTTGATGAAAACTGCCGCTTGCTGGTTTATCCTATCCATGTTTACTTTCCTATCAGTTCTTGCATAAGATTTACTGTTTAGTGTATCTTTGCTTTAGTAGGTTACGTTTAATTTGATCGGGAGACGTGTTCAGTGACGTCAACATCAACCGACAACACTGCAAGAATTGGCCGTGGCACTGCAAGAGGAGTGGGTCAGATTGCCCCAAATCGTGATTGGACGGTTGATTAGGAGGATGCCTCGACGAATTGCTGAATTTCTGAGGATTGGTGGAGCAATTACTCATTAAGACAAAAAACAAAAACGTCCATTTTCACTTTGACGGTGTATCTCTTTGCGAGATAAGCCGCCCATATGAACTGTTTATGTTCATGTGTAGGCAATTGGCCTGTTATTAACATACAGTTTTGTATTGTTTCTGAATATCCCCTACTTTTTTTGAAGAGTATATAACATTTAAAGCTTAAAGAAAGACCTGCAGATGCCAGATTTAGATGTTTAATTTATGATTTTGTTTCACAATTTAGATGGCATATTGTTTGCTATCAATGGTCCAGCAATTGATACATCACATACTTATCCTGTACAAGGCTTCACACTGAATTTACAAACCGGTGATCTTCTCCAAATATGGAACAGACCTAAGGTAATTGTAATTATTATGCTGTACAGTTAGTAGGTATATTGTACTATTTACACTTTTTTATACGACCACATTTTCAATTTCTCACATTTTCATCTTGACGTATTATGCCTTCGCTGCACTCCATCCGGATTTCCGTCCGTACACAATTTGTCTGTGGGCAGTCTACAGGTCACAATTTTTATCCAATTTAACGAATTTTCGGTTCCTTTCGATATTGGCATGTATCGGACCGTGACTTCATTTCATGGATTATGGCCCCTGATTGTACGAAAAAATCACTTTTTTAGCTTGTGAACACTATAGAGGTCAAAATTTTTATCTGATTTTGTTGAAACTTGAAATGTAAGTTTATAACCCAAAGATCTATAGGTCTATCTCCCAAAGATCTCGGTTTCTTACTATATTGGCATGTATCGGACCATAACTTCATGGATTATGCCCCCTGATGGTATGAAAAATCTCGTTTTAGCTTGTAGACACTCTAGAGGTCACAATTTACGCCTGATTTTGATCAAACTTGATATGCATGTTAATAACCCAAAGATCTTGGTTCTTTTCGGTATTCGCGCATATCGGGTCATAACTTCCTGAATTATCGCCCCTAATTGTACAAAAAAGTCACGTTTTTAGCTTGTGGTTCCTCTAGAGGTCACAATTGTTATCTGATTTAAAAAACTGTTTGAATATATCACTGTTACAACGTAATGTTGTTTATTTTTGAATTCCATAAAAATTGGACCGAAACTGCCGGAAAAAATGGCCGCCTCTTGTATGCAAATAGTGTAGAAATATGGTATATTAAGGTTGTGGACCCTCTAGAGGTCACAATTTTGATCCGATTTTGATGAAACTTAAAATACATGTTTATAACCCAAAGGTCTTGGTTCCTTTTGATATTCGCGCATATTGGACCGTAACTACATGTACCGGTACCTGAAATATGGCTCGTGATTGTACGAAAAATGACTTTTTTAGCTTGTGGTCCCTGTAGAGGTCACAATTTTTATCCGATTTTAGAAAACATTAAAAGATATCACCGTCACACCATAATGTAGGTTGAGTTCAAATTTCGTGAAAATCTGACCAAAACTGTCGGACAAAATGGCCGTCCTCGTACGCAATTTACTGTTCAAGGTTGTGGCACTAGAAATGCATGTTTATAACCCAAAGGTCTTGACTCCTTTCGATATTCACGCATATCGGACCATAACTTCCTGAATTATGGTCCCTGATTGTACGAAAAAATCACGATTTTAGCGTGTGGTCCCACTGTGGTCACAATTTTTGTCTGATTTGAAAAAACGCTGGTTATTCTATTCATGTACATGCATGAAGTTGAAATGTGGACATTCAAATTGATGTGGACCTTACACAATAGCTCTAACCAGTAACCTTTTATTTCAGTGTGAGCATATATGTCGTCCCTTTGTTTGTCTTTCCACCCGTCAACATTTGGCTTGTGAATGTCACAGAGGCTACTGTTTTGAATGGATTTGTTTTCTAATCTCGTGTTAATGTGTTAACCATAGGGTAACGAAAGGACGAGGATGAACCCTGTTGATTTTAAGCATTATATCATGTGCACAAAAAGGCTTGTGAAAGCATAAAGGATCCTTATCAAATTTGGTAAACCTCCAGTTAAGCTGCTATCTATGGTTATCTTTTTTATACGCCCACATTTTCATGTGGTTAAAAACAAAGTCGTGGGTATCACAAAACCACTCCTACTACTGGTGTCACCATATCAAGTTTATTATGACTTAGATCCCATCTAAGTTTATGTTATTCAAATGGTTTTGGATTCCTCTCTCTTTATATATTTCGATTCACATTTTCATGTGGACGTATATTGTCGTCGCTCTGTCTGTCCGTCCACAATTGTTTTTGAACAGTCTACAGGTCACAATTTTTATCCGATTTCAATCAAACTTGAAATATAGGTTTATCACCCTAAGATCTCGGTTCTTTTCGATATTGGCATGTATCGGACTGTAACTTCATGGATTATGGCCCCTGATTGTACGAAAAATCACGTTTTTGGCCTGTGAACACTGTAGAGGTCACAATTTTTATCCGATTTTGTTGAAACTTGAAATGTATGCGTATAACCCAAAGATCTCGATTCCTTTCGATATTCGTGCATATCTGAACGTATCTTCCTGAATTATGGCCCCTGATTGTACTAAAAATCGTGTTTTTTGGCTTGTGGACCCTATAGAGGTCATAATTTTTATCCGATTTAAAAAAACGTATATTCATATCACCATTACACCCTAAGGACGGCTGAGTTCGAATTTCGTGAAAATCAGCCCAAAACTAACAGACAAAATGGCCGCCGTTCGGTCTCAAATAGTGTAAAAATATGGTATATCGAGGTTGTGGACCCTATAGAGGTCACAATTTTTATCCGATTTTGTTGAAACTTGAAATGTAAGTTTATAACCCAAAGATCTCGGTTCCTTTCGATATTCGCGCATATCGGACAGTAACTTCCTGAATTATGGCCCTTGATTGTAGGAAAAATCACTTTCTTTTTAGCTTGTTCTCTATCCATCCCTCGAAAATGTGGGCGTATCCTGCCTGGCAGCCGCTGGTTTGTTTTGAGACATAGTTGCTGTATTGGCATATTTCCATGCTCTGTATAGGTATCTTTTTACATTACGCTGTAGCTATCTTTCACCTTGTTTTTAGTATTTTCTGCAAGGTGAATTTGACATATTTACAGCACTTGTAATCCTTTTTCCTCTCCCTCTCTATCCACATATTGAAATATAAAGTGTTGTTCTGCTTTAAAGTGAAAGGTCAAGTAATGCCTTAAGACCTCAAATGTGTTATTAAATCCTTAAAGCTTATAAAGTAATTCTCCGCTATAAACTTTTGTTGACATTGTAAATGCCTGAATATTAATGTTTATTTTTTTAAATATTTTTTTAGGGATTATCCAATCCACATGACATAGCAGTCAATCCATCTGATCATTCTGTTTATGTGGGAGAATTAGATGATAATATATGGAAATTTGCTATGCAACATAAAGATACTATAAGTAAGTTACAGTATCAGTACCTTCCTGTTTGGGTTTATTCTCAATTTGTGTGAAAATTGGTTGTGTCTGATATGACACAATAGAGAACAATAGAAAATATGATATGATATGAATTTTATTTTGATATGAAGTAATTGTCAAAATTTAATCAAATATGTGATTTACGGCTGCCCAACTAAATGTACCCCCATTTCATCTATATCTCTACACCTTAAGGAAAGAGATTCATTCCAGGGCTCGAAATAGTCACCTAACCCATAGATGACTTCGCCCTAAAAACCAATAGGGTGAAGTTGAAATCACCCTCACTTGCCGTACATTTGTGCAAGGGCGAAGTAGTAACAGGCATCAATATCAACGTTAAACAAAGCATTTTCAAAACAACACAACACGTGTTCGCATTGTGAGCTTCGAAAGGAAAAATGAAAATTAGATAAGTTGTGAAAACCAAAACATGTATTAATATTTTGTTTTTCGACTTTCTCGGTGTTGGCTGTGACAATGTTTAATAGTTTCAATGATAAAAAATTTATTTGATGTCAACAGGAAATACAATTCTTTAAAATCAAGCGAAGGACTCGAATCATAAATTTCTGTTACAACCTCTAGCTTAGTCCAGAAATAACAGCCAATCAAAAGCCATTATGGTCAATATGGCGGCGGATACAATGCTTTTCATGTACATGTATTTCTGTCTAGATAAAGAGAAAATACTGATTTGGTTCTCTTTCTTTGATATAATTTGATAACAAAAAGAATAATAAACATAAAACTGTGATTGAAAGGGGACGAAAGGTGTATGTTGTTCTTTAAACATACGGTACACTCAATAAAGAACAACACGTCTGTGATGAGTGAAAATTTCTGTAGAACGATAGAGATAGTAAAACAATTCGTCAATTGTTATCAAAATGAAAACGAAATGCATTTAGAATGTGTCGATAAGTATAATGTCGGGTTGATAATTAAATCTACGGCAATATTATTAGTTCCACTAATCTAAACACATAAACGTATAACAAACAAGGTAAATGAGTGTCTGAGAGTGGGGTGTTAAAAGAATAATGTCTTACTGAGTGAGTTACGTACATTGTCGTACATACTGAAATAAATATATGTTTGCAGCTAAAAGATCTTTGTTAATTTATTTAGCATGTTGTGTAACTTAATAAAATTGGTGGCGTCAATGCATGAATTTTGACCTCTCCTTGAAGTCTCCCTCACTTCTCCCTATTCTGCCTGTACTGAGAAGTCACTTTTCCCTAAAATTTGCCCCTAGTTTGAGCCCTGATTCATTCATGAGAGTGTACTAATGACTTTGAAAATGTATTTGAGCTAAAGTGGTTGAAAATTAGCTGTGATAAATGCATTTTTAGAATCAGAGTTATTTTTAGCTGCATTCTTGCATAACGCAACAAAGTTACAGATAACACTAAGAATGACCACAGCAATACAAATTCTGTAACTGCAGTGCAAGCCTTTCAACTTTTTGTTCAGTGGGAACTAAGGGTATTCGGGAATGGAAGTGCATAGGTAACTCACTCAACTATCATCAGTATTTCTTTGGTAGCTAATTTCTCTGTTGTAAATTATTCTTGTCTTTCATTATTTATTTGTTATACAAAAATACCATTTTTCGAAAAATAAGGTTGTTATGGTACCAATATTGAATCTAATGTTTAGATATGTTATGATTTTGTGACTGTCAGTGAACCCTACCACTCTGTTTTAGTTTCGTCACCAGAAAAGAAAGAACTGATACCTGTGTTATCCAGTGATAGTGATGTAAAAGGTGTTGATACGGAGAAGTCAAGTAGTGTAACACCATCTATAGTTCTAGGTGTATTATTGGTGGTACCAGTGGTACTAGTTGTAATGATAACTATACTAGTACGCATGTATCATTCAGGTAAGCTATTATACACTATTCTTTAGTTTTTAATCTGCACCCTATTCCCCATTTATAACAATGGACCTCAAGGGAATGTTTCTGCATTTTGTATATATAGTCTTTGTTATTTTCAGTTGTTTTGCATTGAGTTTGGAATAACAATTTAATCATCATAAGCAGCTTTTTAAGTAGATTGAAGCTATCTGGCTGAAAAATCCAAATGAATTCAAATTTCAAACAACACTAGTCCAGTTTAACCATCCTCATTTTAATTCCAGTTGGCTTTTTATACGTCCACATTCATAATGTGAACGTATTATGCCGTCGCCCCTGTCTGTGTGTGTGTGTGTGTGTATGTATGTGTGTGTGTGTGTGTGTGTGTGTGTGTGTGTGTGTGTGTCTGTGGTTCGCCTACAGGGCGCAATTCTTCATGGATTTTCTTCAAACTTGGTATACTTATTCCTTATACCCCAAGGAAGATCCCTATTGTTTTTGGTGCATGCCCGACCCCCCGGGGCAGAGCCACGCCCATTTCTAGTATTTGTTTGTTTGTCGTCTACAGGCCACATTTCTTAACTAATAATCTTGAAACTTTGCATACACATTCTTTGTACCCTAAGGAACATCCCTATCGTTTGGGGTGCATGCCCAACCCCCAGGGGCAGAGCCACGCCCATTTTCTTTTCGTGTGTCTTTGTGTCGCCTACAGGGCGCAATTCTTACTGGATTTTTTTCAAACTTGGTATACTTATTCCTTATACCCCAAGGAAGATCCCTATTGTTTTTGGTGCATGCCCGACCCCCAGGGGCAGAGCCACGCCCATTTCTAGTTATTCTTTAAGTGGCATTTAGCGATCAGGGAACAAATTAACAGAACACAGTTTTTATGGGATACAATCACTAGTTTATTCTAAAAGCACGACGTTTCCACAAGTATTCTCTTATCGTTATCAATCAAGCAGTCTGTGTGTGTGTGTGTGTGTATGTATGTATGTGTGTGTGTGTGTGTGTGTGTGTGTGTGTGTGTCTGTGGTTCGCCTACAGGGCGCAATTCTTCATGGATTTTCTTCAAACTTGGTATACTTATTCCTTATACCCCAAGGAAGATCCCTATTGTTTTTGGTGCATGCCCGACCCCCCGGGGCAGAGCCACGCCCATTTCTAGTATTTGTTTGTTTGTCGTCTACAGGCCACATTTCTTAACTAATAATCTTGAAACTTTGCATACACATTCTTTGTACCCTAAGGAACATCCCTATCGTTTGGGGTGCATGCCCAACCCCCAGGGGCAGAGCCACGCCCATTTTCTTTTCGTGTGTCTTTGTGTCGCCTACAGGGCGCAATTCTTACTGGATTTTCTTCAAACTTGGTATACTTATTCCTTATACCCCAAGGAAGATCCCTATTGTTTTTGGTGCATGCCCGACCCCCAGGGGCAGAGCCACGCCCATTTCTAGTTCTTCTTTAAGTGGCATTTAGCGATCAGGGAACAAATTAACAGAACACAGTTTTTATGGGATACAATCACTAGTTTATTCTAAAAGCACGACGTTTCCACAAGTATTCTCTTATCGTTATCAATCAAGCAAAAAAAAACAAAAAAAAAACGTCATGCTTTTAGAATAAAGACATCGATTGTTTTAAAATAAAAATTGTGTTCTGTTAATGTGAACGAAATGTTATACTGATAGCAGTCCTACAACCCAGTTTTATTTCACAGACCCTCAATGCAAACTGGACCATATCAAACAAAACAGGAATGTGGACGTATATTGCTGCGTTAGCGATGCTCTTGTTTAAACATGTAAAGGTTTTAAACAATGTGGGATCTTTTTGTATTGGTTTGTCGCAGTGATGGGATTTCAAAATTTTAGTTGTCGGACATTTTCTTCCCGAAAATAAAGGGACATAACTCTTATCGTTATTTAAGCAGGCTTTTTTAAACAACAAAACGTGTCAACAAAATATTCAAATTCATACGTAATAAAAAAAATAGGTGCACCTCGTTATTTTTCATATTTAATTCCCGTACAGTATTCAAATTTATGTCAATAATATTCCTACAAAATTACATGACATCGTAACACCATAGAATGAAAGCGTGCCGACTACTGCCCATCCGTACCGGTTTCAAATTCCCCCAAAATTACCGTATTTTTCGGGTCATAAGTCGATACATTTTTCAACAAAGTCCGGCATACGTCTTATACTCCGTTTCGATTTATATACGGAAGGTAAAAAAATGGCCGTAAACCGTAGTAAACGTCGCTCTAATACAACGAGCGAGTGACACCAACTGCTAAATAATCCCATTCGACTCTAAGCACGTGCTATCGTCTAAAACAATTACCGTAACTACTTACGTTATTCCAATCAAAATATTTGTCAACATTTCTTAGCATGTTTATTTATTTAAAAATATAAACCCCATTCAAAATATGATCATGAATCCAACAATATGCCATCAAAATAGAATCTTTTCTCCCGACATCAGACGTTGGTGTTCATCAGGTAATACCTCGACTGAGTTCAATATAGAGATTAGCCGGTTGATTTGTTGGATATAAACCTTTGAATAATAGCGCCTAACAGGCAGCTGTGTTTAATTGTGTTTAATTATGTTCTCCTGATTTTGATTGTTTCTGTGTGTTTGAAGTATATGTTTGTGATATGCGCTTAGAAACACTTCACGTGAAATGAAGCGCTATATAAATCGAACAATAATAATAATAATTTGATTCGGCACGTTTACACCTCTTAATTCCACGTGTCTTGCAAGATTTCTACTTTCATTTTGCGTGGTTGTGAAATAGCTTTATTTAACTTCGGCTTCCACTGAAGAAATATCACAGACAAGTTATCGGACACAATGTATATTGATTTGGGGTGTTATATACTGTTAGGATATGTGACATATATGACTAATGTCTACGGCCGACATCAAGGAGATTAAAACGTGAGACAATGGAGAAATCACGGGTTAATCACGTAGATTAAGTTTATTGGATTGATAGATAGTCCGACAAAGGAGAAGCAATGACTATTATCAACCATAATTGGGTTGAGTGGTAGTTATACACTCAGTACACTATATTAATTTTGGAATTTTGAATATTATTTACCATGTCTTGATGTCCGATTGGGTATATTCCTGGTCGGACAATTTAGGACGTTTCGAAAATAGCGTCGGACATGTCCGGAATATAGGGGCAAAATCCCATCACTGGTTTGTCGTCATTTGTCATGTAGAATAGTTTTTTTTATGGAATATAGCTCCTAACTCCAGCATTGTAATTTGATGACTAAATTTCAGTTACTACATTCTATATAGAATCTTTCCAGATTCACAAACCATTCTGTTTGATTTTTACAGACTTTAAAATCTGAATCCAGATAAAAAAATCTGTGAATCTTCCAGGATTATGTGGATATTTAGATTTAAATGTCTGTTTTCCACAAAAATGAATCGAGGTTCAGAAATTTCGTTTAACAATGTAGAATTGTGATTTTGGTAATCAAATTTGTGCTATTTTTGTAAATATTCTTGTCTTATTTTGCTATGATAAATTTAGATACAAAAGATAAAAGTTAATCAAATTGTATAATTTGTTAGGTAAAAGAACATATAAAGTTAATGCCTAATTTTGTGTAGATTGGTAAGTAGGGAATGGTTATGTGTTCAACTTTTTTTTAAAGAATTTGGTTAGGATATAATATGAAATGGGGTGGATGTATTGATTATACTAAAATGGAATTATTTGTGCGATTTACGATACCAAACCTGTTTAATATTAATATATTTATTTAACCCTCTTTTTAACCCATACATATATCTTTATTTAATTTTAAATCATTGTTAACATTTTGGGTGTTTTGAACATTTTTATCTTCCCATGAGTAAAAATTTACAATTTATTCAACTAACCCTTTTTAAACTCATACATTTATTTTTATATGTCAACATTTCAGTGTGGGTGTATTATGTTGTACCCCCTGTCCATCCATCAACAACTCGCTTGTTAATGCGATAGAGGTGTGAAGCCTTGGAATCATGGGAGGATGAACCCTATTGATTTATATCATTCCATAGCCTTCTGTTTCAGAGTTACCCCCAATTTCCTTAAACCTTGTTCATGCAATAAAGTCTAGATGCTTTTCTAATTTGGTCTGAAGCATTAGGACTGTGACAGGATGAATGCTATTTTTTTAACGGAAGGATGAACCTTATTCATTTTTAGTCGGGATCAGAGAGGATGAAACCTTTTGAGTTTTAGCATTCTACGACATTCTATTTCAGAGATATGTTAATGCATGTGCGAAAAAGCTTGTGACCAAGATAGAGATCAGATTTCTTGGACAACATCCAAGTTTTCCTTTTGGATAAGCTGCTATCTATGGCTATCTGGTTCTCTTTTTTTGTGAGACATAGCTGTATCGGTACTGATGGGTCTTCCATGTGTTTCCACTGGGGTGCTTTTTATAGGGCAGCATGAGTTACATGAAAATCAGGTTGCATTTATGAGAACATTTCCTGGGTTCAATTCTGTGTTTGGAATAGAGCCTTATTGCTCAGTTAAAGTTGGAGATATGGTCACAAATATACCATAAAAAAAATTGGCAAGTTTTATGCAATGCGTCTATTCAGAGTAACATACCAACCTGACGTTTCTTTTGCTGTTTAGTATATTATATCAATTCTTTATTTATTGTTCAAAAACCTTGTGACTTCTATGTTTTATAATACCATCCTTTTGCAAACAACAAATTAAGTATATACGTTTTCTTATTCATGTTCCTACTTAATGCATTTTTTTTTTTTTTAGTATTGTTCTATTGTTTTGTTTGTTTTAGGTAAATGTGGTAAGAATAAAGGCAACAAGGTTTTCAACCTTCAGAGTTTCTTCAATTCACATAAAGGTTTTGATCGTTTGAGTACAGAAGAAAGTGACCATGAATTAGATCCTTTTGATGGTTCTGATGAAGAGGAGTATACTGCACCAGCTAAACAAAAGCAGAGAACATAATTATACAGCAAATCATACGTCTTCATTATAATTTTAAACAGATCACGGGTAATTAAAGTCTCTGAACGTCATCTGAGGGATTGTGGAATCCCGTGTAAACTACAATATTGTGACAGTTGAATCTCTTAAAGGAATATCAGTCCATCCCGTATTTACAAAGATATTAGGAATTGAAAATAGTCAACATTTAGCATCCTTTGCAGATAATGTAAACTGGATGCGGTCAAAACCCAGACCCACCAATAATCTTTGAAATTTATGTTTTTGATAGGCCTCTTTAATATGAATCCAAGCTGAGAGATTATCTACCCTTGATATTTTGGATATCTTGATTTTGTTTTCTTAATTAAATGTTATTTAATCTGAGTGGAAAATTTGATATTTTCCAGAAATGACGCTCAGAGACTTTAAGTGTTTTATAATTTTATTATTGTCTAACAACAAGTATTTTAAAAAAAAAATTTTTATATACACCTATGATCATATTTAAATATTGTCGTCATTTTGCCAATGTGTCCATTCTCCCTAATATATCAACAATTTCTAACAATTACTTTGATATAGTTAATATAGTTGATCTGTTTAAAATTTACATTCAAATTTTACAACAGTAACTATCAACAGTTTTCCGCTTATTATGTCATATGGTTAATATGTTATTACGCTCTTTTTCCAAATTTGTCTTCTGGAATTTTCTTGCATTTCTCAATAATAAGGATCATCTGGGCTTCATGAAATTGCAAAGTCATAGGCAAACCCTAAAAGCCATAAGCGTTTTGAAATCCAAGAAGTCTGTATTATAGCGGTAATATTATGAGACAGAATTCATAAAGCTGCTGGTAGACGTATATTTCATTGTCTGGCAACCTATCAGTATATTATTCATTATTATAATTAACTTGAAACAATTGTATACCGGTAGTTATTTGATCATGCTAAACTGTGCTTTGGGTAATAGGTTACATATTACTATACATTGGATTTAGAAATGTTTCAATAGACTGGCTGATAAAGGACAAAGCAAATATATTTAATCTTTTCAGCCCATATTCTTCTCCCCCTGTATAAAATAAGAAATTAATTGTTTATAAATGTGGATCAGGTAAATTGAATTGTATAAACAATTTAAATATTGTTAAATTGTCATTGTTGTACTTAAAATTGTTGGCACTCAGTAATATTTAACTTACTTAATTTATTGTGGATATATTAGGCAATCTTATGTAATATGATTTTTATACGCCCACATTTTCATGTGGACGTATATTGTTGTCGCCCCTGTCCGTCCGTCCACAATTGTTTGTGAACACTCTAGAGGCCACAATTTTTATCCGATTTCAACGAAACTTGAAATATAGGTTTATCACCCTAAGATCTTGGTTCCTTTCGATATTGGCATGTATCGGACTGTAACTTCATGGATTATGGCCCTTGATTGTGCGAAAAATCACGTTTTTAGCTTGGGAACACTGTAGAGGTCATAATTTTTATCCGATTCTGTTGAAACTTGAAATGTAAGTTTAAAGCCCACAGATCTCGGTTTCTGTCGATATTCATGCATATCGGACCGTAACTTCCTGAATTATGGCCCCTGATTGTACGAAAAATCGCGTTTTTTGCTTGAGGTCCCTCTAGAGGTCACAATTTTTATCTGATTTAAAAAAAATGTGTGAATAATCGCGGATACCTGAACTTAACTTCCTGGATTATGGCCCCTGATTGTTCGAAAAATGGCATTTTTAGCTTGTGGATTCTCTAGAGGTCACAATTTTTTTTTTTCGATTTTAAAAACCGTTTAAATATTTCACCATTCCACCATAATGAAGGTTGAATTCGAATTTCGGGAAAATCGAAATGAATCTGCCCCTCAAAATGGCTGCTCTTTGTACGCAAATTTTGTAAAACTATGCAATACGAAGGTTGTCGACCCGCTAGAGGTCACAATTTTTATCCGATTCTGATGAAACTTAAAGCATATCTTTATATCCCAAAGATCTTGGTCCCTTTTGATATTTGCGCATTTCAGACCATAAGTTTCTGGATTATTAACCCTGATTGTACAAAAAATCCTGTTTGTTTTTAGCTTGTTCTCTACCTTCTCTTCCAAAATGTGGGCATATCCTGCCTGGCAGCCGCTGGTTTCTGGTGATAACAAATATCAAAAAATAAGTTAAACAGATGACTCTAGCCAATTATAATTGTATGATAATATTATCTTTCAGTCTTAATTTTGAAATGGTCACGAGATAAAAAAAAATCAATTTTAATGGGTTTACTCTAATCAATAACTAATATGGTCTCAACAGCAATACTGCCAAATATGCTTATTAATTAAATAGAAAATTATTCATGTACCCAACAAAGTAATTACAATCCATGAGGCAATTAAATCAAACTTGGATTTGTATATGAATGTTTGTAGTGAGCCATTAATTTCAATACACATTTATGTCACTTCCTTCAGGTCATGCTCACATTGCTTTCTTGTAGAATTAACTCCTTGTCTTACAGTATCTAAATCTTGCATTCCTTTAAATCCTTATTTTTTGTAAAACTTTGCCCAGTATTAAAAATAATTTGATGAGTTTATTGTAGACACCGGTCAGTGAATAACAACTTGTGTATCTCTTACAAGAGATTATTAAATTATCAAGATAATCAATAAAGACCGACACATGTTTTTTTAATTGATTGGTGATTTCTTGTCGGTTAACACCCACTGATTGAAGGCCGGATTATCCAATCTTGATTCAACGCAAATCGTGTGACAGGAACACTGATTGAAGGCCGGATTATCCAATGTTAATTCAAAGCAAATAGTGTGACGGGACCGCTGATTGATGTCGTAATTCGGAATATTCAGAATCCGGACTACTCAAAACTTTTTTGGTTGAAGTAATAAGGAAATAAAGATGACGAATTTCACAGAATGCCGTAGTATTCAGATGTCGGAAGTGACCGAATCCACTGTATTTTACTGTTCATTTCTAAAGCTGTTTCTTTTCAATTAACTATATATTTATATTTCCACAATCCATTCAAGTCATCAATTTAGTTTTGTTTTTCAACATTGGTCTTATCAGTTGGACATGACATATAAGATGTAAAAATATAAAAATATATCCATGTTTAAAAAATTTGTTTAACCAAATGGAAACCATCATATTGCACCCAAATTATAGAGGTCATGTTGGTCCATTTTAATTTTATTGCATTCTCATTCTGATTCTTAAATTTTAAACCACAGACTAGCACAGTTTTACTAATTGCTTATAGATGATAAATCAAAATGGATAATAAATAGGTAATATCAAAAACTTTATTTTTGAAATAATATTTTTTTATAAACAACAAGATGTTTGTATAATTCTTTGGTCAGTTATTTCACCAGTCATTGTTTGATCATATATAGATTGCTCTCTGTGAAAACATATTGATTTTATATCAATATTGAAGGATATACTTTTATTGAATGATCAATAAAGATAATACATATTTACTACTACATATAAGAAAGCAGGTCTTGAATTTCCCTATAACAAAGATCTAGGACTATGGTTTTCAAACTTTTTGGCACTGCTGCTGGTTTTAAATTTGCCCTTTCTGAAATTGGTTCCAAAAAAGTTTCAAATGCATAAGTGGAAATGAAAAGAGCCATTTAGTAGATAGCATAGAATTTTATTTTGTCAAGATCTGAAATGGTCTTTTATATTTTATTTTGCAACTAGAAATCTGTTTGTAATAATTAATATATTGTTTATTAGAGCTAGTCATATTTATGTACTTTATTATTTATTTATAAATGACACCCTATTTATACATATTGATATTTTCAACCTGGCTAACCCTCAAAGCACCGTTCCATAATTGGGCATATTGTACTCTCTATAGAAAATATTTATAAGCTATACCCAGTAGGTATGTTTTTAGCACAAGAAAGATTTCTCTGCTGACATATCAAATTTTTTTGTGCTTGAAATGATACTGATAACTCTACTGGTTATTTATTGTGCATAAATAGGGTATTATATATTTGGAGCCACATTAATTAAATAGATAGTATATTTTGTTAAGGTTTAATTTATAAGAATTTTTTTGGTTGCTCTTTTGGTATTTTTATCTCCAGTTTTTCGTAGAAAGCAGGGGACTATTAAAATGTGAGTGTCTGTCTGTCCATCACACTTTTTGGAACAAAATAACTCTGCTTCTCATTAAGTTGAAATTGTTTGTTAGGTCAATGCTTAATTTTCAGCTTAGACTAAGCAAAGATTATAAGCAATTTAATTCTTCGATGCTTTATGACTTGATAACTTGGATTCTAATTCAGTGAGAGTGATAAAACTTGGTTTATACGCATGCAGAGATAAGCAGTTTCATGTGTTGATGCTTTAGAAAATGATAAATGTGAAAGTATTGATTAGTGTTATCTATTTATTTTGGGATTTAGGCAGAAGACATCAACCGCTCTGTTGGCTTGTTTAATTTATATTATATTTATTATGAAATATTACATGTAAAAATGAAGATTTATTTGATTTGACAATGGTAGTGTCGATGTGGTAAACTGTGCCACCTTACTATTGTATATTGGATGTAATTTACTAGCATGTAAAGTGACAATTTATTCCATTTTGTTGCCAATTATTATAGGTCCATATTTAGTGTGGATGTATATTTTAGTCAACTGTCAGATTCTCAATGATTGTTTATTGTGGCAAGAGCCCTTTGGTATCTGAAACTTTAAACACATTTAGTAGATCTATCATTCTGTTCACAATTTCGCTATTAAACATTATCGCAGAGTGGGTTTTGTTGATAACGATTTGGGTTGGACAACCCCTCTATGTTAAATAAATACGTCTATATTTTGTGTTATAAATCTTTTGTTACTATATTATTGCTACAAGGCTCTCTTTTCAAAATCCCCACAGCTGCATCTTTTTTTGCAATTTTGTTAAAAATGGCAGTCAGAAAAATTTGGAAATACTATATGACAATTAGTTTTTTTAAAAGCGTTAATATTTTCTCTGTAGATTAACACATTAATAAAGCTTTCAGGTTTCCCTGAAGTGGGTTTGCTTAAACAAAAATGCAATTTTTTGATGTAAATAAATTATTCCATATAATTCCAATATTCGGATTAGGATTGTTAATATATTTGTTAAAAATTAACAAACACAATTATTGTTTATATGTATAAGAATTTAAGGTCTGAAAATGAAAGGTTGTTGATGTATATATTATAATGATATTGGTATATAATTTTGTGATGTATGTTTTATAATGTTGTTATTGTTTGTGCATTTGTATAATGTATATAGAATTTATGGAGAAACAATCTTAATACTTATAATAGATTAGATAACAAAACTTCAATTTGTGCTCATTGGCAATAAAAAACAACTTAATTGCAGTTGTTAAAATTTTTGATTGTGGGAAATTATGCATACTACCAATAAATTGCTTACAAAGTCAACTTATTCAATAAGGTGAAAGTATACATAACTGTACTTTGGGATATATTTTTTGACACCATGTAAAAAAACACATTCCCTTTGGAAGATTTGTATAAATACATATTCTTTTTCATCTGTTGTTATAATAGTTTTGTAAACATATGAATTCCGATCTCGGTGCCCAAAGTTTTTTTTCTACTTATGTTGTTTGACTTCCAAATTCTTTGTTTTTGTCATTAAACATTTTGCCGTAAAGGGTGGATGGATATATTTATTTCAGAGGATCATGGGTTGAACATGTTACAATTTCCACTGTTAGGAATGAAGATTGCTTTGAGATGTATAGATGCTTATTATCATTTACATATGATCTGCTTTTTGGGGTTGATTTTTTGGCATGTATATTGTCGTCGCCCCTATCCGGCCGGACATTATCATATTTTTTCCGATTTTGATGAAATGTGAAATATAGGTTTATAACCCAAAGATCTTGGTTTCTCTCGATATCGGGATGTATCGAACTGTAACTTCATGGATTATGTACCCTGATTGTACAAAAAACACCTTTTTAGCTTATGTAATACCAAGGTTATGGATGGACCCTCTAGAGGTCACAATTTTTATCCGATTTTGATGAAACTTCAAATGCATGTTTATAACCTGGTTCCTTTAGATATTTGTGCATATCGGAGTGTAACTTCCTGGATTATGGCCCCTTTTTAGCACTTCTCCGTCCATCTCTTGCAAAATTTGGATGTATCTTGCATGGCAATCGCTTATTTGAATTCAGATTTTTAAAATTGATACATTTTGGATAGACAAAGACAGGGCCCACAGTCTCGATACTTAATATTTTAAATATTCCGCAGATCTTCACAGATTGAAATTGTACAAAAATAATATCAATTTTGAAAATTTGTTGATGGCATTATACACAGGGTTCAAGCAAGGGTAATCTGAACTGAGCAAAAATATTAACAGCTTTCACCATTTGATGTCTAATCCCACTGTAACATTTTCATTACCAAAAGGGGAGTAATTTTGTCAAAAACGGTATTTTTAGCCTTGAATTGGTAGATTTTTTTTCTGGCCAGTGTGTAGAACTGAAAACGACATATTAAAGGACACCAGTGATGTACTTATGAAATGTAATTATAGGGTTTAACGTCCTACTGCTCTACACCAGCTGGGCTAATGAACATTTATTAAATTTACCCACATGTTGTATTGTAATTGTTTGTATGATGTGATATATCATGTAAATATCAAAGTGTTAATTGTTCAAATAAATAATCTGATAAAATTGTTAATGAAGCTTATACTTATGGGCCCTAATTCTGTAATTAAACGAAACCAGGAGTTGTGGCAATTTTATATTGGTTTATATTGATGGACCTTAAATGTGTTAATCAAACGAAACTGCAACGTAAAATTAGTTAACCCGACTTCTGCCGAGCGGAAACGAGTCAGTAAAATATTTTGGTTTAATGTGGATGTGTTAGGTAACACTGGACAATATCCTGATTAGCTTGTTTAACTGCATCATCTTTATCCTTTCTGTCTTCAAAATTGTTCTTATATTTCATATCAGTTGAATAAATAGCATCATTTTGTAATGTTTATTGCCTTTATTGTTCTAAACTGTATCTTCTTCATCAGACTCATCACAGCAATCATGTACGTGTACCTCAATTGAGGTAGACTTTAAAGGAGCTAAATCGCTAATGTTTGGGACCTAGAAATTGACACAAATGGGTCCCAACGCATATGATAATGTAATATGAATGTATATAAACTGATTTACATTCAAACGTTCCTGTTTTTACTGTAATTTCTAATCAGTTATGGTCGGCAAAATACGCCTGAAGTCTCAATCGAATGGCAATCTCTAGCATTTGGTTATTCCAGTTTTCACCAATAGTATTTATTGCGCATGCCCTCCAGATAAGATGTCGTCACCATTTAACATGACTTGGGGAATATGTCTATCTTAGATCTTTGAGTCCCTTTTTACAAATGGTGCTGAAACGCATTATGGTACACAATTCCTGTACCAATGGTAAAATGTTTATTTTGTCTTAAATATTGGATATCAGAAGCCCAATAAACACACCACAGATACATCAAGATATACAAACACATAAAGATATACAATATCTTAGTCCCAAAACGACCTAGTTTGTGTTGAGTGGATGTTAATGCTAGAGAAAGTACTAGCCCGCTAGACCAGTTTTTTGTGTAGATTCCGAATCTGTGGTGATCAGGCATTTGAGGTGGGGGTGGGGGGTCCAATGTCTACAATTGGGGGAAAATGTCATTGTCGACTTAAAATCCTTTGATGTTGGCAAACTATTAGTTCCAATTATGTATGGGCAACTTGCAAATCGTACATTATCTATACCAGATGAAATATTGGACTCGCATCACGTATTTCATTGAAAAGCATGTGCGGGATAGTGATATCACCTCGGTGGAAGCGGACGTAAAATACAACCAACTAACAACAAAGTGTCTGTATTTTAAGTTGTATCAATATATTCCTTAATGTCTTGCTCTCGACATGCCTCTGATTTACTGTGTTTTTTATGTACATCTCCAGATCTCTTAAAAAGTACCATTATAACACAGAGTAAAAATGTGATTATTATAATTTAATATATTGAATGACGAAATAGGTACAGAACGAAAAAGCTAACGAGAAACCACTTTTACGGTCAATTTGAACCAAATGATTTCAGTCCACAAAAACACATGTTGCCCCCCCCCCCCAACACACACACACGCACCTACCCCGGCGCCCACCCCACACAATGGGAATCTTATAAACATATTTAGAGATGTTTCATCAAGCTCTAAGAAAGTTATTTAAATCGACATGAACTCATTTCCCGCCAATTTTACCTCCACACACGCACACCTGCAACCACCCACGCCACCTCGCCACAAATCAAAACAGTTGTCCAGGGGCATCATAAACACTTATTTAGAGATGGGCAGCCATAGAAATTTATGTTTTATTAATATATAACATGACCATCATTTATGTCAACATAATCACATTTTCCCCCAATTGTAAACATTGCCCCCCCCCCCAACATATCTCCAAAACGCCCCCTCAAACGCCTGATCACCACCCAGATTCAGAATCTGCGCAAAAAAATTGGTCTAGAAAAACTTGGTCTCATAGATTCACAGCTCGGGTGAGCCACCGGACTATACAACTTCTACAGTTGTGTTGAGGTTGAAAACATTGGTAGGGGGTCCACCCTTACAAATCTTACAGTTCCCTATAAAACGACGGAGAGTCGTTTACCATTATTTTCCTCGTTTTATCTACCTCGAAATAACCGGGGAACTCGGCCTATACCCTGCACATGGCTGTTTTCGGGTGCGATTTGCTGAACTGGGATTCTAATCTTAGATTCCCTTGTTTCTGAAGATTAACATACGAGACGTTATATTCCAGTCGACAGAAAACAGATTCTTTCGTTAATGCTTATAATTCAAACCGTCCATCTGTAATTGAGACTCACCACGTCGTCCCACGGCCAGCGAAATAGGATTTAAAGAACTACCAAGAAAGCTATATCAATTATTCACGAACATCTAATCAGTGTTATTCGTTTTTAAAATCCCTATTATGTAAAACCTCAGAAATCGAATTTCTAGATTCAGATAATGATGGTGTATACTTGCTAACACGTTTTCAGAATATTTATCAAGTATGACTAATATCTCAAGGAAGCAACTAGATCAGTGCAATTCAGAAACTTAAAGTGAAGGTGAAATCAACCAAAATGCGGGATTGCCAACTTTGACCCCATAACAATCAAACTTCTGTCAGTCATTACTGTGATTATCAACACTAGTCTGAAATATTTTGTTTTTCAGAATTATTTAAACAGGTTGTAGTTAAACCTAGGCTGGAACGCAACATCCTTAAAAGTTACAGACTCGTAAGACCAGGGCCCTGTTTCACGAAATTTTAACTAAAGATAAAATCCAAATTTTAGTAGATACTTCAATTTTGATTGGCTAAGCACTAAAATCAATCTAATATTATCCAATCAAATACTAAAATTTGGATTTTATCTTAGTTAAAATTTCGTGAAACAGGCCCCAGGAGTGTTTCTCTTGTAAAATTATGTCATTATGAACTATAGAAAGCATGTTCAGCATAACTAACCTGTTAAAAGGGCCCGTAGCTAGCGGGGGGCAAGGGGGGCAGCTGCTTCCCCCCCTCCCCCCTAGAAAATGGAAAAAAAATCGGCACCCTTTCCATTGGACGCAATACGAAACCAACAACCAACGTGACCATATCTGTATCGGCGCTCCATTAAGCCGAGTGACATTAGTTGGGCGCCCACGACCAGATTGTCGGGGCGCCCAACCAACGTCACTCGCCAATGGATCATACGATTAATACCACAACGTGATTGATGGGACGCCCAAAACGGTGTGATCTGTGGGATGCCCATAATGACATGAAGGCGACGATCGTCGGGTTATTTTGTCATGTTGGCGGGTTGATTTTGTCGACTTGTCGCCTTCTTCACAAGGCGACGATTTAGATTCATTTGAATGGCCGCTAACAGCCACCATATAAAACAGATGTTTCCGAACATATGACATGTACATAAATAACACTGTGTATTATATATTCGACATCATGTTATTCGAGACATTGTGAATAGAAACTCATGTAAAAATTTATTATAAATTTCATTTCAATTTTTCAATATAGAAAGTAAACATATCATATTATATCATATAACTTAAATTGGGAGCTCTTTTCCCAATAAAATAAGCTTCGTTTCGATCTTTCCTTTTTCACACTCAGTTTTAAGTATAAAAGTATTTATTTTACAAAATACGAATGGTATCCAATTTTATCATTTTGCGTTCAACGAAAACTGCTCATTTTTATTAAACATCTAAAGGTCGGATTTTTTTCTTCATGAAAGTTCCACACGCAGAACCTATCGCCGTTGCCGTCGAAGTCAAAACGATTGCATCAGTAGTTTCTGCGAAATAGGCGGTTTATAAATAAGAAGGTGTGTTTGGATTTTGACAATAGGCCTGTGAACAGATGTTCAATCTTTAAGCTTGGGCATTACAAATACCAATTGGATACAAATACATGTAAAAATAATCATGCATCGAAAACTGCCTATTTTTTTTTACTAAATATCTAAAGGTCTTAATATATTTCTTCATGAAAGTTCCACACGCAGAACTCAATATTTTTCTTATAATATTCGAAATTAAAAACATGAATTAGAATTCGATATTGGCCCATTTTAATTAATATTGAAGTTGATACCTTGCCGTAAAAATATGGGATCTTAACATCAAATATTTAAGACACAATACACATTTTATAATCACTACACGAGTCGTGTATTCTATGGTTTCGGATGCCATTTGTAATGAAGAAAGAAAAATGGCGGATTCACAAACGACAAAATGATAATAAAAAGCGGACTAGGCAGGCGTAATTCACAGAACATAATTGATTAGAGTATTTTTATAAAAATTGAATATAGATTACTTTACATACATTCAAATTACATTAATATGTGCTTTTGAGATTCCAAGGAATAGGTGACAAGGCGTAGGGTCGTTTGTCCAACGTCTCGGGTTTTCTCCGGGTCCTCCGGTTTCCAACCAATACTAAAGACCCCTAAAAGTGAACCATGTTAGTCCTGAAATGACCTAGTTTGTGTCGAGTGGACGTTAAACCGCCTCTCTCTCACTCTCTCTCTCTCTCCCCAAGGAATAGAACCACGCGCCCTTCGACATGTAAGATTAAAGTCCAATTACGACCCGGAACTTTTCGTTTTGTTTTTCAAATAACAGATTTTTATGGTCGTTGAGTTGATCAGAGGTTCGTATAGTTAGTATAAAGAGTGATTAAGTATTTTAAAGGAGCTAAATCGCTAATATTTGGGACCTAGAAATTGACACAAGTGGGTCGCAACTCATATAATACCGTAATATGAATGTATATAAACCGATTTACATTCAATCGTTTTTACTCTAATTTCAAATCAGTTATGTTCCGTGAAATAAGCCAGCAAATTCCTAGCGTCTGGTTATTCCAGTCTACATAAGCCGTTTGGTTTGGTGCAATATGTCTAGCCTCGATTCGTGTACCAATGGTAAAATATTTATTTTGTCTTAAATATTGGATATCAGAAGCCCACCCTTTTCAGATAAGATCACAGCATCAATGTTGTTTTAAATTGACAAATAATTCGTGTTTTAAATGTTGAAGATTTTGGATGATATTGAGTTAGAGACTTAGCTCCTTTAAGTATTTAATACATGAATATATTTACACAAACATAACATATACAATTTCTAAATGTTAATTCTGGAAACAGCTGCAGCTATACGCGGCATGTTTCTAGGGTCACAAACTAGAAGTGTCTATGCAGCAAATAAATAAAAGCATATTTTAAGGCGCCAAACCTCGTACTCCATAACCTTTGACATAAGAACATGAATTAAAAATTAATATTTGTCCAGATCAATTAATATTGACGTTGTTTTCTTACCGTAAAAATATGGGCTCCTGATATCCAATAGAACTTAGCATACTTGACAAAGGCCTCAAGTTTATTCCAACCACCACGATAACATCGACAGACCCCATTTTTGAGTTAACCAATCGATTTCAAAGAACGCTTTCATTGACTTATTTTTTTAGGAACAAACCCGGCAGAGGTAAAAAGTTATTCACAGAAAAATCTACATAGAAACCACCGAACAATTCATTATCACCAGCCCTCCTAAAAACTTTCAACCAAATGAATACAGAAATATTACCCCTTCAACCACAATCACAAATACCCAAATCTCAACCGGGCCGCAAAAACAGCATTAAATACCCTCAAAAATAATAATTATTAATAATAATAATTAAGAAAAGCGACAAAGGCTGGTGTTGTGTCATCATGAATCGCAAAGACTATATCTGAGAGGCAGAAAACAATTAAGTAATCCTAAACATTACACTAAATTAGACCAACCCATCTTTCAGGACACCGCAACTTTAAGAAACAACATCTTACATGGATTGCAAGACAGGGAATACATAACAGCAAAACAATATGATTATCTACATGTATCTGCTAAATCTGATTGCCGACAAAAACATTTCTATACACTACCAAAAATATATAAAAATCCAGAAACATAATGGTTTATACACGCTTCATACCTTAAAGACACGAACGATTTTATTCACAAAATCAAACAGTTCAGAGTCCCTGAGCACACCATTTTAATATCCATCGACGTACAGAGCATGTACACGAACATCGATAATAACACAGGTATTGAAGCAGTTAGGAAAGCATTTCTTAGGAACCCGCAAGCATCCAGACCAGACGAAGAAATCCTCAAACTACTCGACATCTGTCTGAGGAGGAATGACTTCACATTTAACGACCAAGTATACCTCCAGTCTTCAGGGACTGCGATGGAAAAACGATTTGCAAATCTCTTCAAGCCAGATTTCTATGGACGTTTTTTTGATGACGTTTTCGTAGTCTGGACGTACCGAATAGACGATTTTTGGGCGTTTTTTTAACATTCTGAACAATCATCATCATCTGTCAAATTAACCGCAAATGTAAGTCATAACAGCATACCCTCTTTATAGCTAAAATAGATTATCCCATGAAAACACACCATTTCGAATTTTCGACTACAGCTTATAATAAAGGTAATTTATATAGAAAGAAATCAAATCCAAACAATGATTAAAAAGTAATTCATTTAGACAGAAGACAAAAAAAAATTATTAGAAAATAATTTACATATAGATAGAACGCAAAAATAGATTAAAAAGTAATTTACATAAAAATCATATAGAATAGCACTAGTAGTCCAAATAGAATATTTACTTAGCATTGTGGTCCAAATAGAATATTAACATAGCATTTGAAGTTCAAATATAATAGTACAATTGAGCATATTTAGATCAACATATCTACAGAGAATAAGATGACTGTGCGGTACGGTTTTATTCAATCATGAGTGGAAGCAATATTTCTTTAGTTCCAAACTCCCGAAATTGAAAATGGACATAATAAAGCAATTCTAATAAATTCAGAAAAGTTTTGTCTGAATGATAGTGAACTCGAAGAAGGAATGTACAAAATTTGAAACAATTTATCTTATATAATTAACCAAGTATTAAACTCAATGGTAATCTCGAAATATTTCAAATATTTGTCAGAACAAATATTTACTCCGAGTTGATATTTTTGCTTTGATGTTAAAGCAAAAAATATATAATATGTAATGAATAAGCTATGGCAGGCGATAGTGACTAATGTTAAAAGGCCTTGAGCACATGATGATGATGATGGTGGTGATGATGATGATGATTTATTTATTTATTAATGTAAATATGTAAGATATACTTTTGAAATCTGTACATATTAGTTAATTGTATTAAAATGTATCATGTCAAAGCATTGAGATGGATTTATATAAACTTCGATTTGTTTTCAAATTCATTATATCAGTATTGTTTATATTCATGTTGTACTCGAAACAAATTATTGTTTAAACTATTTTAACAATAATCATTACATTAATTACATCTGTTAATCATTGGAACAATCCAATGCTGATAAGTTGAGGGTAAGGATTTTGGGGGTAATAAAATTTGTAGTCGAAATGGGGTGTAGTCAAAATTGGATGTAGTCGAAATGGGAGTGAACCGGTTAGGGTTCGGGTTAGTGTTCCCCAAAATACTCATTTACTATACTGCGGCCATTTGGGACTCCTAAAATACCCGAACCTCCCCAAACTGCCTACAATTAGCATCTCCCATAATGTAACGTATTATTTGGTTTGTCTTCCACTCGACAAATCACGTACGGTTTGACATTTTACTTCCGCACTGTCAAGTAGTCATAACTTCGCCCAGAATCAAGTAATTTAAATGAAATTTACAATATATTCATTTTGCATTGTCTATTTTAGCAAGAACGGTCAGCACTCGACCAAAATCTTACATAACGCATCTTTAAATATTGGATATCAGGAGCCCATATTTTTACGGTAAGATAACAACATCAACATTTGACTAAAAGTCTGATAAAAATCCAGTATTCTCTTGTAAATTTCACATACTAGTATTTCGACATGTCACTTTCTCAGAACATAAACATTACGACTACGCCTGCGTCAAATGCAACACTTGCATATCGCATTGGGGTAGACAGTTACTTTACAAATAAGGTGCATTCGGTTAGAAATGTCTTGTGAAGGAGAATTCGCTCGTTTGTTTCACAGCAATAATACTTATTAAGGCTTTACACTGTGAAACTTGTGTGAAACTATATTGTTTTTGTTTGGATTAATATGTTTTTTTTTCTTCTGTTTCCATCTTGCTTATTTCGCAGAAAATATGCTGTGTGTCTAAAATAATCTGTGATTAGGTCTAATCAGTAGGACCATCATAGATTTATTCTCCGATTTTCTGACCAATCATATTGAAACGACCTTTATTTTGAAATGAAATGAAATGGGGTTTAATGTCCTTCTTATCTGCTTCTGTTGGTCTAATACAGTTTTCCATTAGATTATTTTATCAAGGACAGCAGCACTACGGACTACTCTTTATTTCGAATTCCGACTGTAAGGCTTTTTTCGCACCTTCCGTTCTGCACCACTGACAAAGGGTAACCAACTAGGCAGGAAAATCCAGATGAACCTTCTCGGTCAAAAATACGAGCGAACACAAGAGCTCCTGGTTAGCGAGCCAGCATCTTACCAACTAAGCTCCCTTTATTCATTTTAAACACCATACATTCCCCTTTCAAACACACTCTTTGCATACTCAACTTACGCTTGTCAGCCTATGAATATATATATTTTCGAGCCGTAAAGCGTGCATGTTCCTGAAGCAACGACCAAGAGTTTACAACCTTGATATGATGTTCGGAAAAAAACCCCGCGGCCTTCCTTGTTGGTGACTGACGCCCCCCCCCCCCCCCAGCGCCAACTCTGGCTACCGGCCTGTTCATAAGGTGGATACATGATTTTTTAAAAGGGGTGGGGGTGGGGTTCAGCCAAACCAAAGTCTCGTCGAGCTAATGGAGGACAGCATATTTGGTGACGCTTTCAAGCGATTATGTAGGGAAAAACACAAGGCAAAGTCGACTAGCAAGTGGTAGGTATCCCCATGGGCACCAACTGTGCACCTTTGCTTGCTGATTTGTTTCTCTATTCCCACGAAGCCGATTACATACAGGCACTCGTAAAATCAAATAAACGATTAGTCAGACATTTTAATTTCACTTATCGATATATCGATGATGTTCTATCACTGAATAATCCAAAATTTAGTGATTATGTAGAATTCATATATTCTGATGAGCTCGAAATTAAAAACACTACTGACTGTGACAATTATTACACTTCCTACTTGGATCTGCGTCTCGATTTTGACAATTGCCATAAACTTAGTGTTAAATTGTACGATTAACGTGATGACTTTGACTTTCCGATTGTTAACTTTCCATTTATTAGTAGTAACATTCCAATATCACCAGCTAATGGAGTGTTTGTGTCTCAACTAAATCGTTACGCGAGGGCTTGTTCATTTTATTCTGATTTTTTAAGTAGATCGAGGCATTTGTCATCTAAGCTTCAACTACAGGGATACTTGCGAACTAAACTTATTAAAACCTTTAAAAAGTTTTATGGGCGTCATTTGATTGGTAAATATAACATGTCTCTCTCGGCTATTATTCTAGATATATTTAATTGACGCGTATACTATCTCCCTGATAATGTCTGTCTACTACATCGTTAACACTGTTCATCACGTGCATTTTGCATACCGATAGTCCATTCATTGTCCAATCACGCTATTTTACCGAGATTTCGCCTAATAGTTTGGATGCAGCTATGGCGGGTGTGGCGCCAGGCAGGGTAAGCTTACTCTTCCGGACACCTGTTACCACTGTTTGTCGTGTATTTTGTACACGGTGAACAGTCCATCCATATGCTGATTACACTATTTTGCCTTATTACACTATTTTGCCTATACCGTTTTTTTAGTACTTCGAATTTTGTCTAATGGTTTGGATTGTTCGTACTTGGTTTTATTTTATTTGTTGTATTCTTTGCTGCAGTTTCATATGTTCACACAATATTTCCAACAAAGAGATGCAAGAAATGAAAAGCAGCCAAGTTCAAAGCGGAGCGAACTTAATAATTGTATTTTAGGTCTTTGAAGCTTTATAATTACAAATATACTGTTCATCGAATTCCATCGAAACATGAAATAGACACAATTTATGTTTATATAATGACATGCCAAGCGGGGCGAGGCGAACAACTTTATTAAAAATGATAATTACATTTTCATCTTCCAGGTGACCGGCCTACGTCTGGAGTCTTATTTAGAGGGCCAATCTCGATTATATTTTGGGGAATAAAACTGCTTAATTTTGTGTTGAAAGCTCTTAAAATCCTTTACCTTAGGGTCGAGCAACTAAATCAATTTACGTGATACGTTTTCAAACATCTTAATCCCGCCAGTCTTCATCTGGAAACGGAGACCGGTGTCCCAAGCTGTATTATACGATGTCTGGATAAAACCAGACTTTTATTTTATAAAAATAACGTGTGGGTGAAATGTACCTTTCGTCAACAAGTACAGCACGTGGTTCATGCACTGTTAGATCTCTAAAGCAACGGCAATAGATTATCAGGTCACCCAAAGAAAAAAATGGAATCGAACCCTTAAAAGGGTTACGTATCTGGATAAGCGGTTTTGACGTTGACGTCTAAACGACTCAATATTTCGAACTGAAATTTTGAGACAAGGTAAATACACCATTCTTCTATATTTTGCAGCTTGAATTTCATACGTACACTTTTGTTTCTGAGACTCTGTTCAAATCCGGGATGTTCCCTTTAAATAGAAATATTACAAGTTTATACAAAATTGACAAATAATGATAAATTCGGATGTTAATCCGTGAGAATTTTCTATTGTAGTGAAGACAATTACACCTCCGCACCTCCCCATTGTGAACTCAACTAGGTCGCTTGTGATTACATAAAATCAGTGATTTCAATGTTTGATTTACAATCAAATTTTAAATTTTAATTTTATCGTTGACTATGAGAAATTTTAGTCTAAGATTTGCTAATCTGACTCAACTAGGTCGCTTGTGATTGTATGAAATCAGTGATTTAAATGTTTGATTCACAATCAAATTTTAAAACTTAATTTTAATCGTTGACGAAGAGAAATTCCAGTCTAAGATTAACAAATCTGACTTTTGAGAATGCCAAACTTCAACTACTAATCTCTAATTAGCTAGTTAGTGATTAGATCTATAAACACAGATTATTTTAGACACTGTTCGAAAATATGAACCTTAAATACTTTCTGACAAAGTATCGGAAATTTTGTGAACCCGGTCATTTAGCTACCCAGGAAGTAAACAATATTTACGGCTGTAGAAACATGAAGTCCTCTTGGAGTGATTATTGTCGGAAACCCCGTATGGACCAGTTACCATTATTCAAATGATATGGTCATTTCAAGAAATACCTAGACTCTTCCATACTTCTACACTCTAAAGGTGTACCATTTTTCAAAGTTAAGCAGCTTTTGAAACATAAAGATGCGACGTATCAAATAGAGTACAAACAGTTGAGCTATAGTTCATAGAAGGGCGAGGTCATCTCTACCCAAACTACGTCATTTTGTGGTTTTCATATTATTATATTACAATTTTATTTCAGTAAGTCCCTTGCGTTTATGGGTCTTTAGCAGGAAATCGGAGAACCAGGAGAAAATCCATGAGGTTTGGTAGGCGACCCTTCTCCTTGTCACGAACACGCTTGGGGTCGAAACGCATGTGTTAAACCACTGACCCCCGCCATTTCCTTCTCTGGAACCTGTTTTATATGTAACTTATATTTTGCTTTCTTGTAAATTAGGGATAAAACTACCAGTTTCCTTAAAACAGTTCTTGTTTATGTATGCATTTAATAGACATAGAACATTTTGGATTTCAGTTTGAATAATTTCAGATATAGAAAAATGTTCTATCTCCAAAAAAAAAGTCGTTTTGGTTTTTCTAGCTTTGTTTATCAGTATTTCTTCTAGAAATGATACTCCAAACTCAGATATTTTTCTCAAAACAGAGTCAGACAACGAATTGAAGTGAAACGGTCATGTATTGTGGCCTGACAAGGACAGCTGTCTAGTCATTCGGATGGAACGAAAAACCGAGGTCCCGTGTACACATTGGCGTGCACGTAAAAGATCTCTTGACTGTTGGAATTGGATAAAGAGTAGGCCGTAGTTCTGCTGTCCGGGCAAAATGTCCCTCATAGCACACTGTGTCGTATGCCCGTCGTCATTATCCCAGTTCGATGCAGAACAGTAGGACGTTAAAAACCCATTTCATTTCATTTCATGTCACGTATTGTGTTTAATAACAGCTACAAGTCCTTAATATCGATCGAGTGAACCGGTGTATTTATGTCAAAAAACAATCCAATCAACAATAGTGTCAATATACTTGTTGCTATGTAAATACACCAATCTGTGCTCCACTGAAGATGTGTCTGCCAACACCGAATAGAAGTTTGTGTGGACTACTAAACTGTGTTTTTTCAAAGGTAAGTGATGAAATGTTTAGAAAATAGATGCTCCAACAAATATTTAACTTTGACATTCACAACGTAACAACGATGCAGTGTAGTGTGCGACGAACAATTAATCCATTTTAACTAATGTATATAAGTATGCATTTGGCTATGTTTAATCTTAATGTATGGTCATCCAACTTTATGTAATGTGTTCATATTAATTATATATTATATTCCTGGCCTGAACTTTCATGACTCAAAATATTACTTATTAGAGACACGAACGAGCTCTACAAATCGACCAACTAAAACCATGTGAAAGAGAGAGAGAGAGAAATGGGGTTTAACGTCCACTCGACACAAACTAGGTCATTTCGGGACTAACATATGGTTTTAATTTTATTTCTATAATTCGCTTGCGCGTAGGGGTCTTTAGCAGTGGGAGGAAACCGGAGGACCCGGAGAAAACCCACGAAGTTGGGCAGGCGACCCTACTCCTTGTCACGTACAACCGGGGATTCGAAACCACGCCAATCGACTCAATGACAGACTTTATGATACAGGGCGCGCACGCTAACCATTCAGCCATCCACCCCCACCCCCCATGTGAAAGACATGTTACAAGTCGTACCTAAAAGGTAAAAGGCGGTTGTCATGCAAGATACGCCCACATTTTGCAAGAGATGGACGGAGAACAAGCTCTAAAAAGGAAACAATTTTTCGTACAATCAGGGGCCATAATCCAGGAAGTTACGGTACGATATGCGTGAATAAAAATAGGATAAAAATTGTGACCATAGGAGGGTCCACAACCTTGGTATTACATACTTTTACACTATTTGCGTAAAAGGAGCGACCATTTTGTCGAGCAGTTTCTTTCCGATTTTTTATGGTGTAACGGTGGTATAATTAAACGGTTTTTAAAATCGGATAAAAGTTGTGACCTCTAGAGGGTCCACAAGCTAAAAACGCGATTTTTCGTATAATCAGAGGCCATAATCCAGGAAGTTACGGTCAGATATGCGCGAATCGCGAAATGAACCGAGATCGTTGGGACATAAACACAAGTTTCATCAAAATCTGATAAAATATTGTGACTTCTAGAGGGTCCACAACCTTGGTTTTTACATACTTTCACACAATTTGCGTACAAGGAGCGGGCATTTTGTCAGGTAGTTTCAGCCGTCATTAGGGTGTAACGGTGATATATTCAATCAGCGGTCCCGTCACACTATTTGCTTTGAATTAACATTGGATAATCCGGCCTTCAATCAGTGTTCCTGTCACACGATTTGCGTTGAATCAAGATTGGATAATCCGGCCTTCAATCAGTGGGTGTTAACCGACAAGAAATCACCAATCAATTAAAAAAACATGTGTCGGTCTTTATTGATTATCTTGATAATTTAATAATCTCTTGTAAGAGATACACAAGTTGTTATTCACTGACCGGTGTCTACAATAAACTCATCAAATTATTTTTAATACTGGGCAAAGTTTTACAAAAAATAAGGATTTAAAGGAATGCAAGATTTAGATACTGTAAGACAAGGAGTTAATTCTACAAGAAAGCAATGTGAGCATGACCTGAAGGAAGTGACATAAATGTGTATTGAAATTAATGGCTCACTACAAACATTCATATACAAATCCAAGTTTGATTTAATTGCCTCATGGATTGTAATTACTTTGTTGGGTACATGAATAATTTTCTATTTAATTAATAAGCATATTTGGCAGTATTGCTGTTGAGACCATATTAGTTATTGATTAGAGTAAACCCATTAAAATTGATTTTTTTTTATCTCGTGACCATTTCAAAATTAAGACTGAAAGATAATATTATCATACAATTATAATTGGCTAGAGTCATCTGTTTAACTTATTTTTTGATATTTGTTATCACCAGAAACCAGCGGCTGCCAGGCAGGATATGCCCACATTTTGGAAGAGAAGGTAGAGAACAAGCTAAAAACAAACAGGATTTTTTGTACAATCAGGGTTAATAATCCAGAAACTTATGGTCTGAAATGCGCAAATATCAAAAGGGACCAAGATCTTTGGGATATAAAGATATGCTTTAAGTTTCATCAGAATCGGATAAAAATTGTGACCTCTAGCGGGTCGACAACCTTCGTATTGCATAGTTTTACAAAATTTGCGTACAAAGAGCAGCCATTTTGAGGGGCAGATTCATTTCGATTTTCCCGAAATTCGAATTCAACCTTCATTATGGTGGAATGGTGAAATATTTAAACGGTTTTTAAAATCGAAAAAAAAAAACTGTGACCTCTAGAGGATCCACAAGCTAACAACGTGATTTTTTCGTACAAAAAAGATCACAATCCAGGACGTTACATTCCTATATGCGTGAATATCGAAAGGAATTGAGCTCTATGGGTTACAAACAAGCATTTCAAGTTTCATCTAAATCGGATAAATATTGTGATCTCTAGAGTGTCCTCAATCAGGGGCCATGTATTAAATTTCATCAAAATCGGATAAAATTGTGAGGGTCCACAACCGTGACATAACATACTTTTTTACACTATCTGCGTACAAGGAGCGGCCATTTTGTCAGGCAGTTTCGGTCTGATTCCAACCGTCATTAGGATGTAATGGTGGCAGATTAAAACTTTTTTTAAAACCGGATGTAAATTGTGACCTCTCGAGGGTTCACAAGCTAAAAACGCGATTTTCGTACAATCAGGGGCCATAATCCAGGAAGTTGCGAATATACGCGAATATCGGAAGGAATTGAGCTCTTTGGATTATAAACATACATTTCAAGTTTCATCTGAATCGGATAAACAGTGTGACCTCTAGGGTGTCCACAAACTAAAAACGTGATTTTTTGTACAATCAGGGACCATAATCCATGAAGTTTCGATCCGATACATGCCAATATTGATAGGTACCGAGATCTTTTGCAGATAAACATATAACGCATCACTTTTTTTCCCAAATATTTTATTACTAGGTGGTTTTGTTTGTATAATATTATGCAATACTATGAACTATTGTTTCACACAATGCTCCCAAAGGCAAAAAATATCGGCCCGTGTGCAAAAAAAAAAAATTGCACGAGATGCACTTGAAAAACCCAATATTCACGTGCAGCATTGTGTGTGAGCCCTTTAAAAGCATTGTTTTCAACTTAATGTGCAGTACATGAACTGTGAAACGTCAATCTGTCGTAATTTGTTGTTGGACGTGTGAAGGAATCAAGCTAGAGATGCCGAGACTTACTGAAAATCAACGGAATGAAGCCATGGGAATGTCCAGGGCTGGCATGTCTACACGTGCTATTGCCAGGCACTTCAATTGTCATCAGTCCACTATTGTAAGGTTGGTGGAACGTGTTCGAGTTACTGGATCAACACGTGACCGTCAACGTCCTGGTCCACAACGCGTTACAACCCAGGCTCAAGACCGCTACATCCAGGTCACTCATCTGCGTGACAGATTCCGCCCATCTACTCGTCGGAAGACAAGGACCAGTAAGTGCCAATACCGTAAGACGTCGTCTAAGAGAAGTAGGACTCCGTGCACGACGACCTTATGTTGGAGCTATCCTCAGGGATCATCACCGTCAGCGGCGTTTGATACGGGCTCAAGGACACCAGACATGGAGAAGAGTAGACTGGCAAAGTGTGCTCTTCAGTGATGAGAGTCGCTTTCATCTTTATTACGCTGATGGCCGTCAACGTTTGTGGAGACGTCTTGGGGAACGTCTTGCAGACTGCTGCGTCTTCGAAACGAATCGATGGGGTGGGGGAAGTGTAATGGTGTGGGGAGGCTTCACATTTCATCACCGTATGGACTACCTGGCTGCTAACAACATCAATGTCTTGGACTGGCCAGCCATGTCTCCGGACATGGAACCGATAGAACATGTCTGGGATGAGATTGGACGCCGTCTGTATCGGAGACCACAGATGTACACCATTGCTGCTTTAGAATCTGCTCTTGTCCAAGAATGGAACAATTTGCCCCAGGCCTTCTTTCAAACATTGGTAAATTCCATGCGACGTCGCTGCACAGCGTGCGTAAGAGCCCGTGGAGGACACACGCGCTACTGACATCTGTGTCGTACTTTTGGTTTTAACCCCTCTGACTTTGTACCGCTGATTACAGATTAAACATCCATAAGTGTACAAATGTGTTGTTATTGATGTGTTCCCATTTGAATATTGTTTACAATAAGAAGCAAAATAAATAAGATGTTTACAGGGTCATTTTGTTATTCGAAAAACTAAGTGATGTGTTTTCCATAGCGCTCAGTATTATATTTTAAGTTTCGTAAAAATCGAATAAGAATTGTGACCTGTAGAGTGAAGGCGTATAAAAATAACGATTAATTTAAAATCCGCCATTTTATATTCCATTTTGACAGCCACTTTGAAATTTACCATGTTGGATTTTCAAAATTCATTTTTAAATCCAGAGACATCGAAAACCATATAAAAGACATAGATAGTAAAAGTCATATTTTACGAGATTGTGACTGGTTATACGGGGACAATGGCATTTTATTATCAAAATTTGGCAGCCATTTTGAAACAATTGTCGGTACTTTGTGAAAAATAAATTTTCTGAAATTTGTTTGCTCAAATTTAGTATTTTCGGAACAGTTCCCATTTATTACCACTTTGTATATAAGATTTTAATAAAAATCTATTTATTTTCCCACCACTAAAACGCACATGTTAAAGATATCGCTCTCAGAAACTTCCTGGAGACTGCCATATTGAATTATGTTAATTACGTCATTTCGCCTTGGCAGACTTCGACTGAATTTGAGTATGATGTTGTCAAATATAAGTATGATTGAACCAAACTGCATTGGTTTCTTTTGCAGTTTGTTAGGGGTCACTCCACTTTTGAGATTAACTTGCCCCGCCTAATTATGGGCCCCGATTGTACGAAAGATCGCGTCATAATTTGTATTTGATTTTATATCTACCAATAATTAGATTTTAAACTACCTAGGATCACAATCTTCGTGTCTGAACCTGCATTTTCAAAGTCAAGTTATGCAATTATGACATTTATAGAAAAGGCACCATATTATGGCAGTCATGCTAGATTTTCAAAATTTAGGCTATGTAAAAACTAGTAGTAGCTTCTAAACTACATAGGATTGCCATCTTGGAATGCATAAACTTACATTTTGAGGGTCTAGAAAGATAATTATGCCATCCAGAAAAGAATTATATTGCTGCTATTAACGCAATTTAGCTTTTATCCAAAGGATCTTTATAACTTATATTTCCGTGTTACTTTTTTCGTCTATTTCTAATTCGTTAATACCAAGGTTAGTGGGTTAATCATTTTTTTAATCCTTATTTTATTAGATTTGTTTTCCTCTACTTTCATGTCCTCGGTCCACATTCATATGAGTGTGTGTGTGTGGGGGGGTGTGTGTGGGTGGGTGTGTGGGTGTGTGTGTGAGTGTTTGGAGGGGTGGGTGTGGGGGTCTTTTCCTGGGAACAGGGGCGTGCTGGCAGGGAGTTTAGGAGGACGGTGTCCTCCCAGGCACCCATTCAACAATAAGTCCACCCGTATAAGCGGGCCCCCCTGAGAGCTCTAATTTTCACGCGGAATCCCCTCAAAAAATTGAGAGTGCGCACGCGAAAAATCATACATGCACAACGATTAGTAAAATATATTATGCTGACGTGCAAATGTCTGTCACCTTAAGGTGAAATGGTCTTTGATTAAAAATTTTGCCGACTACAGCAAAATCATAAAGTGGAGTCAGAGAAAGGTAGCATCCTACAGAAGAAGAGTACATACAGGAAACAGGCACAAGCAAAAACAAAATAATTTAGGTGGGTTGTCAAATTTCAAAAATTTTCTGGGGTGACAACCCCACCAGACCCCCCTACCAGCGGCGCGACTTCCGCCATTATACCTAAATGTCGTAAAAATTAATATTGATTCGTTTCGCCTTTTTTACTTGAGCGCAAGTCTTAAAACTTTCAGGGTTTTCCCGAAGATTACGCCCCATTTCATACTTTCTGGTTTTACGAAGCTAACATAATTTGTTATTACAGTAATACCGGGTAGTAGTTACGTGGTGTTTGCTATTCAGTTGAGGATTAGCCTACATCCGTCTTTAAACACCGAAGTTGTTCGTTAAACATCACATTATTAGGCGAAGCGTTAAAGAGGGGATGTTTATTTTTTAAAGATAAAGAAAAAAATACGGCTTGTGAATATTTTAAACCGAAAATAGGGCTTCAAGTGATATTTCATGTAAACTTTAAGATAGTGCAGATTATATATTCAATTTATGGTGAGATTTGTATTTCTATATTCTACCCTTTTAAAACATTATATTAATAGAAATGTTGGGAGGGGGTAGGATCTCTTAGTACCAGGGTCTTGTGTTTCATATTCTCTCATAATGTACCAATGTGGAACACGCATGTGTCTAAGAGATCAGTAATATACATTTGTCGAATATATCAATAATAATATACATAATGTCGAATATATCAATAGTAATAATTATTATGCATAAGGTTGAAGAGATCAATAGTAATATACATAATGTCGAAGAGATCAATAGTCATATACATAATGTCGAAGAGATAAATAGTATACGTATTTCCAAGGACAATCAACGGTTTTCATTATCCGTTTAAAACCCATACGGCACACAAACTACATAAATAAACAATGGAACGATTTATTTAAAACGTCTGACGAAAAGTAGGACATTATACCCCAGTACAATCATTCATTCATACTTTAAGCACCATGTGGGTCATATCGAAATATAATACCGTCTTCATTAGTCCAGTCGGAGCTCAAAACATTGGCGACCATGGAGACCAGAGTTCTATATCTGGCGTTTCCAGCACGCTTTTACCACGCTTATGACGATCTTGACGCTCTGAAACCATTTTCCGTCGCAGTAGCAGCGCATGGACGCCACCCCGATCTGACGAGGGTATAACTAAGTCCTCGATCGCGCACTCACCACACGCAAAACTTCTATCGAGACTCTCATTACGCTACCTCCGCTCTCACCACACTTTTACACCACGACCTCGCTACGCGGGTACGTGAAAGGAGAAGGGTCGCCTGTCCAATCTCCTGATTTTTTCCCAGTTCCTCCAGTTTTCTCCCACGGCAAGTTTATTGTCTCTCAATGATTATATTTTTTACTCTGAATAGATAAAACATGTTCCTATATATCTGAACAGATGTAAAAAAACAAACATGTTCCTATGTATCTGAATTGCCTTCGTTTGCCATTTTATTTACAGACATTGTTTAAAAGATCATATCACCATATATCCAGATACATGTAGTTGTTTTCTATTTTTTTTTTATACTTGAATAGTGTTGAAAATCGTCGTGTAAACATGCACACTATTTTTGTGAAGAAAAGTGATGGATAGAGTGTCATTGAGGTATTAATACTAACAAAACGAGACCCACAATAGTCACAGGCGCCTGTAACGTGGAAAATATTTCAAAAAAAACATTAAGCTATGACTAAGTATGTCTAAAGTCTGTTACGTTATCAAATATCTGGGTCTGATACCAATTTCTATCATCGTAGACTCGATTGTCTACCTAGCGAAATTTAGTAAGTGTTGCCACTGGTTGACGGATTCTAGAGTAGAGAACTTTGATCCCAATTATTTAATTCCAATCCGTTTCTCACCCTGGTATTATTATATCTACTGAAAGAGAATCGGTTTCAGACGAGTTATTTGCCCCTGATTTATAAGTTGGAATCAGACCAGTTATTTTATAATCTCGCTTAGGAACATGAGCGTAACAGACTTTAGACATATACTTAGTCATAGTTTGATGCTATTTTTGAAATATTTTCCACGTTACAGGCGCCTGTGACAACAGTGTCTCTATTTTGAGTATGCAGTTACTTGTAATGAATATAATCTGTGCATGTTGATATTAAAGTTAGTTGATCGATCCAAGCTACTGGTAGAAGCCGATTTCCTTACCTGGCAACGTGTCTTTTTACTGGGCACCGACAATGGGGTTCATTTCTGGTATCTTTTCAAAAGGTGTTTTGTATCCTCTAAATAAAATCATCAGCTCATGTATATCTTTACAGGGAAATGGTAGGAATATTAAAGTCTTTTCATATTTATTATTCCGTTAGTTTACTCATTTCTTTATTTTTTTTCTTTCAGAAGAAGTCTGTAGTGGTTGTTTTAGCTTTAATGATATCAACATTCACATTATATATGTATGGAGTTTTATTCCCAAATTATTATTTTAATATCAGATATTTACAACGTAGCAACCAAACATCGATTAGCAATCAAACATCGATTCGTAATCAAATATCGACTCGCAATCAAACGTCGATTCGGAATCAAATATCGATTCGCATTCCAATATCAGTTCAAAATCAGCAAAATACAGTGGTATCCACAATCCCGAATAGCAAGATGCAAGTGGTTACTACAGGAACACTAACTGCGATTTCTCGACTCAAGGGAACAACCCCGGGTCCCCAATCTAAAAACTTTATTGTGTATACGTGTGGTCGTGGGGGATTGTGTGGTGGATTCGGGGACAGACAAAAGGGGATAATAGCAGCTTATCTTATTGCAAATATTACTAGAAAAAATTTTAAAATTGAAATAACTACACCCTGTAATATTTGGATGGCATTAAAAGCCAAAAATAAGAATTTGGTTATACATAAGGATGAACTCAAAGATCGTAAATCTACAAGTCGATACTTCATTGACGGTGGGGGCTTCAGTCTTCGTCAAGAATCAACCACCTCAGACATCCGGTCTAGATTTAACAACGACGTAGTTTATTTTAGAACAAATGTTGATTTCGTGCGCCATCTTAATTCCAGTAAATTTTACACCAAAGAACTTAGTTGGATGAAGAGCATGAAAAGACATGAAGTATATAAATATATTTGGGAAAAGTTGTTCACGCTGACTGAAAAGATGCAAAAACGCCTTGACGATTTTCTAGCAAAACGATCAGACAAAAAACTTGTCTGTGCTCAAGTGAGAATAGGAAAGAACCCTTCCAATATGCAAGACCCCATGATGACTGATATTAATAAAATTGGTGCTTTTTGGAAATTCTTCGAAAAATATAACGATGCGTCGAAATATAGATTTTTTGTGACAACAGACGCCGGAAAAGTGAGGGATGTTGGTAAAAGTAAATTCCCAGGATTAATGTTGGATACACAGGGTCCTATTGTACACGTGGAGCGGTCCCGTGTAAACGATATGTGTGGTGGTCAAGAAAAGGTGATTTTAGATCAATATATTTTAGCACTTTGTGATATTTTGGTAATTAGTAAGAGTGGATTTGGGCGAGTGGGTGCTTTTCGCCGTGGTACCAATAAAGATTTATATCTATTTGAAAATGGAGAGATAGTTAGAACTGATATGGATACAGACCAGTTTATACCCGGTGGATGGTAAACTACGTGTATACTGGAGATGGGGGGGGGCGTTTAATTATGAATTGTGAAATGAAACATTTAACAAGATACACCCACATTTTGCAAGAGATGGATAGATAGCCATTCACTATAAAATGTATGCAGTGATTGGACAATGAAACGGGTGTTCGAGACAATATACCACCGGTAGGGCGTGTGTATTACGAATCATATCGACTAAAGTAATTATGTATTGTTCAATGGTCGAGAGAGAGAGAGAGAGAGAGAGAGAGATGGGGTTTAACACCCACTCGACACAAACTAGGTCATTTCGGGACTAACATGTGGTTTTTAATTTTATTTCAATAATTCGCGTGCGCGTAGGGGTCTTTAGCAGTGGGAGGAAACCGGAGGACCCGGAGAAAACCCACGAGGTTGGACAGGCGACCCTACTCCTTGTCACGTACAACCGGGGATTCGAAACCACGCCAGTCGACTCAATGACAGACTTTATGATAAAGCGCGCGCACGCTAACCATTCAGCCATCCAACCCCCCTTCAATGGTCGAAAGCGACATATTAAGTAATATATTGTAATAACAAGAGGGCCGTAATTATTTGAAATAATGGTACGCCAACATCAAAGGTTGACGTCACATCTGTATTTTAAAAAGCAATATTAGACAGATCTATATTATATGGTACTTATCATAGCCCAACATCATTTCATTTGGATAAATGTTAATGCAGATACTTCAAAACAAAAACCGCTTGCTATATGAAATACATTCAGCCATGTTGAGTCAGTCAAAATTTGGGTGTTCGATCCTTGCATTGGCCGAGAAAGTTCATCGGAATTTTCCGGCGTGGTATCCCCAAATTGTCAGTGGTGTAGATATAATACAATATCATTCGGGATCTAAAATTTAATATTGTATTTTGAATTCATATTTTAATTTATATTTTTCATTTGTAACTCATTTTGACAGATGTGGCAGATTAATTGTAAAATTTAATCTATGGCAGGTGTGGGGGTTATGACATAGTATTATGTAACATGGGTTTGTCTTTAGACAAGTATATGATATAAGATTTAAGTATTGTTAACAAGTATTAACACCTATTGGTTAGTGTTAAGATGTGTGACTCTTAATAATTAGTTTTCATTGTTCTGATTACTAATGCTATTAACTATGGCGTGCCTATAGCTGACGCGACAGATATTGCTGCACATTATAAAAAGCCTAGTTGAGAATCGGGTCTAGGCAGACCTAGGAGAGACCTAGAGAGACATAGAGGGAATTCGGTCCGGACCTCGGGAGAGTGCATGCCCTCGACCCCGGAGAAGTTGGGCTTCTGCGACCTAGGAGGGACAGCTGTAGATAGACGTTACTATATCTAACCACAATGACTTTCATATGTAGAGTTGTACATGTTAATATGTTATCCAGTATTAAAATATCTGTTTAATAAAAAGAGTTATGTATTCTATCACACAGAACGGAGGGCCTGACAAGAACAGCTGTCTAGTCCTTCGGATAAGACGAAAAACCGAGGTCCCGTGTATACATTGGAATGCACCTAAAAATCCCTTGGCAGTTGGAATTCGATATAAGAGTAGGCGATAGTACTGCTGCCCTGGCAAAATTTCCCTCATAGCACACTGTATGGCGTACATGTATGCCCGACTTCATTAGCCCAGTATAGGAGCAGAACAGTTGGACGTTAAACCCCATTTCATTTCATTTCAGTCAAAATTTTAATTATCCATAAAAAAATTTTTATGAAATCATTAAAACTTTGGTTATGACTTGTAGAATATGCATATTTATAACATCTTTCCTTGCTGATCACTTCTTGCAATACTTAGGGCGATATTTTAAAAACAACGGTCTCTTGTCGGTGATTAGTAGAACCGCTAGAAGTATCCTACTATCAAATCAATTGTGAAGATCAGAGGAAGCCAATCTTTTATCTCAAAGACCGTATCAAGGGAAGTAATCGATACGTTTAAAACCAATGTCATGTAGGAATGATTGATTGATTGTATTAAACATACATCATGCAAGAGCTAAATCTGCATATTGCAGGCCTTTCTTTAAGCCTGAAATGTTTTCTGAATTATTAATTAGACATTAATTAACTTATCCAGGCCATAATCAACTCACGGTGGCATCGGATTTCTCCGATATTAAATAGATTAGAACAGTTCAGCCATATTTTGATTTAAGGGCAACGTAAAGTGACAAAAATTGTCACAACACCTGAAATGGGGGGGGGGGGCTCAAAAAACCATTCATAACACCTTTAGTGCCTTTATTTTGGTGTCTAGACGTGCTTGAGATGATACTGAACAATAAAAAATTGATGAAAATCAAAAATAATGACTTTGGAATTTGTAACTTTGGAAAATATGAAGCAAATATACCATTCAGCACTGCGCAGCTACAGGGTAAACAACTCAACATGGGAAATTACAAAGTCTCACAGAGATACCTGAATATATACACTACAACCATCAAGACTTCAAATTTTGAAAACTATCTTTGTTTTAGCACACCACGTCCATATAATTAAAAAAAACAGCGGCTGCCAGGCAGGATACGCCCACATTTTCGAGAGATGGATAGAAAACAAGCTAAAAAGAAAGTGATTTTTCCTACAATCAAGGACCATAATACAGGAAATTACAATTCGATATGCGCAAATATCGAAAGGAACCGAGATCTTTGGGTTATAAACTTACATTTCAAGTTTCAACAAAATCGGATAAAAATTGTGACCTATATAGGCTCCACAACCTTGATATACCATATTTTTATGCTATTTGAGAACGAAGGACGGCCATTTTGTCTGTCACTTTTGGGCCGATTTTCACGACATTCGAACTCAGCCGTCCTTAGGGTGTAACGGTGATATAATAATGCCGTTTTTTTAAATCAGATAAAAATTATGACCTCTATAGGGTCCACAAGCTAAAAACGCGATTTTTCGTACAATCAGGGGCCATAATTCAGGAAGTTACGGTCCGATATGCGCGAATATCGAAAGGAAACGAGGTCTTTGGGTTATAAACTTACATTTCAAGTTTTAAAAAAATCGGATAAAAATTGTGACCTCTATAGGGTCCACAAGCTAAAAACGTGATTTTTCGTACAAACAGGGGCCATAATCCAAGAAGTTTCGATCCGATACATGCCAATATCGAAAGCAGCCGAGATCTTTTGGAGATAAACCTATATTTCAAGTTTCGTCAAAATCGGATAAGAATTGTGACCTGTAGAGTGTCCACAAACAAATTGTGGACGGACGGACGGACTTCCCGACGGACAGAGGCGACGACAATATACGTCCCCATGAAAATGTGGGCGTATAAAAATTTCAAATATCCTCCATTTTTTTCAAGGGACTACTTCCAGACTTTTTGTATGGAGTACCATCATAAACATCATTTGGATTAAATGTTTCAGGTCTGTATGGAAAATTGTAAATACTGCATCACAATTTCCTTGAAACTGCTTTTGGTTTTCAGCAATTTTTTTTATAATGAATACACATTGTTATCATTTGTATTACTTATTAATTCACCCCTTGAAACTTTGTGCCAGGAACCATAAAGATGCACTGACATTTAAAGATTGGACATTTTTACTAAGTTTTACAGTAAAATAATTAATTTAAATTTTATTCAATATTTATACATTGTTTAATCTTAGATTGTACACTAATAGTCCAATATTGAATGTGGAAAGGACCAGCTGAATGATTGATTGGAAAATATGATGTGTTTCAAATGGTACCCCATAGAAATGAATTTGCCCCACAAAAATTATATCTAGGTAACAAATTCTATATCAAACCCTCAAAATGATTATTATTCGAACATAAATGAATAATGATCTATCCAAAGTTTAGAAATAAGCCTTTTTACTAACATTGTCAGCTATGATAGCTTAGATTTTTACAGTTCTGTTTTCATCAATTTACAGAACGGTTCATATGAATAATGTTGATATTAAAAGATGTGACAGTTCTTGCAACTGAAGTGCAATAGTCTATAATATTACGATTTACCACCTGATGTAAGGATAATTGTGATAGTAATAGTCAAAAAGTATTTTCTGCATTTTTATTTACCTTTCTGTGTCGAATTACCGCTCAAAGGAAGTGTTGCTCGCATCAATGAGTTCATGCAGGACTTATTTTTTTAATATTATCAAATCCCGTAAATGACACCTCATTTGTATTTTGATATGAATTAATCGTATTCCGCAGTTGTTAATATTAAAAAATTAAAAATTTGTATTTAAAATTAACACTTTGCTCATTGATATTAGCATAAGGTCAAGGACATACCAGATATTTGGACACGAAAGCTACCTACGAAATATTGTTTACATTTATACAACGGCGAAATGTGTTATTACTAAAGGGAATACGACATAATTGTATGTATGGTGATGTAAATGAAACGTTAGCATATCGATACAATGTTCCGCTAAGCGTTGTCAGTTTAACGATTATTCGCATCATTCGTCTAAAGATATGAAGGGTCATTTTCAAGATTGAAAAATAAAATGGCGGATCCCAACCCCGTGGTAGCAAGGACGTGGAAATCTCACAAGGAAATAGGAAAGCAACTCGAAAATCTAAGACACTCGACCACTGTACTACATAGGTCAGAGTATAAGTAGAGAGATAATAGCTGTCCACAAGTTTTATCGTTTTGTCTGTAGGTGTAACCGCAATTGGGCAAGAAAGTGATGAAACTGAAATTTTCGTTTACGTGATAACAAGCGGATGTACGAATTAAAGGGGTATTGACAGTGAAATAGTGTATTGTGAGTAATAGAGTTTATTTTGGACGTTTGTATCCAAGGGCCTCTATTCTGTGTTGGGAAATAATATCTTCAGCCTTGTTGGTGTTGAGACTACTATGCAACAAGATGGTGTCACTTTACCCTTGCCCTTAATTAAAAATGGAAGAGCGGGACTTAGCTTCGAACAACCAGTGCGGTGGTTGAAATTATTGCACACGTCTTGTCAAACCTTCAAAGGCTAATATCTTCGCTCGCAATAGGGTAATTTGAATGCAATTTTCAAATTATTCATTTTACGTTATCTATTTTCAAACTATTACAGCAGGAATGGCTAGCTCTTTATCTAAATCTTAGATAATGTATCTTTAAATAAAACGTTGGGTATATTGTCCTTCAAAACGTATGACTTAAAGCCTCTGATTGGTAATGGCTTAGCCATTTTAGATAAATCTATAAATTTGGTTTCCAAGTAGTTCATTAATATTTCCATTAATAAGATGAACTTGTGGTTATTTTGAATATGGTATTATTCTAAATAAATAAATTTATTTACTAATAGACGAGTTTCCTCCTACTATGTTGAATATTTTAGTTTCAAACAGTCCAACTATATTTTGATTATATATTCTAAATGTATTAATTAGACTGTGAATAATAAAACCCTCAATGAGTGAAACAGCTTCCATTACCCCATTTCTTTTAAAACTCGCTGAAGAACGTCCGGCCGATTACGTTCACCAAAGTACTTTTCATTCTATGTTTACATTTGAAATGACAGGGCGAGAATTTTGTCAGAATAGCCGCGTTTCCTTTTACTATTTTTAGAATTCTAAATGCCAAGGGATCTTTAAAGCGCATGCCAATATGTACAGAGTTTACATATTATATTGTCAGTCACACACTAGGCTTCTTCACAATGAGAACCGGAGCATGAACAACCCTGGCGGCTTATCTCCTCCCTATGGCGTGATTCGAACCCGGACATTACCGTGCTCATCACCAGACTACATTTGACACCACTCACCTTGAAATAAAAATATTAACATGATACAGTTTATTTTAATAACATGTATACGCAAATCAAATGACTTCGGTTTTATTTCACCCATCTTGTAGCATACTGGGTAGTCCGATCCTTAATGTAAATCCGTCGGCTTTTCGGGTAGAAATCGTGGAACAAGTTTTATTTTGCAGGTTTTGATGTTTGATAACTAAAAACCAATGTTGACATATTTTCTGAGTAGGTCTTCATAGTGTGGAACACCATTATTTGAAAGGCAGCCCTTTTGCGATAATATTCCAACTTATATTTTTTTTCAACTTATTTATAATCTTATCGACAGATCAACTGTGATTTGGCACTGTATTAGTATTGACAGGGGTCATGACTATATTTCAGATTTTTTCCATCACTTCATGAAGATATTTCCAAGATGGCGACCGTTTTGGGCGGGAAAATCGGACGATGTGCTGATTTTCATTAAGTAGTAGTGTTTGGTGTCAATATATATGTTTTCGGGGTCGCAGATTCCATTCCTGGCATTTACATCCTTGTAAGATGATCACGATATGCAGATTTTCATTAAATAGTAGTGTTTAGTGGCAATATATATGTTTACGGGGAGCACAGAATCCATTTCTGACATTTACAGCCTTGAAAAATGATCAAATGTTCACATACTTAGCATATTTCCAATATTGCTGCAACTTGTGGCGGGAAAACCGTACGATGTGCTGATTTCGATTAAGTAGTTGTCTTTGGTGTCAATATATATGTTTTCGGGGACGCAAATTCGATTTCTGCCATATACAACTGCATAAAATGGTCGTATGTTCACCAATTTAGCACGTTTTCTAAACACATTATTATCATTTATTTACTTGTTGTTATTTACAGGTTTCTAAGTCCAATTCTGCTACGTAGACTATTAGCTTGTAGCACATTCCTGAAAGCCGGTACCGTGTCGTACCCATTTGCTATATTATACAACGATGAAAATTCCTTATCCAAGATGACCACTGAGCTGACATCGATTTTCCCCGGAAAGAAAAGCCTATTCACCCGGTCTCCTGGCATGAAGGCAAAGAGAGCGTAACGGCAGGGTTGAGCTTGCGCCAATAAACGTGGCAAGAAATTGACACGCACCCATCATGCTTCTAACACGACCAACCAAGCGCTTGCTACACCCAGCGCGCTCCAGTCAAGATCTTACTACCCACCATGATCTTGCCGTTAGATGTCAGATCCAGATACGTCCTCACCACACTCCCGTGACGTGCCTACCAGGCGTAAGACGCCCTCTCGCCACGCCTATAACGTCTTCGTTAAAAGCAGAGAACAATCAAAAGTCAAGCAATCAAGAACAATTTTTAGTTTTCTTGATGTTTCCTCTTTGGGCGCTAAGTTGGAGCTCACGGACGATGTTCATTATCTTCCCTATATATACATAAAGGTCTTAACAGCGTAGCAAGCATGGGAAAGTGTGTGTGGGGGGGACTCGAAACGATAGGTTGTGGGGCGCTGAAAATACGTTAAAACTACGCGCACACATACAAATACCCGAGATCTCGAGAAAATTTACACAGGATGAACATTCACCCGAATTCTCGAGATCGTTAACACAGTATGGGAGATTCTCGAGAAATTTTTTAGGGGATCTCGAGAACATTAAATTGAGTTCTCGAGAAAGTATCACAGGATCGCAGGATCTCGAGGTCTTCTACAAAATTTTGCATGACCCCTATATACAGAAGCGTATAGGGGTCATGCAAAACTTGTAGAAGGTCTCGAGATCCTGCGATCCTGTGATACTTTCTCGAAATCCCGTGATCATCTGGTAATTTTCTTGAGATCTCAATTTAATGTTCTCGAAATCCCCTGATAATTTTCCTGAGATATTGACATGCTGTGTAAATTGTTTCTAGAATTCGAGTTAATGTTCTCGAGATATTGACATCATGTGTAAATTTTCTCGAGAATTCGAGTTAATGTTCTCGAGATATTGACATCCTGTGTAAATTTTCTGAGATCCCGAGTTAATATGAAACCTTATATGATAGTGTCTCCACGTTGTGAAGCAACCATTGGCCAAATACTTCGCACAAAATTTGATAAAAAAAAATACTCTAACATTTGTTACAAAGGAAAACTGCTAACTAATGAAAGAATAAACGGACAATCGATAGGGCACCCATGATGTACATTAAATTTGAAATATGATTAAAATCGATAGGGTTCATCGTCTTATTACCCCAATACTTCGCACCAAATATGAAATTCAAAACCCTACCACGTTAGCTTTAATGTGTGAAGCTTTGAATTATAGACATGCTTGTTAAATTTATTTCAGTTTAACGTGTGGGCGACGTTTAATTGAAAATGTCATATTTTGCATGGTTTTCAGACCATATTTTGTTTTAGAATAAAGCTAGACACAGAGTTTATTGTCTTGTGGCACAAATGCTTCGGAGCAGACTTACAGGAAAATAGGAATAACGCCATAACAAAACGTCAGGGAGCGCTGCAAATCAAAAAGGTTCAATGTTCCGTCGAAAGTAAATAGGGTTGTTCCTCTGCTTATGACACTAATGATTCAAAAGAAATTTGAACGATAGCCACGTAAAGTGTGGAGATACGCCCACGCGGCATTTATGCCTCAACAGCAGATTATTCGAAAGGAAAACTTGGTTGTTTATTAAATTGAATAAGGATCTAGCATTCATCAAGAAATCTAATCTCTATTGTGTTCACGTGCTTGTTATATCTCTGGGACAAAAAAAAACTAATATTGCTGAAAAGTAACATGGGTCATCCTTGTCGCGGTATTCCGATAAAAACAAGGTTTTCAAAGAATGGAGAGTATAACCCCGGAACGGAAGATAGCTAACCATTGAATATCTATAAAGTTCATGACCACAAAACTCCACACACAATTGTAAAAGTGAAACCTCTATGACGTGAACAAGGCTTTCAGGGAGCGGGGGTGGCGTGGGGGGAGGGGGGGGGCATATTAAGAATGCTGAATATCGATAGAGTTCGTCCTCTCATCGTCACATATTTGAAAAAAATACGGACAAAGAGGGTAGCACTCGAACAGAAGTTTGCGGAGTACTGAAAATCGAAAGGTCCTAGTGCTTCACACCACATTTGAAAAGCAAAATCAGTTAAAACCTGTAGCCTCTATTGCGTTGACAAGTTTTTCGGAAAAGGGGGATAACTCCAGAACGACATGGTGCGCCAGAAGCGACAGGAACCGTCCTCTCATGACACCAATGCTTTACACTAAATTTGAAACAAATCCGTTAAAAACTGCAGGCTCTATCGTGCTATTAAAGTTTTCGGGAAAGTGTGTGTGTTTCTGTGTGTGTGTGTGGGGGGGGGGGGGGTAAACTCCGAAACGACAGGTTGTGGGGCGCTAAGAATACGTTAAAACTACGCGCACGCATAAAAATACCCGAGATCTCGAGAAAATTTACACAGGATGGCAAGATCCCGAGAACTTTAACTCGAATTCTCGAGATCGTTAACACAGGATGGGAGATTCTCGAGAAAATTATTAGGGGATTTCGAGAACATTAAATTGAGATCTCGAGAAAGTATCACAGGATCGCATGATCTCGAGGTCTTCAACAAAATTTTGCATGACCCCTATACGCTTCCGTAAGATAAAAACAGTCTCAAGTACGGAAGCATATAGGGGTCATGCAAAATTTTGTTGAAGACCTCGAGATCCTGCGATCCTGTGATACTTTCTCGAGATCTCAACTTAATGTTCTCGAAATCCCCTAATAATTTTCTCGAGAATCTCCCATCCTATGTTAACGATCTCGAGAATTCGAGTTAACTTTCTAAGTAAATGTTCTCGAGATCTCGGGTGTTTTTATGCTTGCGCGTAGTGTTTGAAGTTTTGACAACATGACGTAGCGTAATTAGTTTATTATCGTAGAAACAGTACTTGACAATCAGGACTAAGTCTCGATTATTTATTCTATCTATTTAAACATACATTATGCAAGAGCTAAATATGTCTATTGCAGGGTTTTGTTTAGGCCTGAAATGTTATCTAAATTATTAATTAGACATTAATTAAGCTATCCAGACCATAATCAACTCTAGATGGCATCGCTAGCCTGCGATCCTTGGTGGATTATGAGCCGATTTACTGCATAACTTTCCATCACGATTTAACGATTAAATGGATAATCGAGACTATGCTTTTTATCGTACTGACTTTAGAAACGATGATCGAGGCTAGGCGGAAATTTCAATCGCTTAGTTTTCGTTCATAGTGGATCAATTGTGATGAAATTTTCAGCAAATTACCTCATTATCTAGTTTGTAACTATTATAGTGAGAACTGGCAACTCGTTATCGAATCTCCCATAATGTATCTTTAAATCTACTTAAAATCGGAGCCATCCGATGGCCCAGAGGGTTGATTATAGGCTTGTCGTGTTAATAAATATTTTAATAACAATTTATATAACATTTTTTAAGGCGGCCACTAGACTTGAAATTGGTCCCGCAATTAAAGACGTATCTTTAATTAATATTCAACAGACATACACTCATTTTTGCCGAAATGCTAGTTCTGTTATTAATACATCCTTCTGTTTATAAATAAATTACATATTTAATTTATTTGTGTTAAAACTAATTGAAACAATCACCAGCAATCTTTTATATATCTATCTGTCTTCACTTCAGCTGTAGTGGGTCTGGTGTCTGGGCACGCGTGTTTACCGTTCGATCGCTCCGGATAAAAGATCAATCCATTTTCACCCGTTTTAGCCAGCTCGTGCATAGCTGCTAAACGTTCTATGACGTCGTGCATTACTGACAGGTCTACCCGAAAGAAACCACTGAAGGGTGAATCGAGATCAGATACAACAAAACACAGCATGCTAATAGAGAACACGGTGATTATACACATGAGTAATTCCATTCTATAGGAGAAGGCATTCAACAGCAGTATACCAATAAATGAGAAAAAGCCAAGCGTCTCTAAAAACATCCACCTATTAAAAACAAAAAAAACATAACACTCTTATTTCAAAAATACGGATGAAATTCACAGAAGTCTGAAAGCATTATCTGATAAACGACGGAATCAGACTGAGACAATTAGGCGGGTACAGATAAAAATGCGCCTAGAACAAATTGCAATAGAAATCATTTTTTTGGGAACTATTCAGGTATGGTCTCTAGTAGGCTACTCCCATAACAAAAGCGGCCATTATCGGTCTTGGGGAAATTTCCATAACATAAATCCAAGATGGCCACCAGTGGGATTCTAATTATGAAATCCTTTCACCGATCCATAAACATAGTAGCATCATAACTTTGAACAAAAATGTGTCAAACCCTTTTCTTTATGCATGCCATCGGCGGGTGAGGCTCTACTTCCAGATTGCATGGTATTGGGAAAGGCATATTACTGAAAATAGCTCTATGCCTCTTTTATCGTCTCAGTTTCGTCAATTTGGTCGCGTTTTTACAAGGAGTTCAGTTACAGGATCTGAAAATGCTGATGTTGATGAGAAAGTGCTCGTATTGATTTATGGTGAGAAAGACGATGAAAGTTTGAACATACTGCGTTGCAGAAAGTGATCCGAGAATATAATGACAAGTTCTTCACCTATACAAGTACAGTCTCTACCTTCAACTGAAGATGCTGCAGAATGTCACAGCTGCCGAGTGTACCAGCAGGTTCAAACCTGGACTAACTTTACCATAGAACTAAATCCAGAACACTGGGGTTGACAACTTTCGAACGAAAATACGTTGCGAAGACGATGGACAGCCCTCCTGCGCCCGAATCACTGCTGAAAACCATACGTTATAACTGCAAAGGGGACGGTAATTCGAAGCGATGTAGTTGCCTTAAGCATGGTTGTGATAAGTTTAGTTATGCCTTTGAAGATGTGGACGATATTTTCTATTTTTAAAGTTTTGGTCTCATAAGCTGGCCCGGGAAACATCAGATGCGTTCTATTTCATCGATATTTCTATATTCTGAAAATAAATATCAAGATGCCGATTTTATATATTTTTGTTTTCATATTCCATGTGGGTAGACTATTCTTATCGGCTTTTATTAGATGGCTATAGATGAAATGAAATGGGGTTTAACGCCCTGCTGTTCTGCTCCGGCTGGGCATACGGCATACAGTGTGATATGAGGGAAATTTTATCCGGACAGTGGCACTGCGGCCTACTCTTATATCGGGTTTTTCGCCCCAATTAAAATGTCTATACGTTGTACTTGCTGAACTTTTTCGGCCAACACAAGGATCAAACACTGAACCTCCAGGTAAGCGAGCCAACGTCTTACTTCCTGAGGCAACGTCGTACTTACTGAGCCACCGCGGCTCCAAGCTATAGATGAACGATGATATATAGTTTCAGATTGGGTGAAGATGTGTTCTTTTATACAAATTGTACAGCGGTTCGTGGTTTCCAGCAGTTGTCCGAGCGCAGTTACATTAAAATTGGATAATGACGTCACAATGAGAACGACGCAATGCCGTCAAAATGACGTTACGGCGTTACAATAAGGTCGTAGGGAAAAAAAAATCGGCATTTTGTAACTCGTGAGTATCGATTTCCTATAGGTCCGTAATACATTTATTTGCACTGAAGTCAACCGTTTCGGAGATTTCGGCGATTTTCTGTTCCACTGGCGGCCATCTTGGATTTATGTTAATTATGCAAATTTCCCCAAGACCGATAATGGCCGCTTTTGTTATAGGAGTACTAGAGACCATACCTGAACAGTTCCCAAAGAAATGATTTCTGTTGCAGTTTGTTCTAGGTCCCCTCTCTCATATTGTTATCTCTACCCACCTAAATAGTTTTTATCCACATTGCACAAACCGGAACTTTCAAACATAAACTCGTACAGCCCGTTTCAATAAACATTTGGAACACTGCTGGGGTGATGATGGACATTTGAAATGAAATGAAATGAAATGGGGATTAACGTCCTACTTTTCTGCTAATGGAGACGGCATACGCCATGGGTCTACAGTGTGGTATGAGGGAAATATTGCCGAACAGCGGAACTATGACCTACTCTTATTTCGAACCCCAACTTCTACGGGTTATTTTACGTGCACGGAACTTTCTCGGTCAACAGCTAACGAGAACTCTTGGTTAGCGAGCCAGCGTCTCACTCACTGATCCACCGCGGCTCTCCATTTGAAAAAAGGAAGCGTACTTGCAGTTCCTGCATGCCTTTCTATTCATCAAGCCTGTTGAAACGGGGGGGGGGGGATGTCTCGAGCATTGAAGTCGTAAAAAATAACAAAAACGTTTTCGGGGCCTTCCCCACAAGAACCCCGACCCAAACCGCACCTGTTACATTAAGTCAAAAATGGTTTAGCATTTCTGAAAAGTTGAAATAAATTTCATAAAAAGCATAGATTTTTTCCTTTTATTGTCCAAATTTCTCATACTTTATCACGGGGTTAAGGGAATGAACAGGCGATCCCTCGGACACCCTTAAAGCCCCCGCAGACCAGCTAAAAGTTATTGTCCGAACAATGTTTTCCGACAAAAGTTAACCGGTGTGCGTTGGATTTCAACCCCAGTGGATATCTCTTACTGGTGGCTTGTACACGTCCTGTCAAACCTAGATGAACCACAGAGAGGATTTTACTCTTAGCTTATACTTACTTGACTGGATGTATTCTGGCATGTAAAACACCCATTCTATCAGAACATATACTATTTAATGCCATGATATGTGCCATGATTTTCTCAGACAGACATCTATCAACATAGTTATCTTTACTCGTATTTACTGATCGAAGAGTATCAAACACTGACCAAATCCGGACTGAAAAAAAATCAAACTTTTTACAGTACAAATAGTGTATCCTGATGAAAGTCCGTTAACTACCGCAAAACGATGAAATAGGCCAACCACGTGACTGTCAGTGGACACGCCGATCTACCTTTGGCACTAGTACCTTGATATTTACACCACCATTATAAACGATGAAGTGATAGTACAGTGGCGGCGTCAAGGGTGGGGGAAGGGGGGGGGGGCATTTGCCCCCCATAAATCTGGTCTGCCCTCTGTTTGCCCCCCTCCCCCAATAAATTTGGAAAATAAAAAAAAATTACTTGTGATACCTTCTACGGTGATTAAATCCCACATCCCCACTCAGTCATAGACTTGCATGTTGTAGAGTCTGAGTGATTTCTTACCAAGCCCATCCTGCTGTAAACCTACTATAAACAATAACACGTGAACCACTTGAGAAGTGCTTTTTACGATCCTCAAAGTTTTTAGATATATAGGTTCAAAGCGGCGAGAATATGCATTCACTTGATACACTCACTCCGTTCGTTTGACATTTCCCTCTCTGTTCGGATAAGCTGGTGATTTGGCGACGAACAGTATCTGGTCAGCTCTATTTCCGAAATACTGGCCGGCTGCATTTTCAGCAATCTCACAAAATATCGTGGCGAAAATATTCATTCACTTTGATTCACTCACACCGTCCGTTTGACACTTTCCTCTCTGGTCGGATAAACTAGAGATTTGGCGACAGGCTCTATTTATCTCGACGATCAGTGCCTGAAATACTGCCAGACTGCATTTCCGACAGTCTACTTTTCAAATTTTCGGGGGCTTCGTTGAGGTTCGCAAGTCCGTTCATTTGACACTTTCCTCTTTAGGGTCGGATAGACTAGTGATCAGGCGACAGACTGCATCTGATCAGCTCTATTTATCTTTACAATCGGTGCCTGAATACTGTCAGACAGCATTTCCGACAGTCTATTTTTCAAAATTTTCTGGTGGGCCCCCAATACCTCCGTAAGGATTCCCTACTTTGGCGCTCGTGAGTGGGCTTCGTCGAGGTTCGTCCGGCAGCCTGTCTTTCTAAAATTTCTGGGGAGGCCCCACTACCTGTAGTTGAAGCTCGTGCCTTCGCCCCCTTAACCTTGGACTTTCCCTCAGCTTTGCCCCTCCAACCACCCGCGACTGGCGCCGCCACTGCTTCTTACATGAAAGGATCATAAAATGGCGAGGGTATGAATCAAATCCCAGTAGAAGGCTTGTTCAAAAATCGGTGCTCTTGGGAAGAAATATAGTTCAGGCCGAGTGATTAGATGTTGGAAAAAGTATGTAGACAAACGAGCAAGATGGGGTGTTATACGAGCCTCTGGGGTAGAAATTTGGCTAAAAGCTACAATTGGGGGATGGAAAAAAGTGATTTTCGTAATTAGCGTACCCATTGTTTAATGTCATTAGACCGCGAAGGTGAGGGGTTGACTCTCCGGGATTTAAAGGGCAGATTTGACCCCCGGGTCCTAACATTCCTAATCAAATATCTATATGAAGCTCAATTTATTTAAAATGATGCAAAGTTTAAAACCTGTATTGTCAAATATATTACCTTTAAGATCATCCGGAGCTTGATTTTTGTAGGAATAAATATCTCGATCTAAGATTTGTAATATCATGAATATTGCTTCAGTTTTGATGGCACGGTATACATCCATTCTTAATATCTGGGTTGGCAAACGTAATTTGGCCGTAAATGTGGCTATCTGGTCAATCATACTTATTTCTGATGTCATTTTCATGAGGATTTCGTGTTGCTTGCTGATTGCAGATTGAAAAGCGAATCCGAAAGAAGTGGCGTAAACTAATCCAGCTGGGGCCAGAAAACAGGCTATGGCGTCGTTTATATCGGGTTTACTTGCATGCTCGTTGCTGGGCCACAGGAACTCCGTTACTGGAACATACATATAGAGGGTTAGAGGACACAAAGCAAGAGACAGTAAAGCTGGCAAGGCAATTCGGAATAATTCTTTGGGTCGATTATACGAATTTTTCAGGCTTTCCATGACTTCCAAATCAAAAGCTGTGAAAAACGAGTCCCCACTCGAATCACAGTGGTCTTTGTCCTCCAGATTATTATTGTCGATGTTAATCATCTGTATCGGGGTAGCCTTGTTGGTGGAGTTAAATCGGCTTCTATTTGAAATAACATTTCGTATAAAGGTTTTACTGAAAGTCAGCGTAGATTTTTGTATTGCTGTGTACTTAGATCTGAGTAATAAGGCAAATAAACCTAAAATATAAAGCAAACCTGCCATAATAGATGTTAAAAAATAAACGCGAAACTTGGTGTAAATCTGCACGATAAACTTTTTAAAAAATTAACCTATTGCTAATTTTCAGTTCATCTTTATTAATGTACCCTTTCACTAGCTTACAGTGTATACGTTCCTCGGTCGAGTTAGTATGTTAGGGACTTGGTGATCGAATATTATTTCCGACCCTACCTAACGAGTCATAGGTAGGGGACAAGCTATAAAATTCATGTTTCCCACTACGTTTGAACATTCTTTCTAAATTAGAGGTATTGTGTTCTAAAAAGGGTGCCAGAAAAATGAGCGGGCGGGTGGGGACAATTAAAAATTAGATAACAAGGTCGCTTCGTTTTATTTTATTTTACTATAACACTAGGTCTATATAGTAACCCTACTATAACCCTAAACACAAAAGAATCACGAGTGTACGCATGACTTTAAATCGCACAATTCAATGCAAAGCGCAGGCCCATATACCTATTCAAGGCAGTTTGGTTAACTAAATAAGTTCACGGCAAACGCAGACCCCAAAGAAAATATGTCTGATGTCCGCAAATATAAAACGAAAGGTTAACTGAAAAAATAGTATATGTTTGCATCAGGAATATTCAGGCTTATAATTAAAGTCTGACAGTTACATATGGAAGGGTGTCGCTGCCAATATTAAATGCTCTGCGACAATGTCGTTTCCATTGATAATATGTAAAAAGTACAATGTACAAAGTCCTAATAAGGATAATGCTAAAGTCAAAATACCTCTAAGGCAAAAGTTAAATGTAAAACGTCATATGTTAAGTGTCAAATGACAAATGTTTTCTCACATTACATTTTACATTTGCGCTCTGCCACATCTCACATGTCCTTAACGCTTTCGGCATAGCATCTTTCACACAGCATCATCTTTCAAATGCAAATGTAGGATATCACGTGACTTATAAACATATACGGAAACCTGGCACAAACCAGTACACTACAAGGATATTCACCGAACGATAACAGTAAATCAAGCTGGCGCACTATAAACCAGCACACTACAAGGATATTCACCGAACGATAACAATAAATCAAGCTGGCGCACTATCTAGAAAACCGTGCGTAATCCTGAAGGTGCCAGGAAATAACTGATAAATTCAAAGAGCCAAAGAAACATACTTTTTCCAGTAATTTACAACACAATAATTGGAATTTCGTATAAATACCCGTATTTTGACGGTCTTTCAATAAAGAGAATATGATTAAGCCCCGTATGTTTAGTTTAGTCCCCCCCCCCACCCCTTCACTTTAACTTTAATCTTATTTTGTAAAATTATGCGAATATGAATGTGCCCAAAATTTATCTGCATAGAGCAATCAGTGATACGTAACATGGTATCTGGAATTTCGTATTTAGGCCAGTATTTTTAGTGTTACTTGAATACCCCTTTAATAGTGTTTCGTACCACTCGATGTTTTTCAAGGTATGCTAATCTGAATGTGCCAGTAATTTTTTTTACATATCTTTAAGCAGCAATAGACGTGTTTTTAGTGATAGGTTGCATGGTATCGAGAATTTCAGATTAAGACCCGTATTTTCACATTGAATACCCCCCCCCCCTCCGCAATCATGGCAATAGATTTTAGTTCCATCCAACTTTGGTCATTTTTCAGGGAGTATGAATGTGCCAGAAAATTATTTACATATTTGAAAAGAGCAATTATAGGTAACATTTTGGATTTTTTTCTATCAAGACTCGTATTTTAACATTGAATACCCCCCCCCCCCACACACACACACACACCCACACACACACACGCCACACGCACATGCAGTCACTTAAACATGCATTATGCAAGAGCTAAATCTGTCTATTGAAGGTATTTCTTTAGGTTATAAATATTATCTAAAGTAGTAATTAGGCACATTAACTATACCACTAGACCATAATCAACTCTCGATAGCATCATTAGTCTGCGATATTTATTGGATTTGAATTATGAAATACGATTGTACTAGAAAACTATTTATATATCTACAAATATAAAATGAACGTGCTTTTCGCTAATATGTAACATGATACCTGGAATTTCGAATTTGCACATTGCACAGTCCCCGCCCGTAATTATGGTAAAGTATCATCCAAAGTGTCAAAGTAAATTTCTTATTGTGTGCTAAGCTGATTCCTGTTATAGTGTCGTGAATATCCTTGTTCTGGCTTATAGGGTGCACGGTTTCCGTATTATTTTAATAAGTCACGTGATATCCTACATTTGCATATGCCAGATGATGTTGTGCGAGAGATGCTATGTAGAAAGCGTGAAGGACAAATGAGATGTGGCAGAGCGCAAATGTAAAATGTAATGAGAGAAATGTAAAATGTAGACACGTAAAAAAAAGCATTTTCCCACAAAACATTTGTCATTTGACACTTAACATTTGACGTTTTACATTTAATACATAATATTGGCTGTGATACCCTTCCATAGTTACATCTTAAAAAAAAACCCAATTACTAATTAAAAGAAAAGGATCAATAAGTTAGTATTGTGTCACAAAACACATGCAGGAATTGCTTGCACGTTAATCGAACATTTTTATACGCCCACATTTTCATGTGGACGTATATTGTCGTCGCCCGTCCATCCGTCCACAATTTGTTTGGGGACACTCTACAAGTCACATGTATCGGACCATAACTTCATGGATTATGGCCCCTGATTGTACGAAAAATCACGTTTTTAGCTTGTGGTCACACTAGAGGTCACAATTTTGATCGGAATTTGATGAAACTTGAAATGCATGTTTATAACCCAAAGGTCTTGGTTCCTTTCGATATTCGCGCATATCGGATCTTAACTTCCTGAATTATGGCCCCTGATCGTACGAAAAATCGCGTTTTTAGCTTGTGGTCTCTCTAGAGGTCACAATTTTTATCCGATTTAAAAAAAAAAACGTTTAAGCGTATCACCGTTGCACCCTAATGATGGTTGAGATCGAATTTCGTGAAAATCGGACCAAAACTGCCGGACAAAATGGCCGCCCCTTGTACGCAAATAGTGTAAAATATTTTATATCAAGGTTGTGGACCCTCTAAAGGTCACAATTTTCATTCGATTTTAATGAAACTTGGAATCCATGTTTATATCCCAAAGATTTTGGTTCCTGTCGATATTCGCGCATATCGGATCGTAACTTCCTGAATTATGGCTCCCGATTGTACAAAAAATCGCGCTTTTAGCTTGGGGTCCCTCTAGAGGTCACAAATTTTATCCGATTTAAAAACAACCTTTTTAGTACATCACCGTTACACCCTAATGATGGTTGAGTGTGAATTTCGTGAAAATCGGACTAAAACTGTCGGCCAAATGGCCGCCCCTCGTACGCAAATAGTGTAAACATCTGCTATATCAAGATTGTAGACCTCCTAGAGGTCACAATTTTGATCCGATTTTGATGAAACTTGAAATGCATGTTTATAACCCGAAGATCTTGGTTCCTATCGATATTCACGCATATCGGATCGTAACTTCCTGAATTATGGCCCTTGATTGTACGAAACATCGCGTTTTGAGCTTGTGGTCCCTATAGAGGTCACAATTTTTATCCGATTTAAAAAAAACCGTGTGAATATATCACAGTTATACACTATGATGGTTGAGTTTGAACTTCGTGAAATTCAGAAAAAACAGACGGACATATAATGGCCGCCTTTTGTACGCAAATAGTGTAAAAAAAAATATGGTATATCAAGGTTGTTGGCCGTCTAGAGGCCACAGTTTTTATCCGATTTGGATGAAACTTTAAATATATGTTTTTATCATAAAGATCATGGTTCCTTTTGATAATCACACATTCCGAACGTAACTTCATGGATTATGGCCCCTGATTGGTCGAAAAATCGCATTTTTAGATTGTGGATTCTCTAGAGGTCACAATTTGTTTTCCGATTTTAAAAACGGTTTAGAAATACCACCCTTCCACCATAATGAAGGTTGAATTGGAATTTCGGAAAAATCGAAATGAATCTGGCCGACGAAATGGCCGTTCTTTGTACGCAAATTGTGTATAAGTATGTAATACAAAGGTTATGGACCCTCTAGAGGTTACAATTTTTATCCGATTTTGATCAAACTTAAAAAATATCTTTATATTCCAAAAATGCCAGTCCCTTTCGATATTTGCGCATTTCAGACCATAACATTATGGATTATGGCCCCTGATTGTTCAAAAAATCGTTTTTTTTTTTCACTTGTTCTCTATCCATCTCTTGCAAAATGTGGCCGTATCCTGCCTGGCAGCTGCTGGTTCTATAGTGAACTTAAATGCGCACGTAACTTACGTAAGAGTCGTGAAATGGGCCCCTGGTCGTCAAATATCTTATATTTTATTGTCGAAGGTTCTTACCACATAAAATAACCACCATAAGCATAAATGGTGGAACAATTATCTCTGTAGCTGATGGTCTTACTTCTGCTTGAGCTATTTTCTCGGGTTCTGAAGAAACTTCGGGTTCAGGAACTTCTGGTTCGGGATATGTTGAATTGTTTTCTGGTACAGTTCCTGGTTCGGGTGAACTTTCTGGTTCTGACATCGTTTCAGGCTCCGACGTACTTTCCGGTTCTGACGCTGGCTCATTGGTTGTTTCTGGTTCTGATGCCGGTTCATTGGTTGCTTCTGGTTCTGATGTCGGTTCGCCTGTTGTTTCTGGTTCAGATACAGGTTCACCTGTTGTATCCGGTTCTGATGCTGGTTCGCTTGCTGTTTCTGGTTCTGACCCTGGCTCCCCTGTTGTTTCTGGTTCTGCGGTGGACTCTCCTGTTGTTTCTGGTTCTGATGCTGGTTCTCCTGTTGTTTCTGGTTCTGATGTTGGTTCACTGGCTGTTTCTGGTTCTGATGTTGGTTCTCCTGTAGTTTCCGGTTCTGATACTGATTCTCCTGTTGTTTCTGGTTCTGATGCTGGCTCTCCTGTTTTTGGTTCTGAGGTTGGCTCTCCTGATGTTTTTGGTTCTGATGTTGGTTCTCCTGTAGTTTCTGGTTCTGCTACTGGCTCTCCTGTTGTTTCTGGTTCTGATGCTGGCTCTCCTGTTGTTTCCGGTTCTGATGCCAGGTCATTCGTTGTTTCTGGTTCTGACACAGGCTCACTTGTTGTTTCTGGTTCTGGCTCGCCTGTTGTTTCCAGTTCTGGTGTAGGTTCATTGTTTATTTCTGGTTCTGATGTGGGTTCACCTGATGTTTCTGTTGTATCCGGTTCTGATGCTGGTTCGCTTGCTGTTTCTGGTTCTGACCCTGGCTCCCCTGTTGTTTCTGGTTCTGCGGTGGACTCTCCTGTTGTTTCTGGTTCTGATGCTGGTTCTCCTGTTGTTTCTGGTTCTGATGTTGGTTCACTGGCTGTTTCTGGTTCTGATGTTGGTTCTCCTGTAGTTTCCGGTTCTGATACTGATTCTCCTGTTGTTTCTGGTTCTGATGCTGGCTCTCCTGTTTTTGGTTCTGAGGTTGGCTCTCCTGATGTTTTTGGTTCTGATGTTGGTTCTCCTGTAGTTTCTGGTTCTGCTACTGGCTCTCCTGTTGTTTCTGGTTCTGATGCTGGCTCTCCTGTTGTTTCCGGTTCTGATGCCAGGTCATTCGTTGTTTCTGGTTCTGACACAGGCTCACTTGTTGTTTCTGGTTCTGGCTCGCCTGTTGTTTCCAGTTCTGGTGTAGGTTCATTGTTTATTTCTGGTTCTGATGTGGGTTCACCTGATGTTTCTGGATCTGACGCCGGTTCGTTGGTTGTTTCCGGTTCTGACGCCGGCTCACTTGTGGTTTCTGGTTCTGATAATGGTTCACCTGTGTAAAGAAAGTGGACTCATATAAAAGAATGGATATTTCAATAAATTTAGGTAACTTAATACAAGAGTAAACAAATAAATTTGTTTATCTGATACTACTAGTGTATATAGGAATTATTTATCAAATTTACATACCATTAGTGGCCTATACAGTATTGAGTATTAAGTGAACCGTGCAATTAAAACATCTCGATTACATTAAAGCCCCAATGCTTCAGAAGGCCATTGGTCACTTCCCTTATGTAAATTGAACTAAGATAAAGGCACAACTTCGTTTTCTAGATGCAGTCTTGGTCGCGATGTTCATGCACAGAAACGATTTATTCTTCAGAAAAACAATAGATAGTAATCGGAACTTTCGATGGTCATAGATTGCATTAGGGATTGATAGGTTTTAATAAATTTTAGACCAATTTCCTTTTTGATACAACTATTGCTGTAATGTGTCTGGGCTGAAAGTCTATATCTGTCTTTTAGACTGGAATATTTTGCCTATATATTAGGAAATAAATCTACCGTAACAGGAAATGATAAAGTCACATATTAAAAATGATTGATTGCTAGCCACTGATGTTTCATTCCTGTATAATTTTTCCCAATTGAAAAATGTTCATAATTGATTTCCTTTGATTTGCCTTTATTACGCAATGCGTGATTCCGTATATTTCCGATAGACCGTAATGCCGTTGTCTGGGAAATATTTCCCTCGGGCCAGCGTTCTATTCACTGAACCACCGCGGCTCACAAAAGCCCCCCTCCCCCCATTTGTACACTTTATTAAACTAATAATTCAAGATCTGTCAAGTAATGTGGACATCTGTAAAACATTTTAGTATCTTTTCTTTTTCCTCTCTGTGAACAGAACAGGGCCCGATTCCTAGAAAAATCTTAAGCACTTTCTTGTGCTTAGATTTAATTTGACTTTACATTTAAGTAAACTTACCTTACTTTGTGTTCCCAGAAAATTCTTAAGAACGTTCTTGTGCTTAGATTTTAAGGAGACTTCATTCTAAGCACAAGAACGTTATTTTGCGTTCCAAGAAAAAACTTAAGCACAACTTCGTTCTTAAACATAGTCAATCTAAGCACAAGTCCCAAGAAAGGTATACGGCTTGCTTACCAACCTTAAGTCCGTTTCTGCTTCAAAAAGATGGCTGACCGTAGAGTTTTTCGACGGCATTTCCGACACATTTTGATACCAAAGAGATAATTACAAGACAGAGAAAATCCTTCTCCAGAAGAAATTAAGAATACTATAGAAAATTTCGCTTCTACCCTGAAACCATTTTATATATTTACCAATTAGTAAACAATAGGCTATAAACACATGGGCTACTTAAGATCAGGCGCTCTCACAATTATTCAGTTAGTTTGTATGTGTCTGCGGGTTTTTTTTTATCTTGTGGCACATTTTATATGTGTATAGGGGACATGTCAAATGCATCTAAATCAACCATATATATATGACATCAATGAAGCAGACGACAAATTTATGACGTAATTCGCATACCAAAGTTGTTTTTGTGACATTGAAGAGCATCGTAGTCTCAGTTTATGGTAAACTTTACCAGTCACAATGTGCTTAGACTTCTACTTGACTTGTGCTTACGTAATAATGGTCTTGAGAATTTTCTAGGGACGGTATTTTTATAAGTTTCTTACGTAAGAAAAAATGAAGCAAGACTTTGTGCTTACTTTAAGAATTTTCTAGGAACCGGGCCCAGGTGTTGTTGGGCAAACCGTAGACGTTCACGTTGATGGCGAGGGGTGAGGATCGGTCCACGGTAAGGTCTACGGCAGGAAATGATTCCTTTTGGTGATCAAAGAAGAATCACGGTGAAAAATAGAAAGTAAGGATTCTAAAATAGCCTTAGAACGGAGATGGGGGAAAGCCTTATTTTCGTATTAGTTGTCATTAGATTTCACCAAAAACGAAGAGAGCAGGGCTCTAAGACTTCGTTACTAAAGTAACTACGGAAAATATTGCCCTTTGATCCCAATTTTCTTCATCTTTTTGACTAGTAACTAGTAGATCCTCTTCGGAATATGCATTCACATCTATTCCATCGTCAATCTGTTAGCTAAAAAGGATTGGTTATTCGTCTGATAACGTATTACTATCCATTTTGTTTTAGTTTTCAAATCAGTTGAACCTACATTTACTCCAAAATGGCGACAGTAGTTGGGTATAAACACGAGATTAGTTTGGCGGAAACTATCGAGCAATTATCCAATCATTGTTGACTTTTAATGGAAGAGTCCATTTACTTTAAGGGTGATTAAAACTATGATGTTGTATATGTCGGATATAAACCTTCTCTTCCTCGGATTAATATGATAGAGAACACTCGGGTAGGTTAATATCCTATACTTATCTCGCCAGCGTCAATGATAAGATATATCATTATAAGCAGTGCAGTCGTGACAATAAATTAATATGTAGTGGAATTTTAATAATTCAGAGACCGCAATTTGAAATCGTGTATACTTCATACCCGGATCACTCCATGTCAAATCAGCGTATTGAAATAAAATGAGAACAAGCGATTCGATGCAATCTCGTTAGCGTGAACCTGGTAATCTCGAAGACTCTGCTTATGTCGAGTATAGCTATCGGTCTCTGTAAATCAGGACAGATACTTTTTTACATTGATAGCACCCAGAAAACCCGTAGCACTAGGAAGGCTGACAGAGAACTTAAATCTGTAAAATCAAATGCTCGCATTGGGAATCGCACATGACTAACCTGGGGCCCTGGAAGATGAACCGGGTGCTTATGTTGGTTGGTGTGTTGGTTGGTGGGCTTGTGTTGGTTGGTGGGATAGACTCTGAATTTCAATATTATTTACCGAACAATTACAAGAAGTTTCATTTTAAAAGCTAAATAAATACTGTAGAGTGTTCGGAAGGGCAGGACTATTGAGCGTTTACACAGTTTCGGTGACTGGGTCACCAACTCAAGAGTAGGTAATATTCATATTAACCGACAAATTTCAGTAAGTTTAATTAAAACACTAAAATTTATGGGTATATAGAGCAGCTGTACACACTTGATTTTGTCGCTAAACAAGTTAAAAAAAATACATCTATTATTATGTTCGCGAGAGTTGGCGTACCAGGGTACACAAATGGTACACTGCCCTTTTCTGAGGTATACATGTATACCCATGCCCTAATGATAAAAGTTTTCAACCTTTTTACTAGTCTATTCATTTTTAAATGATAGATATGTAATTGCTCTCTGGTCGGTCGCGAACCGGCTCTCGCACTCTCATTATCAACTATAAGTGCATGCCATGGCCTGATGTCTATAAGTGGTTAATCGAGTTCATGAGATGATAAAGGCGTTCTAAACAGCGTTCTCGGAATTGACAAATTTCAAAATTTTCAAGAGACCCCCCCCCCACATCTTTTGGTTCCCTGGCACTCTGTTGCTAATCGTTTCCACGATAAGATCACCAATCGTTGTTTTTTGACTTTGCAAATCTATGTTACTTAAGTGCCAGTTGAACTCTAAGAATCGACATCTCATCAACAAAAACAAATAGTATGCTTGGATGAATGTATAAAGCTTTTTATAATCATATTGTGATTATCATCCGGATTGCCATAACCGATTCTGTAGCACATTTACTACATTACAGGTTTTAATGCTAAGTGAAAACTGTTGTAAAATAAACGGAAATCTATAAAACAAGGGATTGATCGCATGACTATTGAAGTGTGGTTATTCTTTTGTGATCGATGTTGAGATCTATGATACATATTGGGTTTTTTCATGAGGAACTGAATTATTAATAATGTCATCGATTGTCAGACTCTAGATATAGATTATATAGTACTGGAAAATGGTCGGACGGATTGTCCGCCTTAACACCTATAAGGTCAATTATAAAGCTATATCTATCTTTCTTTGATAAAGAGGTCCAAGATATGCGACCTAGGTGTTGAATTTGTCTTTATGTAATACTATATATAGTATAGGGGTTATTAAATTTAGTTCTATAAAAGGTGCCCTGTTTAATATATTGAAGTGGTTAAACATAAACATCATTCTAGTACTGCATCCATTGATTTCTGGAAGTAGGTTATCTAGTCATCTGGTGCACAGATTAGTCCAATTAAATAAACTAAGGTTGATGAAACAGGGTGCCCAAATGAAACACTTACCCAAATATGGTAATGGCTCGCCCTACTGGCTGACGTATCTATATATTTTATATAAATTAAAGAGCCGCCTCGGCTTAGAGGCCGGAAACAGGAATCATTTGAGACATTATGTATATCTAACAAGAAGTGTGTGGCTCTTGACACTTTAAGATTCTAAGGTATAATCAGACATCATGCGGGATTCTTAGAAGCACGTACCCACAGCCCCCTCGGCTTAGAGGCTGGGACAGAAATAACATGCAGTGTTTCCGCCGTAAGGTCTGAGTTCTAGGCTTATAAGGCCCAATGTGTAGATATTATAATAACTCATATTGGGGATGCTCAATTCACAGTCCGGAACGTCCCGAATTGACAGAATTGCAATGAGTGACGCGGTATTCAGTCCTGTCACAGCTCTGTCAGTCCCGACGACGGAGGTGGTAAGAGTAGAATTGTGACGTAATTAAACACGACGAACAGGTTTCGGCTGCATGGTTGGATGAGATATTTATATATCCAGTCAACGCATGGGTTGTAGCCCGAGGTACCCATTTTCACTCGACTGTCACTAGTTTTGGGATTGAGAGAATTCAATTCCGGAACGTTCAATCGAGTACGCCCTTAATGTACTATTATAGATGTTGTAATTTTCTGTATCTCATATATAAACATAGTTATAACAACACAGTGTTTAAGAGTTAATTCATCTACTTAAAAAGAAGTACACAACGTGGAAGACCCGATTGGATAAGTGTCACCATTGTGTCACATTTACGTGATCCAAAAAAAAAAAAAAAACGTTATCGGGTATTTTCATGTTTTACCAGTGTACCAGTTAAAATCACTAAT